CAGTCAGGGGTGATGGGACTGGGTTCCTTGTACCTGCAGCGCACGTCGCACTGGTAACTCCGTGCGCCCGCGTCTTCCGTGCTATCCGATGTTTCGAGAGGGTTGTTACGGCAGTACATTGGTGAGTGCCGAGAACCTGACGTTGTGTACCTGACGCCATCGATAGATTGTGTAGTCTTGAGATGATTTTTTAGTGCAAACACCCAAGAAGGTCGAAGAACAAGCAAATAAGGAAAACTGTACCACCTCGAGCCCGTTGCTGGCTCAGGGATCAAAGGTGGGGACTGAGTCGGAGTCGATGTGGATTCGAATCCTGGCTTCTGGTCGGCTTCCTAATTGGGATTGGTACTGTCTGGCTTTGTGTCTCTGACTCTCCCCATTGACTGCGAGCCTTGTGGGAGTCGTACACTTTCATAAAACCCTGGTAATTCTGCGCAACTCGTACAAAGCCGGCAGTGGTAGGCTGTTGTTGAGAGAAGCTTAATATCCGTGCACGTGAAATCTCCTTTTCAACCTTATCTGCGCCGGGCGGTCATGTGCAAACCTCAAAGCTCATGATCACCACCACAACACATTTCTAGATCAATTTATACGACTTGGTTAACTGGTAAATCTATATTTGATGACCATTAGATTCGCTATGCATAATCCGATGCAATGTGCGATCCACGCATTCGCCCCATCCTGATTGAAACCAGCATCAGAAAATGAACAGACAAGCCTCTCGATCCAGCCTCTGAATCAACCTGTCCGAGTCCACTGTATTCCCATTCCTAAACTGCTCATCTCCAATATCCCAAATACGCTGGGTCAACTGCATCGCCAGGTTCCGCTGCTGCTCACGATAATAATTCATCATAGACTCGTGCTTCTCTTGTACCCAAGCCCGATCTTCCATCGTAATCGCCTCTCGGGCCGCAAGATAGAACGGCTGCGGTAGAGATGAATCAGGACCGACCCCCGTAGTGAGCTGATCCATCAGGTCAAAACATGTGCGGGTCAAGTGTTGCACCCGTGGAGACCGAGTGTGGTCTTGAAACACGCGACGCGCCAGAAGGAGGTGCGCAGTCCAGTAGAAGCATTCGGTCAGGATGTCCAGAGGCGCGCGAATACGTTCCTCGGCGATAAGCCCTTGATGACTAGAGCCCCATGCACGAAGATCGTTCTCTAGATTATACGCTTGAGTGAGAAGATCATTGATTTGCGCACAACGTTCCAATCGATCATCCACGTCGCAGGCAAGATGGGAGATCCGGACCAACAAGCACATCAACGGCTGGGGACAACCGGTCATCTTGTGGAATGAAGGCTCGGTGTGATCCCATGTCTCGGCATCCGGCAGATGCAGTACGAAATCTCTGGGCGAAAAGGGGCGCCGCTGTCGGGAAATAGCAAGCATCACATCAACCATGGCAAAGCGTTGCACTGTCGTTCGCCCGAGTATATTCTGTGGTACTCGACGAAAGTGGTCTAGAATATCCATGAGGAAAGCGGCACAGCGGACATGGGGTTCCAGAACGCCATCGGCTGATTGAGCTACTATGACACCCTGAAGAATAACAGCGGCAAAGAGTGCCTCATGATCAGGATTGTTTGCCCTTACAATGGCTCTGGTTTCAATGGCGTCTCCCGACTCAATCAATTGGAGATTGTGACCAATAGTTCGCAGCATTCGTTGCTGGTGTCGTGCTGCTGTTGATACATCGACTAAGCCAAAGTTCAGCATGTGCTCCGTAGCTATGCAGACGATAGTCTCGAGTAGAACAGGTGATGACAAGGCAGTAAAGGATAGTTGTCGGTATGGATTATTCGGGCCATCGAGGGCCGGAATGTTTGATGAAACTAGCCTCACATCTAGTACGACCCATGGATTAGCTAGACTTTTACAGCACGTCTTCACGATGACCAGGAACGTACAGTACTCCCATGCAAGTTTGTCTTCATCCGAGCGAAAAAGATCACTTAATAAGACCGATGGAGAGCTGCGAGGCAATTCCCCATCATCTCGATGTCTAATGCTTCGAGGTCTATGTCTTGACAACATCGGTCTTGTCTGACGCACCCATCTTAGCCCGGAAGGATATTGGCAATCCAGGCCACGACTTGAGCAGAAAGAGCATAGTGGCTGCTTCTCATCGCATTTGTAATGCTTTCTTCGGCACTGGAGACATCCTACACTGCGGTGTCAGTGCCAATATATTTCTCATCGGCAGATAGAGCTCAGATACCATTTCGCGATCGTGAGAAACGCTCCTCCGAGGTCATTCCTTTGAGGAAAAATGCTCAACCACAATTTAGTGATGAATAAGCGCGTCTTTCTAGATAATGCCGCGGAGAGTGTAGTCCGTTGCCATCATTGACTGCCGTCATGGACATTGCCCCGCATGTTGAGAACCCGATCACATGATGCGGAACCACCAGATAGAATCGGGACTGTATTCCTTGAAGCCAACAGGAGTGTGAATCAAGAGAAAGAAATAGCATTCATGTACTTGAGAGAGAACCATGGCTGATGCCACAACTAATTGGATCATGATCATATCAGAAGGAAACTCTAGTATCCATGAGTATTTCACAAAACCTATCTCGAAGCCCTTATCGGGAATTCTGTCCTCTGCAAACTAGAGACGAATATTCAAACTAAGCAAATGCATAGTTCCTTTGGAAATACAGGATCAATATGTAATTATCTACTCATTAATCAAAAATTGATTACGAACATGACAAAAGAAGCTATTCCCCAAGAACTTCTTCAACAACTCGTGAAGCCCGATCAACAATCATCTCTATCTCTTCCTTGGTGCAGTTGTATGGCGGGGCAAAGCAGATATGATCACCATTGATTCCATCAATACCCCCATTTCCAGGCATCAGCGAGATAGAATATTCCGGCTTGAGTGCAGCTTTATGGATGGTCCAAGCGACAGACTCCGATGGAGGGTACGGCTCCTTTGTTTCTTTGTTCTGGACAAATTCGATCTATAAATTGTGTCAGATTTATTCACGAATGGTAAGATCAGACGACCTACCGCCCAGAAGAGACCTCTTCCACGGATGTTCCCAACATGAGAATTCTCTCCAAATTTCTGATTGAGTAGCTGACCGAGATACTTGCCCATTTCTCGGACATTGAATAGTAAATTATCCTCTTGAATAATCTTCTGTACCCGGCAGGCCGCTGCGCACGAAATAGGGTGGCCCTGATAGGTCTGGCTATGAGAGAAAGCTCCCGTACCTTGTGTCAAGGTGTCCACAACATGCTGATTCACTAGGAGGGCGGCGATAGGAGCATAGCCAGCACCAAGTCCCTTGGCCATAGTCTGCAGGTCAGGAACGACGCCTTCCTGTTCCCATGCGTGCAGAGTACCAGTTCGACCCATACCGCTCATTACTTCGTCCAAGATCAACAAAGCACCGTGTCTCTCACACACTTCTTTCATAGCCTTCAAATATCCCGGAAGAGGAGGTACGCACCCCAACGTCTATTTCAAGTTAGACTAAGGTAGGCTCATCGCTGAAGAGAGAATATATACTCACAGTACCAGTCATTGTCTCTGCTACGAATGCACAGACAGTATCTGGGCCCAGCTCCTGGAACTTGTCCTCTAGTTCTTGGGCAAGCCTAGCGACATATGCCTCGACAGTCTCCCCATCTTTCATTTCGCGGTATGGGTAACACTGCGACACATGGTGGACATTCTTGGCCAAGACCTTCTCGTAGAGGGCACGGCGGCCAATATGGTGGCCCACTGAGAGAGAACCGAGCGTATTCCCATGGTATGACTGCTTGCGAGCGATGAAATTCATACGCTGTGGTTGTGGAACGGGCATTTCCATGTAATATTGCACCGCCATCTTGAGAGAAGCTTCAACTGCTTCGGTTCCTAGGGTAGGCGACAACCAGTATTAGTTTTATTCCAAAACAAAATAATGTGGTTCTGGGGAGGTATACCAGAGCTCACGATAAAGGCGCGGGACATTTTCCCCTCTGTAGAGTCGACCAGAATCTTCGAAAGTTCCTCGGCGGCGCTGTTAGTGAAGTAAAGCGAGTAACAGTATGGCACTTTCTGTAACTGCTCCATAATAGCTTCATGCACTCTCTTGTCACTATGCCCAAGACAAGAGACAGCAGCGCCACATGTGGCGTCCAGGATCTCTTGGGCCGAATCGGTTATCAGATAACTTCCCCGCCCTCCGACTATATTCAGTGGCGGTTGACGAAGCTGGTGATAAAGAACAGAGCTTTGGCTGCGAGGAGGCCCGGTGTGCTTCGGGGTTTCCAACGCGACTAGCTGCACTGGGTCAGCCGCCTCTGGTGTATAGTCTCCCATGATGTTTTGAAATGAAAATAATTTCTGAATATGGGACAATAAATAATAGCTTGAATACGAGTTTCAGCCCGGGGAGATTGCTGAAGGAAAAGAGAATGGGATGTTTCATGGAAGGGGGAAGCCCCATACTTATATTTGAAAGTCTAGTCCATTTCGAAATGCGAGGGCCTTTCGATCTCATAATAAAAACATGTGGTTCGCGAGTCAAACTCCAAAGTATATGCGCAATGGCTGCTATCGGACAGGGAGCTATTCCCAAAGGGGAAATCTTTGTCGGACCCACATGAAGTCACGAAGGTAGGCTCGTCCGTCAAATCGGATGCAACAACAGGCTACATACTGGAGGCGCTCTATTTTCTTATCAGTGAGTTCGGTCTCGATAGCGGGGGATTATCTTTACGCCCCATGTCACTACTCTGGGTATGGAAAAGGTCTAAGAGTATGCGCCGTTCCTCCAGAAGCAATATTTCACAGGATAGCCAATGATAACCACAGCTTTCTCAGTAGGCCAAGGAGACATTTACTAACAAGGTGTAACGAAGGGCCCCCGGATCTCTTGTCACATGGTTACACCATATTGACGGAATCTTGTGGACACGGCCAGCCCTTCAGAGTGTGATTCTAGATACGGCAAAGCAAAGCCAATGCAAGAGATACGCTCAACCAAGGATTGACTTCAAAGAGTGTATATTTCGAGAATCGTATTTCCAATTATAAAGACATTGTAGTATAGAATAACATGAATTGTTCAATGTATGCAATGAGCGTAAATTTGTGCAAGTCGGTCGTAGATAAGAGGTTTTGGTCAAATATTAGGCAACGACCACAGTGCGGTTGAGTGCCTCCAGGAAAGGATATTGTGAAGCCTATAATTCGAAGGATTAGCAAATTGTAGTCATTATATTTGTACAAACTATCACTTACCCCAATCAATGTAGCATGAGCAACGTTAATTTGAGCATTGCCGGCAGTAAAGCTGGAAGGAACGGTGACGGTGAAGTTCTGATACGGAGGCGAGGCGGATTCATGATATTCGGGCTTGAATGGTCCATTATAGAGGATGGTGCCCATAAACTCATCGGAAGGAGTGCAAGCCTGGGTTGCACAGGAAGAGATACCAATGGCAACGGCCATCTCGGTTGAACCGGTTAGGCTGTTCGGACGCTGGACTTGGACAGTGATGTCGCTACCCTTGGATAGCTGTTGACCGGCAGCAGGAAGCCCAATTTGTGCGGTCTGGGCCAGAGCAACTCCGGCAAAAAGGGCGAGAGAGGCGAAGAAGTTCATTCTGTTCAGTGAAATGATAATGTGGAAGAATATATGCACAAAGTAGATTATTGGAGTCGGGAAATGTACACAAATGTATGTTTCGAGTCTGGAGGAAACCGATCAAGGCGATCGCAAGCTATTTATCTCTATGAAATCTCCAGGCGTACCATGAAATCTTTCATCTTGCAACCTGATTTTTTGAGGAGCACTGGAGGTCTCAAGTTAACCATGGCTCATTGGTCAAGTCTCAACCAGGGCCGACCGCGCTGTGAGGTGATTTCACCTTTCAAGGGCAACGATCTTCAGCGGAGGTGGAGCTCAACTGCCCACGTTGTCCAATCAAACATGTCATCTGCTGTCTTTAAGTATCCCCTCGATCCAAATTTATTGATTTGAATGCGAGGATGGGAAGTTCTTTTTTTGGACCTAATCTGATCCCTTCAAGGCCCAGGATCTTCGCCTTGGCGCGGATATTAGTTGCCGACCGGCAATAGCAATACTACACCATCCCCAGCCACAATTCGAAGCTTGAGTGGTACCTCATGCTTACCCCGACGTACCCGACCGAGCCCACGCACGATATCAACATCATAACGTCTCGGCTGAGGCTTATTTCAACGCGCGTTCTGGATCATCTCAAGTGATTATGCAAGCTCACTCCGGTGAGCTTGAGGTGGCGCATTCGCTGACTATCAGCTAACACCCAGTTGTCAGTCCACAATCGGCAGTTGCAAAAGGATTTCCAAGACATTTCAGGCGTCCTTTGCATCTGGGGAAATATCCTCGTCTTCATTAGATGAGTCTATTGGATGTGATCGATCATTACCAAAATAGATTCATTGTCAACTTTCCGTGCAGGGATGCTCCCGCTCGTCAGCCGGAGGTCGCCACACCACCAAAGGAGACTCGGAGAAATCACATTCACGAGCCAATCGTATGCTAGAATTAGGTCAGTAGAGTTGAGTCTGGTCATCTGGGATTGTGAATCTCCGAACACTGTTGACATGGCTTGCCAAGTTGACGGATCGCCTTACGTTTGGACTCCCTAGACGAGGGGGAACGTACTGTTACCCGAAATGTGAGGGGGTTAAGAACTTATTTACTCAAGGTAGTACAACACCGACGTATTCTGTAGGTCAAACCTGACTGTAACAAGTCTAGGGGAACAAAACTCCCTTTAAAGGGGTTGAAGAGTAATTTTGATAGCCATAAGGGCTAGTGAAGGGATAAGCTAGTTACAGAATTGAACACAACCCGTCATGAACATGCAGAATAAGATGAATCGTTGCAAAAAGATATTCTGTATACAAGATGTTGGTCCGACTCATAGAGTCACTCGTGTAGCCAAGAATCGGACATTTTAAAGGTAGGTCTTCATGACTCGGTCCTTCTCTCGCTCCAAGAACTGAGGAAAAGTGCCCAGCTCAATCTTCCACTCTTTCAACCTTTCCATATCAACAAACTGGGAAAGATCGCGCATCACGAGCTGAACAAAGATGAGAGGGTTCTGCTGGATTTGCTCTTTGATTTCCTCTTCTGAAAGGTATACCACCTTCATCTCCTTTCCGGTTGCGTGAGAGATGTCCTTCAACACCTCCTCGATGCCCATCAATTGGGAGGCGATCTCGATTTCCTTTTCGTTGAACTTGATGGGATCAAGGACTGCAGCAGCCGCGAATTTGCCGATATCATTGGGGTCGACCATAGGAAGCAGTGTATCCTTGGAATACGCCGTAGTGAAAGTTCCGGTCTCGACAAACCCGTTGTACATCTGAACTAATGGGAAGAGGTAATTGACCATGAAGTTTCCCGGTCGCAAAATAGTCCAAGTTTTGAAATCCGCATCTCGAACTTCGTCCTCGACGGCTTTTTTTGCTCGAAGCGTTACTGCGACTAGACTCTTAGGGTCCCAGTGCTTGAGCGCTTCAGGATTGTTGGTACCAAGAGCACTGGTATAGATGATATGTTGGACTCCGACTTCTTTGGCGATGGCAAGCACTTGCTTGGCTTGCTCGATTTCGGCGGTGGGCTTGGTGAAACTGGGCGATAGATTCAGGAAAAGAGTTGTACATCCAGACATGCTTTTCTTGAGGCTTTCTTGATTGTCGAAGCTGCCTTCGGTGATAGAAACTCCCTGCGACTGAAGCCTCTGGGCAGCAGGAGATGTGGAATCTCGAGTAATCGCATGAACTTTGCCATGTTCAGAAATGTGCTGAATGAGGGCGCCACCTTGATTGCCGGTGGCACCGCAAACGAAAACGACGGGGGTTGACATAGTCTTCGAATTGAGAATGAGAATTGGATTGTGGTGGTAGATGTTTCGAAGATTCTGAATTAATGAGCAGACCACAAAGGGCTTCTGTGTGCTATTTATATGCCTCTTCTAGTACATCCAAGTACTCTGAATCATTTTTCTATACTGACATCTCCGCTTGCCACCAATCCTTGCGGGGTTCCGCTCAACTAGATGCACACTGATTGGTGCGTAAGACCAACAGTTGCGGAATTCCGCTGGAGGCTTTTCGTGGCCCCACCGCGACGCTCGGATTCTCTACCGAGCCTACGACGCTCTTCTGATCTGTTCCTGCAAATTCACATTCTCCTACGCAAGGATTGGTCGAGATGGCTCGTGCCTCAACAGCTCCACCACGTCGCAAGTCTTGTGCAGCCTGTGTGGCTGCTAAGCGCCGCTGTGATCTGGCCGTGCCGTTTTGCTCTCGTTGTCGCCACCGGGACAACGTCTGCGAGTACCCAGGCAGACAGTCATCTTCCGAAGAGATAAACTGTCCTATTAGCACTTGGCAAATGGAGGCTCCTCATGTCCTGCCTATTTCAATCCAGAATTCCGACTTCTCTTCAACGATTATCACGGATATAATAGATCCCGTGGACTCGGATTGGAACCCCATGAATGGCTTGGAGGCCAACGTACCTCTCGACCCTTTCGGGGACTTGCTCATCGCATCGAATTTTGAGCTAATGATGCCGAGGACAAAACCATTGAGACCGCTTTCAGAGATTATCGCGTCGAAGCTGCAATTTGCAGTTGATGTTCTCAAGAACGCGCCGAGCATGATGGTCCTCGAGACTCAGCTTCCTTGGTGCCATTCACAACTTTATAAGAAATATATGCCTAGGGTAATGCAAGGTGAATTGATACTTTAAAATGAGTTAATAAGTCATACCACAAGTCTAACTAGTATCCCCTTAGATGCCTATTCCTGCTGCTCTTTGTACATGTCCAGGAATGAAACGAACACCCCCGTTATAATGTCTTTGCTGGATGCTCGGACCGAAGACCTTCTATCTACTCCACAGCCGACAACACTTATAGAGCTTCTCGCTCGTGCACATGCTCTGCTTCTCTATCAGATAATGCGGTTATTTGCCGGCGACGTCCGCTCCCACGCCACTGCCAACGCTCTCTTCGGAACACTAGAGTCTACTGTAGATGCTCTCTATGACAATCTGTACTTCCCCTCACCATCGGAATCAACAAAACTACTTCCACTATCCATGGATCCGATAATTAATTTCTGGGAGTGGTGGATTCTACAAGAATCGGCTCGACGGACGATGCTCCTTACTTTCTATTTCATTCAGATATACAAAGTTTTACAGGGCAACCCCTCTACCCACTGCGATGGAAAGCTTGGAATAACGTCGCATTCATGGTATCTTTCTGCGCAGCTGTGGAATTCTCAAAGTGCATTTGACTTTGCAGTGGCTTGGGCAGAAAAGGATCATTTTGTTGTTCGTGACCTCGATTTTACTGCGGCCCTGGCGAATGCCCAACCGGATGATGTTGATCTCTTTGGGCGGATGCTTATGGTCACTTTACTTGGTATTGATGGTGCGAAAGCCTGGTTCTATGCGAAAGGTGCGATAATGTGAAATAACGGGTGACACTCAAGATATGTATGATAATGAACGATCATGATGCCTCTGTTAATCCTGCTAGCGTGCAACTATTTGTGAACATACTGTTGACCAAGTAAGAGAACAAGACAGCCAGTAGAGACGCCAGAAGTCTTAACACTATCATGACCGAGGTCAGCAACAACTGATAGAGATTCAACTACCATCGTCGCGCTTCGTAGTGTCTTTTCCTACCTCCAACTTGATTGATTGCTTGCTTTCAAGCTTGTTGCCCCTTGTCTAGAGGACTTCCTTCAATTTCTTCTTCTCTTATCCTGTCCCTAGGCTGCCAGAGCTACTGGCAGATTGCTCAAAGTACTTCGTGCTGTTGAGTGGACTTTTCCCCTGCTGCCTTTGCGCAAGCATTTCTTCTTGTGAATGGTTCAGGTTTGTTTCATCATCCAGCATTGGCGGATGTATCGATTGTACCTAATGAATGCAAGCGCACCAGAAATGAAAAGTAAATCAGTGAATGACTAGTCAAAAAAGTCAAGATATCTTCGCAAAGGAGGCTGAAGAAGAACCAAGCGACACGAAGTTGTTTGAACGATCTAGCTCGTAATCTGGAGTCCAAGTAAAGTATTCGCAGCGTGTTTGTTCTAGTGAATCGCTGGACACAAGGTCACAGTCGCGTGGTAGTGCAGATTTGATGGAGAGTTATTCAGGTGGAGGCCACAATCTCCACATCCATTTCACCTCTGGCCGACGCATTAAATCGGACTTGTGGAGTGTAGGTCGTGCGTTTCAGTGTGACCATGCATGAGCTTGCATTCATACAGAGCCATATATAGCCAATCTAAGTTCGAGGGGCGTGAAGATCTGACCAGTGGGGGCCTGGCGACACCAGCCACCAGAACAGCACCGAGGACTAATGTCGGCTCAGATCTGTACTTGTCTACGGGTGCTGACAGTTGAAGAAGAAGCTGAGAAGAGGAGAAAGAGGTAAAAGGATAGGAAAGGCTCGAAAGACCTTTTTTCCGAGTGATCATCCTTGCTCGGAAAATAAGGAAATTGGGGGAGTCACGACTCAAAGTTAGCCTCGCGGTACTCACGTCACCTTTTCCTCCCATCTCCGACCTTCTCTTCAAATCCACACCAAGATCCATTGACCCGTTGACCCAGCACATCGGGTACCTGAAGAGGGGCTGGGCTATGTGAACGTCAGCAGCAGGCCACAAGCGAACAGCGGGGAAGCAGCAAGCTCTTTGGCCGTGTTCAATGCCCAGCCGCTCCACGTTACGACGGCCAGCAGGGAAGACATGAGTGGAGCACGGCAACAGAGGCGGGAACTGCCCAGATTTCGGCAGCGATCTCAGTCCAGTACTCCTTCCGATTGGCCTCAACCTTGGCGGTCCTTTTGGTTGTCGACCCACTCACTGTTCGTCCCGGCCAACCCTAGCGCGATCGGCCTCCATTATTGACACAGGACAATGTCATGTTGTTTTGCGATTGTGCCGGTGTTGAACCCGCAAGTGTCATCGATCAACCAGCAATAGAACTCCCTTGGTTCAAGCTCATACATGCAGAATAATTATACGGCATGAATTTAGTTTGAAGTATTCGCAGAGGACAAGAGCCAGCGATGCCAGAGTGCTCCGTCCTGCGACCCCACAGCATGAATGCAGACGAGCCAAAGTGTACAGTACGTACAAAAATACCAGCTACAAGGATCTTGTATCATTACAGCCTTTTGATTGCCTGACGGATAGATCTTTATGAATCCGCCATAACCCGCTTTAATTGAATCTCCAATCCCTTCGCATTTGGAGGAAGATCAGCCCCGTCATCATTTTGATCAAAATACAGTCGCCAAACCTCTCGCCCATCGACGACCCCTAACTGTTGATCCACATGCTCACGGGTATCATCCTGTTCCAATCGGACAGCCAGAAACCCCTCCCAGCCTTCTAGCGTCACATACTGTTCATCTTTAGTCCAGTCGAAAGGCCCACATGTATGGCCCTCGGTATCCGGGCGTCCACCCCAGCGCATCTCGTGTGTCTTCGAGTCGAGGAAGACCCAGCGTAATGTAGGCGTTTCTTCGCCAGTGATTGTCACCAAGCCGGATGTGTTGTTAGGCTTGAAATCCGGGTGGGTAAAGAAGCCGCCATTGAAAGGGACCATAGTGCTACTTGGCTGTTTGGTGATATACAGCTGCAATCGAGCCAACCGGAATCGATTGGTTAGAAAAAAGCGCATAATCAACGGTGACCGCTGCACAATGACACTTACTTTTCTATCCAGACCCACCTGAACTTGAGCATTGTGCACTTGGCTTCGAAGCTCTGGAGTGCCTTGATCAAGCGAACAGGTAGCCACGAGGTGGCAACGCTGCTTGCGGTTTGTATTGCGGCGATTTTCGTCCTGATCCCGGGCACCCTGTGTTGCTTCGTTGAGACCTATCATGGTCGGCAACATGGCCGCCATCATGGCAATACCTAATACCATTGTGGAAGGTGATGCGAGAGACCGAGAGTCAAATATTGAGCTGCGGGAATACGGTTCTCGATGATCGAAATTGGGAAGCAAAGCGGATAACAGGTTCAGGGTGTCGCGTGGTGATATGCCTCGGAAGAGTTTGCCTCACTAGTTTTGGGCACCGGCGTATAACAGCTAAATACAGGTTGCTTCTCAGCTCATCTAGTGGGGAAGCGCAAATAGCATCATGAGTGGGTACGATGGAAGTGGATATACTCCGTGCAGTAGTTCCGAGTTCTGCAGCCGACATTGTAGAAATCCACTTTATCCATCCGTTGCATCATCTATCTGCAGCTAACCCAACTCATCAAGATCTGGCTCCAATTACAAAGAGCACAGACCCCGCTTCAGCTGAAGATAGAGCCCCGATGGCTGCGCAGATCATCGTGGACACCCACGCCCAATCCACTACGGACGAAGAAACCTGTGAAGAATGACTTGAGATTTCCCAGAGCTCCTCTGATCCATAGGAAGTATTTCTCTCGCTCATACCCTCGCGTAGGCGGGTCACAGGTAGCAAGAATTTCATTCCCTCCATCTTGCTGTGTTTCCACCCTCCTCATAATACAGATCCCCTCTCATCCTTATAATTCCCTTTCTACCAAATGGCTGACAGGTATTCCCTCAATCTTTCCTTCCACCTCTCGAACTCCGTCTAGATCTTCTATTATAATCCGGCTCCTTCCTTGCCCATCCCATCTATTCCGCTCCTTCCCATCCCTGGGTCATATGTCCAAGTCCAAGAGCAAGACAAAGACCAAGCCAAGACCCCCTCTCAATCCCAATCAGAATCGCAAAAGATCCCACAGCGAAGAAAAGATGGGATCAAGATTGGAGCCAGATCCTGCCACCCTCCCACTACCAGCATCACCCGCACCGTCACCCATTCCACCACCGACAGAAGCCGAGAATCCAGAGCAAGAAGCAGAGCCGAAGCAAAATGCTAATATCTCCTCTTCTCCACCTCATAGTCAAACTACCACTCGCCCTGAGGGCGGCCGCAAGAACAAGACCCCCGAGGAGGAAGTCACCGGTGTTGCCGACCAGGCTCTCGCCAGCGCGGGCGACATGAAGCTACCCGGTCTCTCACCTAAGGAGGGTGATGACAGCTCGCTGAAGATCAAAATCAGTTTGAACCTTCATGCTAAGGTTCGCTTGGATCTGGACGCTCAGATTTACGGTGATATCACCATTGGTCTGCTGTAAATATCACCAGCTATCATTTTATATGTGATTCGGTATGTTGGATCTTGTCCTGACGCTATGGTCTAGGTCGAAATGAAATCAAATATCTCCAATTCTATGGAATTCGACTAAGACGATAATAGGTCGATGTAGTACCTGGAGTGGCTCGCTATGGCTCGACTAGCTAGGGGCTTGGTATCGCTACTGAGATCCATCGACCGCCGCAGATCGATGAATGTACATAACGGAACAATCGCATAACGGAACGGATGAAATTGGAACATGCATGTCTCGAGTGCAGGCAATCATTACGAACGTAAATGTGCATGTACGTCGTAACCTGAAGGCTCGAGTGCCTCAGGAGAAATTGCTACGTAGCATCTCAATTGAGCATGGAAATAGAGAAGCAAATCACTCATCGATGAGTTGATTGATCTTGACATTTAAAGTGGGCAAAGCCTTTGATTTCAAACTAGCTTTGAGATTCATACAAAGGGCTAAACGAAACAAAGTCAATCTCCATATAGTTCTTTGCTCAATCAAAGAATGTATCTTTTTCTAAGTGACTTAAATTAACTTGAAGCCTCGGTCCTTCAGTTTATATAGAACTAGAATTCCCAGTCATACTGCCCACCAAGCCCAGGTTAGCCCGTGAGCTCCAATTTCGAATTGAAATTTTATAAATCTCGTCTTCTGAGTATACAGGCAGGAAAACCGGATAATCACCAGGATGTCTACCCGCGCTAACTTTTCTCCCACAGCAGAAGATGAGGTCGACCGCTTTCTGAGAATACGCCGCGAGATGTGCGACAAGCTAATAAGCTGGAACGAGAATCTTATAAGAGATCCAAGAATCGGCAGCACACTTTCTGGCAATCTCAGACAACTACTGGAGCAGGAATTCAATGAGCTCACAGCGCTACACCACAGAATTCGGGGAGAATTGGATCATGTCAAATGCAGACCGTGACGGCTGGAACTATTGTTGGCAGACAAAGGCCGATCGGATCCGAGAGTATATGCAGACCTTGATCCGAGATCTGGCCAACCCGCCTGCGCATTACCATCAAGCTGAGCTTGCCGAAATATTGAGTATAGTGGCAGTCTGCATTGGCCAGCTGCACTACCGTAAGCAAGTCGACGACCATGTTCGACAGATGCGGGACGCAGCACAAGAGATGAACCGTCGCCGTATCACACAGGGTTACTTTGGACATCACCTTTGAATTGTCTGGGATGAGCTTTTTGAGTTGATGAAATGTGCGTGTGACCTTTGCTGGACGGGTTATTGACTGTAGAGCTGCTCCTAGATTTGATTGAGTAAATTGTTGGAATTCAGAGTATGAGTTGTCTATGTCCTTGCTGTCAAAGGTCAGTCCAAGGGATTCTTGATGGGTATTGGGTCGGCCTGGTCTAGAAACAATGAAAGGGCTATTGATATAAATATCATTTCATTTTCCTTGGTAACTAGTTCGAACAAATCATGGGCAGAGTTCAAACCTCCGCCATCGATGGTAAGGATCTGTTGGCCTTAGGCCGCAAGGCGGTATACCGTCCGACCGCGGTGGCCCTCCACGAATTCACTGCCGCAGTTGAAAGCCCCGACCAAAACCCCCCGGTCCAATTCATATTCCTCTCGCAACCCTCACAATGGTTGCGCAGACACTGAGCTCGCTCCTGCAGCGGGCTACGATTGACGACCACGAGGAGGTCCTCAAGTCCTGCAACGAGACTCTCAAGAAGTCCAAGAACGACCAGAACGCTCAACACATCAAGGCGATCGCTTTGCTCAAACTCGACCGTTACGAGGATGCTTTGCGAGTTTTCGAGACCGGCAGCGATGCGCTGAAGCAAGCTGCTGGATTGGAGTATGCTTATGCGCTGTACAAATGTGGAAAGCTCGATGAGGCACTTGATGCTGTCACCAAGTCCGGTGCGGGGAGGGGCGCTAGCCATTTGGAAGCCCAAGTGGTACGAATTGAGTCACGACCTGGATGAAGCCCTTGAGCTTGCGCTAATCTGTTTGTCTGGTTGTTAGAGCTACCGAGCTGAGAAATTCCATCGCGCCGCAGATTTATACGAACAGCTGTCCCAAGATGGGTCGTCCCACCACGAGGCAAATGACCTCGGAATCAACTCATGGGCCACGGATGCTCAGCTAGTGTGGAAGGGAGAAGCTGAATACGTTCGCCACGATCGGCCATCGCGGGAAGATCTCGAGTCTTTTGAGACGGCATACAATGCGGCTTGCTTGACCATTGCCAAGGGTGCCTTCGCCCAAGGCGAGGTGCTTCTTAACCGCGCAAAGAGTGAGAATCGACCATCGCTGCCTCACGTCTATCACCTTTCTGACAATTTCTACAGACATTTGCCAAACATCAGAGGACCTGACTTCCGAAGACCGCGCCGCTGAGCTGCTACCAATTGCTGTGCAGTACCTGTACGTCTTGCTTCGGCTGGGCAAGACGGAACAAGCGGAGGCTCTGCTCGAGGAGATTTCAGTAGAAGAGTAAGTGGATTTCCTTCGAAACCGACTTTGACAAATCGTGGCTCGACTCACCATTATTGTCACGATCACTAGGATCCCCGAACTATCAACAAAGAAGATCGCCCGCAACAACATCGTCCTTGCTCGCCAGACCAACATCAACCCTTTCATCCTCTACAAGGCTCTCCATGAGACGCCCGATTCGGTCAACAATGATCGTCTCTTCGACTACCAGGACAGCATCCTGGTCGGTAACTCGCACGCTGCCGATCTACTGGTCCAGAAATACGATGGTATTATTCGATCAACGAACAAGGCGCTCTCAAAGAGCTCCTGCCCCTCAACTACAGCCAGCACCAACCTCCTCTCCGTGTACAATGCCGCAGCACAAGCCGAAGGCCAAACCGGACAAAAGGCTTTGAAGAAGATCCTCCCGCTCCTTGAACGCCGGCCCAAGGATTTGGGCCTCCTCCTTACCGTTGTCCAGCTCTACGTTAACGAGGGCAACACCACCTCTGCGATTACCACCATGGAGCGATCTCTACAGGCTCTGGAGGAATCCATCTCCGAAGCAGACCAAGATGCTCGCTTCAACCCTGGCTTGTTGAGCGCCCTCGTTTCATTGTACCAGCTTGAGGGCCGCAAGCTCCAGATCCGGTCTACCCTTGCACAGGCCGCCGCATACTGGCGCAAGAAGCCCGATTCTCCTGCATCCCTCCTTCGCGCCGCGGCTACTTCCCTTCTCCACTCGGATGATCAGGCGGATTTGACCACCGCTGGTGATCTGTTCAAGGCTCTCTACCAGCAAGACTCCAGCGACCGCGTCGCCATTGCCGGCTACGTCGCATCCCAAGCAACGCTCAACTACTCACAGGTGGAGTCTCAACTTGAGCAGCTTCCCGAGGTGAGCGAACTGGTCGCAGACATCGACGTATCTGCGCTGGAGTCTGCAGGCATCATGCCCTCCGCGACATCCGCCGCAGCTGCCGCCGCCTTCGCCGGTGCTCGCAAGCGCACTGCCGCGGACAAGGACGCCCGTGCCGCGAAGCGTGTGCGCAAGTCCCGGTTGCCCAAGGACTATGACCCGGAAAAGAAGGCTGATCCCGAGCGCTGGCTGCCTCTGCGTGACCGTTCTTCTTACCGTCCCAAGGGTAAGAAAAACAAGCAGCGTGCTGCTGATCGGACTCAGGGTGGACCTGTGAACGAGAAGGCCGAAGAGTCTCCTGCGAGTGCGCAGCAGAAGGCCGGTGGTGGTGGTGGTGGAGGTGGCAGTTCGAAGAATAAGAAGAAGAAGGGCAAGCGGTAGTGGGAAGTTTTTTGGTTAGTCTTACCTGGCCAAGTCCTCGTGGAGCGCGGTGTATTATTTCAATGCATATATGAATATCAAGAAAAAAGACTTGTATCTGCAATGCAGAAATCAAAGCATCTCGCACCAAGCCTGATAACAATGTAACCTGTATTTGCACCGAGTCCATAAAAAAGCCAAACCAGAACTCTGAAGACCGAAACACAAGGTATCCCATAAAATAACATGCCAAATTCCGCTCGCAACATGGATCCTTCAAGATATTAGGGGGAAAAAACGAATTCGCCGTCCGAACTGAGATACCAATTGAAAGTTGTCATTATCCAGCACATAAGCACGAAAATCATCAAACCCACAATATCATATCTCCCAATCACCACCTCAACCCAACGGCGTCCGAATCGTCCCACATTGCCGATCATAATGATCAAAGATCATATGCATAAGCTTGAGATCATCCAGGGCGTCTTCCGCGGTAGTCTTCGCCTCGAGATTCGAGTCTCCAGCGTCACCAGCTAGATACGCATGCATAGCCAAGAATTCCTGCTCGTACGTTTCCCTGGCGGTGCTCACGAATTCGGTGCGCTTCATTCGCGGACGAGTCCGTGCATGTCCATTCGCAACGCCGTTGCCCTGACCGTCGCCGTCGCTATTGACATGTCCATTCTCGCCAGCCTTGCCATTCACCTCAACATCAACATTAACATCAACATCACCAGAATCATCAACGGCCTCCTCAACAACGACCTTAACGGCAACACCCTCCCCGCGCACACCCACGCACGAAAAGTCATACTCCACACTAATCGTCTTCTTCTCCCCGTAGACCGTCAAATGCGCATCGCACCGGGGCACCCCGTCAACACCGGCCTCCCAGATCAACGTAAACGGATACGTCACACCACGACTATCATCCGTGTAATGGAACATGGCCGAGTAAAACGGCTCAATGATAGAGATATTCGACACCGCATCTGGAAACCCCAGACTCTCGCGTATTAACGAGAGATCGTGGCCGCCTAGTGTACCCAGGAAACGGCAGAACGCTTCGCGGTCGCGCGTACAGTCTTCGCCCGAGCCAAAGATGTCGGCGAGGAGGGCGTGGATCCGTGCCGGGCGGGCGGTTGATGAGGCAGACGGGGTGAGGGAAGAAGGTAGACCGCTGTTGCTGTTGCCGTTGATGTATCCTTTTCCAGGCGTGTTGGGAGCGACGGGGGCCGTGTAGGGACCGGTGATATTTCGACAACGGGCATAGTAGACTCGGCCTAGGGTGGAGATCTCCTTTTTGAAGATATCCGTGAAACAAGGTGCGTAGCGACGAGCACAGCCTACGAAGACCTTTGGCCCGGGTGTGTTCGAGACGTTTGTATTTGCGATTGCATTGTCGGGTTGAGAGGATCTTGCGGCGCCCTTTTTGCGCGCATCGCGCACGCGACGGAGACCGTGGATGCTTAGGCTCAGGGGGACTTCGACCATGACGTGTTTGCCTGATTCCAGGGCTGCGAGGGTGTACTGTTCATGATGGTCGAAGGGGAGGAGGTTGATTATGAGGGTTACGTCTGGATGGTTGATGACTTCGTCTGGGTTTGTCGTTATTTGCGGGGTGTGAACATCGGCGTGCTTTTGGGTATCTCGTTCGAGGTTGTTGGACGTTGTGTGGATGATGATGAAGGTGTAATGGTTTGGCAGGGAGTTGAGAATTGGGATGTAGATTGAGTCTGTGGCGGTGGTGGCGCCTAGGATGCCGACGTGTAGGACTGGAGTGGTGGGCATGATGGCTGGATTGTTGGATGGTATGAGATAACCTTGTAGACCACACTGGGTCGTTTGAGGAAGGAAGATTGAGGATCACACGGAGATTCTGGATCCAGAGTTCATGTGGCGATCAAGGGGGGGGGGGGGGGGGGGGGGGGAGCTGAGAAGAGGCGCATGTGGAAGGGAGTTTGAAGAACGCGTGAGATCTTTGTTTGTTTGATATGGAAACCGTGACGATGAAGAGGAGAGAGATTCTTCGAAGTCTGCCAGAAATAGTCTCGCCCCAGTATTTAATAATGAAGGAGGAAAATTATCCTCACTTGAACCATCTGCACTCATAAATTTTCCCAACTGGCCGTTCCAGCTTCGCATGCCAGTTCAGTGACATCAGCGGGCTTCGCATTGCCGCCCAGTCAAGGAGGGCCTTAAAAGGAGACGGGCGTGGGAAGAGAAGGAGCACTTTGGTTGGACCAAACTCTCTCCACCGAATAGATCGTGGCGCATGATCTCTGGGGATATCCTGCCGAACCCGATCCTTCCGCCGTCGATGGTGCCGATCTGTACTACACGTTGGGCTGATGCTGGAGGAAATAAGGTGGGGGTGAGGCGATGGAAATCGGTCTGTCGTGGCATTAGGGCAATAACAAATAAAAATTGACGTAGAATAATCTATAGGGAGAGTTTGGATATACTATCAAGTTAGGCATAAGGTCTGGAGAAGAAAGATCATCTTTAGAAAGTAGATAGAGTCGGATAGAAGAATATGCTCGCGGTATAGTTTATCCTCGAGCTTCTGGAAATTAGGGTGGAGCGAGTGGGCCTTGGAGCTCCCCCAAGCACATGAAGCTAGGACGGATAGGAGTGGCGCTATAGTAAGACAAGGATTGTTGAACAAGTTGATTGAGGGAGTGAGAAGGTTGACTAGAAATGAAAGATCAAAATGGCATACGTCTTCTCTGTAATACCGAGTGTCTCTTTTTCCCCTTCTGGCTACCCAATATGATCACCTTGTCGTCCTCAGGCCGACTACACATGCGCATGCATATGAAGCCCTAGGACTAGCATCAGTATCGCCTACCTTATTTGAACTACCAAAATGCTGGAGTACCTGGACTATAGTACCCTATGCTATAGTACTGTACATTCTAACATAGAATGGTACAAATGAAAACCCCCCTGACAATATCGTTCTCGTACCACCCGTGCACCACAAGAGCGTCGCCCCTCGTACCCCACCGTTCAGCACGGCCGAGAGTGGCCCCCCTCCAGCCTGGGCTCTAAGCCTCAGCCATGCCTCATCCGGTGTGGTGCTGCTCCATCAGCTGGCGTCATCTTGCCATTTTTTGTCTTTCTTGTCTGACAGCTCCCCTCACGAGTCGACTCCTTTATTTCTCCCATCTATTTCCCTGTTCACTTTTCCGACATGGGTGTAAGTTGTCCATTTCATCTTTTTCTCCCCTCTCTTCACCCCCACTTGAAACCACCCAACTGACCGCGAACTCTTCGTTGCTCTCTCCAGTTCGCCGCAAAGCTCGCTGCCGCACAGCAGAACCAGAATCAGACCATGTCGTCGAATTCAGGTCAACCAGGCACGTATGGCGGTGCTCCGCCGTCCGGATATACTGGAGGCCCTCCGCCTACAGCATTGCGCCCTGGTGGATACGTAAGTCGAGAGTCTGATCACCCGTTCACTCACTGTCAACCCCATCTCGACGTCATTTGGAGAAAAGCAAGAAGTTGACCGTGTCTTCTGTAGCAGCAGCCGCAGGGACAACAGCAGCAGCAGCAACCCTCGCAGTACCAGGCTTACCCAGGGTCTCCTCCACCTGCTCAGGGATCGGTAAGCTTCCCCCTCTCTTGATCTTCTTCATCTCTTTCTCTCTTCCTCGTCCCTTATTGTTATTTTTTTTTCTCTCTTTACTCCACATTACCCCTCCACGCTGCTCTCCCGCGGAACACCCCCTTCTCTGTTTTTCTCTCACTCGGCGCTCTCTGGTCCCATCAACCACCCACGGAAATCCAAAAAAAAAAATAATCCCTTCGAAATCCACCATGTCGGGTCATTATTACCCACAAGGTCAACCTCCGTACGGCGGCTCACCTGCTCAAAACTACCAGCCTTACAACGCTCCCTCGCCGGCGGCTTACTCGAGGGCCACTCCACAACAGCCATCGCCCTACCCCGCACAGCAACAGCAACAGCAACAAGGCTATTCGCGCCCTCCACCGCCGCCACCCCAAGGTCAGCCCTATGGATCTTCCGGATCGGCGTACCCTGGACAGCAGCCGCCCTACCCTGGTCAACAATCACAGTCCCCTTACCCCGGACAACAGTCGCCTTACCCAGGACAGCAACCACCTTACCCTGGACAGCAATCACAATCGCCTTACCCTGGTCAACAGCCACCTTATCCTGGACAGCAACAGCAGTCTTCCTATGTACAGATGAGCCCTCACATGTGCCTTGCGTTGATCGTTTTACGCTGTTTATTTCTCCGATTTATGCAGATATCGTCATTTCAGACGATAGATAGCTGACATTCGCTTTTAGAACCAGGCTGCTTATCCTCCTCAAGGTGCGCCCTACGGCGGTCAGGGACGCCCCGGTGCCTCACCCGGACCTCAGGGTGGACAGCAATATGGCGCGCCCGGTGGTCAGTATGGAGCTCCCGGCGGTGCACCTGGACCTCAGGGTGGACCCGCGACACCACAGCAGGTCGATGCCTACCGTCGCCTGTTAGAAGATACCATCCGAGAGAAGCAGCTGCAAAGATTCTATCCTCCCGGCTCCAAGGCCCTGGATGGTCTCGTTCAGTTCCTTGCCAATGAGGCCCCGGCCCGGCTGCAGCGCATCGTGCATGAGCTGAATGTGCCGATGGAAGTGGCCACCGATCTCATGAAGCTCGCACTATTCGACATCGTTCTCTATGTGGATGACAGTGGTTCCATTGAATTCGAGGAGAAGGGTCTCCGCAAGGATCAGCTGCGACAGATTCTGGGTATCGTGGCGACCGTGGCCTCGACCTTTGACCAGGACGGTATTGAGGTGCGCTTCATGAACTCCATGGAGGAAGGTCACGGAGTCCGGAGCTCCGATGATGTCGAGCGTCTCGTCTCGCGTGTTCGCTTTTCCGGTCTGACTCCTCTGGGCACAAGTCTGCGCCAGAAGGTTGTGGACCCCTTGGTCATCGGCCCCGTTCGTTCTGGTCGTCTGCAAAAGCCCGTGCTTATCATCACTATTACTGATGGTCAACCCGCGGGTGAGGCGCACAGCACCGTTCGCGATACTATCAGCTACGCTGTTCACGAGGTTCAGCGGGCGCAGTACAGCACTGGTGCCGTCAGCTTCCAATTCTCGCAGGTCGGCAACGACACCCGTGCGCGGGAGTTCTTGTCCGACCTGGACGAGGATCCGGAAATTGGACAGTTGATTGACTGCACATCGAGTAAGTCACACAAGGTGGTGATTGTAGAGTTGCTGTTGGAACATTGAACCCCGGACGCCGGACTGACCCATATGATTTTGTAGACTTTGAGGTCGAGCAGGATGAGATGTCGCGAGCTAACCCACCCGTACACTTGACTCGTGAGCTCTGGGTATGTTTCGTCCGAGATTGCATCTGAAAACGCCCTCTCGTTCAAGCACTAATCCGATGTCTGCAGTGTGCCAAACTCATGCTGGGCGCTATCGATAGCTCCTACGATACCAAGGACGAGAAAGCCGAGAGGCGCAACCAACCCGGCGGCCCTCCCCAGGGACCTCCCCAGGGCTCGTATGGCGGAGGTGGCTATGGCCAGGCACCTCCTCAGGGTGGCTACAATGCTCCCCCCTCAGGCTATGCTCCCAACACATATAACCAACAGCCCAATTATCCCCCACAGCAGCAGCAACAGCAACAGCCTCCCTACCCAGGTGCCAACCGAGGCAACGCTCCCGCTCCTGGATATGGCCAACCCCAGCAATATGGATACGGTGCTCCTCCATCCGGTGGAGCAGGAGGCTATCCCCAGTCAGGAGGCTATGGACAGCAGCCACTACCCCGTCGCTACTAAGATTGCAGGAAAAGGATACACAACAAAGGCTCCGAAAGGTACGGGCATGAAGTCACAGGCTGCTATTCCCTTGCGCGTTTGCGAGCTTTAATTCCTGGAATGTTTTGTTTCAACATGGGTTTCCAGAACATATGCGTACTCTGGATCAGCTCTTAACAAATTGTATTTTTGCCTCGTTTTCGGAAAGTATGCCTTTTTGCATGGTTGATCATGCCTTAGGATAAGTTAGGTTGGAATGCGATGAATGCAATTGATACACTCGACAAAATGAGGTTATAGATGCCGTATTCTGGTCAGACTGAAGGGAAATGATATGTATTGGCCTGCTATAGCTTGGTCTAGTATAATCGTTATGTAGTCCTTCCTGGCTGAATCTCCCTCATGTGGCTGAATGTTACGTGTGCCTTATAATTAGTTTACAAAATTTATTACAAAAACTCTCAAAGGTTTGTAGTGTGGCCAAGTGGCAATAGGCGGGTTTTGGTACTTTGTGCAAGATTCTGCTATGTGGACAAGTGCTGTTCCACGGGAACTCCAGATTGGAATCGCGTCGTGGAATATTTCGAGCAGATGTGTCAAAAAAGCATAGAGATGGCACAGATATGTACAAGATTTGCAGAACTCGCTAAAGAGTGCGCTTTTTATAACAACAAAGACCTCTATAAGGCTCTATCAGACCTCGAGGAGACGGAGTTACAGCGGACTTATGACGCCTTAAAGCGGCACCCAACCTGGCAGATACGCCATGAACTGGCTCATAGCCATGAGCACAGCGACAAATGCAAGGACGGAGATCATGTGGCAGACTCTCAAACCTCATCGACGATTGAGCAAGTAAAGAGAGCTAGTGAATGCTTGTCGGACTCTTCGTGCTCTTATGACCAACTCGTCGAGCTTTCGGCAAAGATGGACAAGCTCAATGAGAGCCTTTGCCAGAGCCTTCCATCCCATGGTACGGTCAATATGTCGACGAGCAGCGTCAATACTACTGTAAAGCCAGCCGTGGGCTTTTGGAAGAGAGGTTTTAAACATTCAGCTTAGCTTTGATCATAAAGTAGTGATCGCCGAATATCGGGACTCATCTCGTGTTTCCTGAGCTTGAATGATTCATCTATCAATCAAGAAATAATTTACTTTGAGGTGGCTGATTTGCATACAAGTCCAATGCCGTCTTTGTAATTTTGACACATATCTCTCTCCTTCATAGCACGGTTCTATAGTCCCACAGAAAAAAGAAGGATTCAGTGACATATAGGTTGCATGCTCAAAAATTCTAAGATCTAACGCTTAGGTGATAGACCAAGAGCTTACATCGATTAGCCAATTGTATGTCTGAAAAGAAGAAAGAAGATTGAGGTGCTCAAGGCACTGTCAGTGTACATTCCAACATGGGCCAGTTTACTTTAGACTTTCAAACAGGCAAACAAAGGTCAAGATGAGCCTGATCGCGATACATCGGGCAGCACTTAAAACGTGGCGGCGAGTTAACGCAAGACAAAAAAATTTTCATCGCGCAGTGGTTACGATCCACGCTCCAACCTCTTCTGTTTCTGAAGATCTTTCGAAACGTCTTTTGAAACATCTTTTCGAATAATCCAGGCAGTATCTCTTGGATTATCTTTTAAAGGCTCCATCCACCCTTTCCTATTTCAAAAGATCTTTCGGAACGTGATTCAAACCATCTTTCCGAACAGCCCATGCCTTGTCTCTCGAGTTCTCTTTTGAAGTATATTCGATGTTATGATTTTGAAGTTTAATCGGAGGCTTCAAACTTATAAGACTCCACTACATAGTAGTGGGGCATCATCTTTCCGAGTGGGGAGGTTTTTTTACTTTCAATGCCAGTTGACAGGTAATGTGATATACAAAAGAGACTTGACTGATGGATTTTAACTTTTGATTGGTCTGTTTCTTGAACAGAAAGACTTTGATAATGTAGAAGCCTAAAGTACTCCATTACCCACAGCCCTCGGCCTAAGGCCGCCCATGATGTAGTCGCTCCACCAATAATCCAAGGAAATGTTAGGTTGCCTATATGTAGTACAAAGATAAAAAAATGAATTCAGAAATGTCACTACGAGTACTGTAGTACGATTTACCTATCACAGAGCAATATACTTATTCCTTAGGAGTACTAAAAGTACAATCGTGTAAGGTGCACGATGAAGTTGCCACCCAAGTTTTAGCCTTTTAGTACAGGCAGAACGGTTAAAAAAGTATGGAGAAAACCTTACTAGGCGCCTTATTCTTAGGGCGTCTGTTAAAGTGTCTGGCTCTGGCCACTCACGAGTTCAGAGGATGAAACATGGAAGGCCTGGTTCGGTGGAGGCGAAAGAGCGGATTTTCCTTTTTGCGTGGGCTGTGTACACACTTGGCACTTGGCCCTGTCGGTGCGTGAACTCTACAGGACCACTCCGGTTGGTTCTGGAGTCCAATTCCTCCCCCAAGTCTGGATGCAACCCCCAAATTGCCCCCAATTGCGCGTCGCGGGCTCCACACAAAGTTAACCACCCTTCTGTGCCTCTTTTGACAGGCAGTCCCATTTCCCATATTCTCTGGCTCAAGGAACAAGTCCTCACTGCCTGTCCAACTATTTTTGGCCTTTTGCCTTACCCTCTAGAAAAGAAAAAAAATTCAAAACCTGGAGAAAATCAACCTTCTCGACCGCTTCGGGCATCTTGCCGCATCCGGTCTGGCTTTGCCTCCGACTCTCACTTGAGCGCTCCCGTCAACAATCATCCCCCACTCCGCATATACCTTTCGTTTTCGAACTTATTCTTCAACAACAATCCTCGACACTTTGTCGCGACCGCTTGAACTTTGCGCCGTTCATTTGCCGTTGGCTTTCGTCCTAACTTGCGGTCAATCAAACCCTCATTTTGCGACCATCAATCGGAAACCCCCCGAAATCCTCGCCAAATAAGTCATACTTACAACCTGGTCAATGTACTAGAGAAGCATGACTGCGACCTCTCCAATCTCTAATACGATCGATTCCCTCTTTCACATCTAAACCACAACGCCGGTCTTCACAGATCTCCGATCGGAATCAGGAACGAAGAAAAAGAAGAAGTGATCGTCGCCTGGGTGTGTCCCGCGCCAGGCACGACCTTTCGTCATGTCCAACCATGACGACCACCCCCTAGATGACGGCCGCCCGTCGCAGGAGCAGAATCAAAATCAGAATCAAAACCCGCCCGACGTTGTGCGCCGGCCGTCCCTCGTTTCTTCACGCACCATGTCCGACGCTGGCCGCCGCACTTCCCAGCAGTACCACGTGCGGTTCTCGACCGACCACGACCGACCGGCCGATGAGCTGCCACAGCGTCAATTATCGACGACGGAGGACCGACGTCCGAGTTCGCGAGGCCTGACGATCGATACTACGCTTGCACCGCCGACCACCCACCTCCCTGCTCGTTCACCAACGTCTCCCCTCTCGCCCCCGAATGCCGCTGCCAGCGCAACGCTCTCGCCAATCTCCCCGCCGAGTCCAGACTCCGCGGATGGTCGATCGCGATCGCGAAATCGTGGATACTCGCTACGTCGCAGTATCTTCAATAAGAATATTCAGACGCAATCTGATCAGGATGACGGTGTGGAACTGGATGAGACTGGGGGCTCTGGGAGGAGTCCCGAGAGGGAAATCGCCGTCGCACCAAAGACCGTGGATGCTCCCAGTCCGGTGGATGAGAAGAATGAGTTGGCCGTCGCACCGACGGCGACGGTGGAATGGACAAAGGACGAAGCCTCGACGTATCCCTCGTCCCGTTCTGACCTGCCTCTGAAGGATTATTATATGTCGATCGCGCAAGATAACTGGGTGAAGAAGAAAGCTGCCACGGCAGGACTTGTCACCCGCGTGGAGACTGTCTTGACTGCGGTTCAGAAGTTCATTCTCCGCATCGAGGATATTCCACCTACCAAGGATGGACGGCATATCGACCTGAAGCCGTCCTTGGTGGAGACTCTCATCGATGAGCGCACTGGCAAGGCCTATTGCGCCAATTGGATTCGGTCGAGCCGGTACAGTTTCTGGAGTTTCTTCCCCCGTCAATTGTTTGCGCAATTCACCAAGTTGGCCAACTTTTACTTCTTGGTTGTCGCGATTTTGCAGATGATTCCCGGTCTGAGTACGACGGGAACGTTCACGACTCTTATTCCCCTGTTAATCTTCGTCGGTATCTCGATGGGCAAGGAAGGATTCGATGATTGGCGCCGGTATCGTCTGGACAAGGAAGAGAACAACCGCTACGCTTGTGTGCTTCGTCCGGGTGAGGCGCCCATCACCGACGGTGCGTCCATGGCCAGTGGTGCTCATGGCTGGGTGGAGATCAAATGGCAAGATATTCGGGTTGGAGATGTCATCAAGCTCCAGCGTGACCAGCCCGTTCCCGCTGATTTTGCTCTGCTTCACGCCAATGGGCCCAATGGGGTCGCCTACATCGAGACGATGGCCCTAGATGGAGAGACCAACCTGAAGAACAAGCAACCCTGCCAGGCCGTGGCCAAGGTGTGCTCGACCGTAGACGACATTATCAGCAACTCGCTGCATTTTGTCGTCGAAGACCCAAACATCGATCTATACAAGTTCGACGGCCATGTCACTGTTAACGGCCAGGAGAAGCTTCCCTTGACCAACAATGAAATTGTCTACCGTGGCAGTATCCTCCGCAACACTGACCGCGCTATTGGCATGGTCATTTACACTGGCGAGGAGTGCAAGATCCGCATGAATTCCAACAAGAACCCCCGTATCAAGAAGCCGGCCCTGCAAGCCAAGGTCAACCGCGTTGTCATGTTGATCGTGGTTCTGGTGGTTGTCCTCGCCGTTGCGTGCACCGTTGCCTACAAGTACTGGGCGCAAGACGTGGAACGCTATTCCTGGTACATCAGCGATGCCAGTGTCTCCTACGGACCCATCTTCACCTCTTTCCTGATCATGTTCAATACGATGATCCCCATCTCGCTCTACGTCAGTATGGAGATTGTCAAGGTGGTCCAGATGCTCCTACTGAACGATATCGACATGTACGACCCGGAAACCGACACTCCCCTCGAGGCCCGCACTTCTACTATCAATGAGGAGCTCGGCCAAATCAGCTACATTTTCTCTGACAAGACCGGTACTCTGACGAACAACTCGATGCGATTCCGCAAAATGAGTGTTGCAGGTACTGCGTGGTTGCACGACCTTGATCTCCAGGAGGAAGCTGCTCGCGCAGGTGAGAAGCTTATTCACAAGAAGCGGAACCTAAAGGGCAAAAAGGCTGCTGGTCGCAAGTCCAATGTCTCCGAGGTTCGCATGAGCATGGCCCGGCCTTCCAATGTTTCCGCCAGCGCGGACCAGATGCGCCGGTTTACGCGGTCAGCTCCTAGCCGGACCACTGAGATGCTGGAATACATTCAGCGCAAGCCATACACAGTCTTTGCGAGAAAGGCCAAGCTGCTTATCCTGGCTATGGCTCTTTGTCATTCCTGCATTCCCGAAGAGGATGAGCATGGCAACGTGTCCTTCCAGGCTGCTTCGCCTGATGAACTGGCTCTCGTGATGGCGGCGCAGGAACTCGGATATCTGGTCATGGATCGCCAGTCGAATGCCTTGACTATCCGTACGTACCCCAACGGCATGGACGAGCCTGCTGTCGACGAGATCTACGAAGTCATGGACGTGATCGAATTCTCCAGTGCGCGGAAGCGCATGTCAGTTGTCGTGCGCATGCCCGACCAGCGCATCTGCCTCTTCTGTAAGGGTGCCGACACTACGCTCATGCGCCTCCTGAAGAAGGCCGAACTGGCCCATGAAAAGGCCGCCGAGATTGAGCGTCGTGCAAGCAAGCGCAAAACCGCCGAAGCCAACCAGGTGATCCGTCGCAACAGCGAATATCACAGTCGCAAGGATAGCGGTGTCCGCACCAGTCTGAGCCGTCCCAGCTTCACTCGCCGTCGTTCTTCGGTCTCTGGGCATCACGCTTCCACATTGCGTCAGAGCATCGATGTCTGGCTGCGCGATCGTGAGACTGACGGTGGTATGCTGAATCGTGAGACCGACAGTGCATACTACAGCCCTCGACCTTCTACCCAGCTTGGACGCAACTCGACTGCTATTTCCGACTCCGGTAGCTCGACGAATGGTGGGGAAGATGACGGTGACCTGGTGGAAGAGGCTCTCGTCGTTGACGAGGCTGCGGTCTTCGAACGCTGCTTCCAACATCTGAACGATTTCGCCACCGACGGACTGCGCACTCTGATGTATGGACACCGATTCTTGGATGAAGCTACTTACCAGAGCTGGAAGACTGCCTTCCACGATGCTTGCACTAGCCTGGTGGACCGCCAGCAGAAGATTGAGCAAGTTGGCGAGGAAATCGAGACCGAGCTTGAGCTGACCGGTGCTACTGCCATCGAGGACAAATTGCAAAAGGGCGTTCCCGAGGCGATCGACAAGCTGCGCCGTGCGAATATCAAGCTGTGGATGTTGACCGGTGACAAGCGCGAGACTGCTATCAATGTTGGACATTCCTGCCGTCTGGTCAAGGATTACTCTACCTTGACGATTCTTGATCACGAAAATGGTGATGTGGAGGAGACCATCGTTCAGTTGACCGCAGATCTCATGCACAACAAGGTGGCGCACTCCGTGGTCGTCGTTGATGGACAGACTTTGTCGGAAATTGAAGCCGACAATGTCGTCCGTGAACGGTTCTTCCAGCTTGCTATTCGTGTTGACTCGGTGATTTGCTGCCGCGCCAGCCCCAAGCAAAAGGCATTCCTGGTCAAGTCCATCCGCAAGCATGTCAATGATTCGATCACCCTGGCTATTGGAGACGGCGCCAATGACATTGCCATGATTCAGGAGGCTCATGTTGGTATTGGTATCACGGGCAAAGAAGGTCTGCAGGCTGCTCGCATTTCAGATTACTCGATTGCGCAGTTCCGCTTCCTGCTGAAACTGCTGCTTGTCCATGGCCGGTGGAATTACATGCGCGCCTGCAAGTACACTCTCGGCACGTTCTGGAAGGAAATGCTCTTCTACCTGACGCAGGCACTGTATCAGCGCTGGAACGGATATACTGGTACTTCGCTTTACGAGCCGTGGAGTCTGAGTATGTTCAACACTCTGTTCACTTCTCTGGCTGTTATCTTCTTGGGTATCTTTGCCAAGGATCTCTCTGCGTCGACTCTTCTTGCCGTGCCCGAGCTTTACACCAAGGGCCAGCAGAATGGTGGCTTTAATATTCGCCTCTACCTCGGTTGGACATTCATGGCAACCTGCGAGGCTATGATCATCTTCTTTACGATGTATGGCCTCTTCGGCATGGTCCAGATCAACCCATCTGGCACGGACACCTTCGCGCTCGGCCTACTCACCTTCACGGCTTGTATCACGGTCATCAACATCAAGCTTCAAGCCCTCGAAGTCCACAACAAGACCTACCTCTCCCTTGTCGTGATTATCATCTCCGTCGGCGGCTGGTTCCTTTGGGACATCATCCTCTCCGAACGATACAAGATGTCCTCCGGCAAAGGTGTCTACGCTGTTCCAAGCAACTTCCTCCACCACGTCGGCCACAACCTCCTCTTCTGGCTCGTCCTCCTCATCTCCGTCGCCGCAGTCATCCTCTTCGAAATCACCGTCTCCACTCTCCGCGTCCTCTTCTTCCCTACAGATGTGGATATCTTCCAAGAATACGAGCAAGACCTTGACATCCGCAAACGCTTCGAAGAAGCCGCCGCCGCCGAACTCCAACAAGGCTGGGACCGCGGCACGAAAAAGTCCTCCTTCGAACTTGCTCGTGAAGCTGCCGAGCTTGCTGAAATGGATGCTCGCGAGCGCCATGTTCAGGAATTGCTTGCGCGTCCTCGTGTAATGGCGGATTCAAAGCCCGTCACGCAAGAGACTGAGATGGAAGGATACTCGAGTGCCAGCGTCACTGCTAGCCACAATGATAGCGAGGCTGTGGATCGCAGGGTCTCGGTCTCCGGTGCGGGACAGGGGCAGTCCGAACCTATGTCTCCGACCGAATCTTGTGCGCCGAGACGATCGGTGGAGATTCACGAGCTTTTCAGTAAGGGCTTTGGAACTATTCGCAAGGGTCACCTGAAGTGATCTGTGATCTGTGATCTGCGATCTGTATTTTTTTTCTTTCCTTTCCTTTTCAATACCCCCGTGTTCCCCACTCGAAGCGGCTGTATATCACGTCTACATGATGGCGGTTTCGTTTTTCCTTTTCCCATTCTTGGTTATTCCCCTATCACACATCATTCCCTCATAGCGTGCTATCCGTCTCGGTCTTGCATTTTTATCTCATCATCACCCATCACGCTTTCATGTGATCCGCACTCCCTGATCTATAATCACTCTCTCAGTGTGGTTTCATTCTCAAGAGCGTCGGTGTTGGTGGGGGTTTTTTTTTCTTTTTGATAGAGTTCCTTCATTCCTTTATTCGGACTTTTGATACCCCGGCTCGATGTGGTCTGGTTTTTGTTTTCTGTGCTTTTGATTTGTCTTTGTATATACTTGTTTGATGTTATACAAGAGAGTTTCCAGCCGCGATATTGAGTTTTGGTTGTAGATGACTTGCTACGGTAGCATTTGACAACTCACTTGCCTATTCCGGGCATACGACGTGCAGCTTCCTACAATTTCACACGAAATGTAAAATCATGTATCACCAACAAATATATACTAAACAGATATATATACCAACACCCGGCAAATTTGCCGGGGCATGGACTAAGAAAAGGATGCATCTGGGATCGAACTGACCAGCTGTCAAGTCTTTAGCACGGATACACTGCGTCCTTTGCCAGATTTATGGGTGTGACTTTTACAGGAGAAGGAATTGAATCTACCGAATGACGACCCTGACTACAGTACAGTACCCAGCTACTAAAGATACTAAGAATAACTCGGCGTCCACATGGCACAGTGGGACATGGGCAACAGAACTCTGCATGGATCTGACACCCCACCCACGGTAGGACTGCATAGAACAGTACGACTTGTAGGTCTGTACGACGTTATGATTATGATTCCTTGGGGGAAAATGTATTCAACCCCTCAACCCAAAAGCAAAGCCTCACTCGATGACTGGAATTATTGCTAATGGGGCCGAGGAGTTCAGGGTTCAAGCAAATTGGGGCCAGGGTCATGGATATGGGGCTCAGTGGGACTATGTGCATTATAGTGGACTTTGTGGTGTTGGGGGCCATGATGGCGTTGTACTATGTACGTTCATACGGTACTCCGTGCTTTGGGATGGTTTACTGGAGTTGGTCTCTTGTATGTTCTTCATGGGGGGAAGCCTGCGAATAGAGAAGGGTCCGTGAATGGCATTTGTCGTTAGTTATTACATGATACTGGTCGGATCCAATAATGTACATATTCTGGTACTATGTGGGCATCAGTGACGGCATTGGCTTCACTGACAGGGATGGATCGAAGGATCAGCGGTGGGGAACAAGGGTCCGAGGATTATCGTTGCAATTTCCAAAAAAAAAACTTCTTACCCTAATCGACAGAAATATGCCCGGAGTGATGTCCGAATGTATGCGGGGATTTATCTATACGAAAGAAAAGGTCAATTCGGGGGGATGGCGAATATGTCTCAGAAAGCCAAGAAGAAAGTGTGGTGCCGAGCCATACGGAGTACAAATGTCTTTCGGGCTCGACTCCGACAGAACAAAAACTACTGTACATGGAGTATGGGTAGGTTAATTAATCCCTGCCCACGGACGACCGGTAACAGGGCAGTGTCGAATTGACGCGCGGACGTGGAGCGGCGTGGCGGGACCTGCGAGTTTCGGCCAGTCGCGGTCAAGGGGAGTTGGGCTCCGCAGTTCTTGGCACCTTAAGAGGGCAAGGGTGGGCGCTCGGATGGAGGAGAGGGGTGTGTGCATGGTGATTGAGTACGTAGAGTGATCGAAGGAGGTGGTCACAGGATACGTAAGCTTCCTGTTGAGAATGGGAGGCTGATAAGGCGTTGCTGGTGTCTGAAATCCAGGAGCGGAGTTGTCGAGATGGTTGTATAGCTTCTTTTGTATGAAAAAGTCCAAAAAAAGTCGAAAAGGTACAATGAAGAAACAGAGACACGTGATAAATACGTCATGGTCCACGACCGACCTCAAACAAACTCCAGGAACAATTGACGGTTGAATACAATGCACCCTACGCGAGAACTGTCAAATAATGAATAGACATGCAATGCTAGTTTGATATCATGATCCCATATGCGGAGTACATAGCACGTTCCTTGATTAATTGCCGTTTTTGGCCCGCCCCATTTAAACGCCTCTGGACGCCTCTTTTTGGACATTTCGTTGGCTGTCGTGGAGCCGGGCCCTGTTCGACCTCCCGTGGAAACGGCCGATCGTTCCTCGCCCGTCAATCACCCGCTCTGGTTGAATTCCCCTGTCGACTCGTTTTCCCTCTTTTCCTCAATCCTCGATTCATCCGCGACACTCGTTTTCTGTTCAGCCCTGCGCCTGCCAAGCGAACTCGTTCTCGGCGCCGCGTCGTGATCTCCGCCCTTGAGACCCGTTCGAGACCCTTGAAGACTATCGGAGCCAACGGTCTCCGCAATGCGGATGCTCCCCCCAGTAATCCTACCTTAATTCTGCCCTTCCACTGTACGATTATAAACAACGATCGAATCCGCGACTTATCTCTCCCACGACCGTCGCTACCAGAGTCCTCCCGCACGAGAACGAGACACACGACACCACGCGATGCTGCTCAAGGGTCGGGAAGGGGTCATTCCCGCCTCATGGGCATGGAAGAAGATGATGCGATTTGTCGTCACAATCATTGCCATTGCAGGCTTCGCAGCCTTGCTCTGGCCATCTTCCCCGAGAAAGACTACCACCGTCGCCCCGACGCACGCTCACTCCAACATCACCATCTCCGCCAACGTCAAATGCGACCCCGACCCCGACATGTTGGACCGCCTGGGCGTCCGCAAACTGGCCCAATATACCCGCCGAGAGTTCGTGGTCGACTTCACGGAGGATCCTCTACAGATGAGACAACGGATCGATCAGCCCCTGCTGGATGTCAAGGTTCGCGGATCCGGTCACAAAAACGAACTCGGCGAGCCGCAGGACGGCTGCACGATCCCGGCGCCGGTCGCAGTCGTGGCCCCCAAACCCCCCAAGATGGCCGATGCCTCTCACATTGACTTTGGCGTGGCGACCTCGGTGTCCCGATTGAATGAGTCCCTGGACCAATTCGCCCATTGGGCGGGATACACTCGCACGCGCATCTTCGCTCTCATTGAACCTGAAGAGTCAAAGACCAAGGCCGGCATTGCCTACGTCAAGGCCAAGGCGGATAACCTCGGTATCAACCTGTTCATCACCGAATCGGAGGATGACTATTTGCACCGGTACTTTGCCCTCGTCGCCCTGTTGGAGGAGAACATGCGGGAAGGAACACGGTGGGGATGCATCATCGACGACGATACGTTCTTCATCTCCATGCCGGCATTGGTCAAGGCGCTCGCTGAATACGACGACACCAAACCCCTGTATATCGGCGGTCTATCCGAGGGAATCCCACAGATCGCAGTCTTTGGTATGATCGCGTTCGGAGGCGCCGGCGTCTTCCTCTCGCGACCACTACTCTCCGACCTAGCCACCGTCTACGATGAGTGCGAACAGATGACCTATACCGGTGATCGTCGCATTGCAAACTGCATCTATCAATATACGACCACCCGGTTAACCGTGGATCACCGCCTACGTCAACTCGATCTGATGGAGGATGCATCTGGTTTCTTCGAGTCCGGCCGTGAACCCCCACTTTCAGTGCACCACTGGAAATCCTGGTTCCACGCCGACATGCCCAAGCTCAGTGTGATTTCTGAGCTATGCGGTCCTTCGTGTCTGCTGCGCCAGTGGCAGTTTAGCGATGGCTGGTTCTTGACCAATGGGTTCTCCATCGTTCAGTACAGCTTCCCCCCGGAGCAGAACGACCTCACGATGGAGATGACCTGGGAACCGCATAACGGTGCGACCGAGGAGTCATATCTGCATGAACTGGGTCCACTCCGTCGCAAGGACGATCATAAAGTCAGTTATCTGTTGGAAGACTCTGTGATCGAGGAGAATGGCCGTGTTACCCAGTGGTATATCAAGCGCGACAAGAAAGAAGGCGATCAAATTGTCGAACTCTCCTGGCGAAAGCGGTAGACTCGGGGGTACAATATACCTACCTAGTCACCGCTTTATGCTCGAGAGTCATGTCTGAAGTACCTTTTGTAAACTTGCTTTACCTCTGTTTCATTTTGGCTTCGACCCGTCTCTTGTCCCGCTCCTGCATACGCCCTCCCCTTATCGAGGGCCAAACGAGAAGCGGCGTCGGCTCAGGTCCCGACATTTTCATGTTCAAGCCCACCAGTGTTTTGCTTGAGGAATTGCGCTCTTCCCCTTTTGCTTGTTTCTTTTTCCATCAGTCTGGCGCATTTTGGTTCATGGGCAAAATTTGCATTTCTGCCTCCTTTTTGCGCGCTTATAGATTCGGCGATACACCTTGATGTCTGCTTATTATAATGATTAGGGATGATTCAGTTCTAATGTGATATGGAAGATTTGACTTGCATCTCTCTCTTTCTTCTCTAGACGCCGCTTATAGTAGTTCACTGTTGATTTCTTGTATCCATTCCGCATCGTGAGTCCGATAGAGAGCTTGGTAATTAACATCATTGCTTGTGAGAAACCTTAGGTCACGGCGCAACCAAATCAATTCAACGAATATGCGGCTGCCAATACATGATATGATATTCTTCTCGCCATAGCTCACGAGCCTTCTGCTTCTCGAACGACTCCAGTACCCTCGTCATTCTTATGCGGAATCCAAGCCAGAGTCTCTTCTAGCTATCAGCGATGTAGTCAATCACAAAGGCCATGATGAGTTTCTACTTGGATAAAAAGAATATATATCAAGACTACACCGGATGCCTCGACATGGATTTGGCGCCCTCTGAGGCTGCAACTTTCCTCTGCATCGACAGCCTCGGTTTATATTTTTATGCATTTACAGAGACAAATCATGGAATACGACCCTAGGAGGACTTTTTCTTACATATCCCCCATATACTCTTCCATACTGGATAACAGGCTCGCTACACCATCATGTCACTCAGGCTGGGAAACGGCTCATCCATTAGTCTGGGAGCCCTAAAAATGGCTAGACTGATCACACGTCACAAATTTTCCAAATGACAGACTTACCAGACGAGCTAGAGATTATCCTGTCCCCAAGATAGATAAAATTGGCCGACCAAATGCCATCACTCACCAAAGATGAACCATGGTCTGTTCGTTGAAGCTTTTCAGTACATGGCAGAATATATCCGTCAACATAACCTCAATGTAACAATCTATCTGGCCAGGGGAGCAGTTAACACAAGCTATTTCTGTTACCGATAGACTACAGGCATGGGAAGACATTTCCAAATACACTAATAACGTGTTTAGTCCGAGTTACCTGCAAACTAGTTCAATAACTCCATGTCACTTTTCCTAGTCATTATTGGCATCCACATTTCCTCTTTCGCCGATTGTCTCTACATGGCTCTATGATTGACAGATCCTACGTAGTTGACCGCAGAACGGTCTTTGAATAGTATGCTAAGATAGCCGTTTCTGTGTGACGTTGTTAGGACCTCGTCCTTCCCAATGTTATATACGCTACTTGCATCGGTTCCAGTCATGTCAGAACGTAGCGTTCTGGCATATTAGGTCTTTGGCTTGCCAGAATAGCGGGCTGGGGCGCGAATCTTCATACATGTAACCTACATAAAACTCTCTGATAACATGATCAAGAGAGTATACGACGATGCCAAAGCCTATAAGCTGACTCAGATCGCTGTAGGACGAGGAGGTAATTGAAAACTGTCAAGATATTCGATGACCCGTGATTACGATGGGAGTCTATCGCGCCAGTTAGATAGATCCATGAAGATGAAAGCTTCATGTATTTCGGATCGCTTTTGGGCTATCAACTTGCGATGTTAACCTCTCTGCTTATTCTCATCTATCGAACCCCTCTCAATTGCCATATCTTTCGTGCCATCGGGCCGAGTATATCATAATTACCGCCAGCGCACGACACCCTACTCGGGCTAGCATGCTCCACGTAGCCGGAAGTATTTCCATTATCAAGGATCTTCGGCTTCATGAATTGTACAGAATCAAAATCACCACATGACCTGGATAAGCGGGAATGTGAATACTACCAAGAGTCAATTGCCCGACTTTCGGCCCCAACTAAACCACAGCGAGCCCTTGAATATTAAGATCAGACGCGCGATGCGCCAAAAAATGATGGTCGCCTAGATAACGCAATGCGACACTTCAGCATGATTCCCTTTTTTTTTTCACCTTCCATATTGCTTTTTCCCCGATCATCTGATTAGCTGTACATACCCAAGAAGCCAACAACAGTAAACGCGTGCGGGCCCCCAAAAAACCAAAGCCAAGCAATACTCGGCCCCAAACGATCTTCGCTAGGTTTTACCCTAGTGTCATCCCTTTTTCCGAGCAAGATGCGATCGGGATCATTGATAGGCAAGCGAAATGAACCAGGGTCGATCTAAGCTATACTAGTCATTACTAATCTCTACGGAGTACAAGTACGGATCCATAGTTTGGAAATGTTCTATGGGTACCCGTCTCCTGATGAACCGCGTGGGCCAGTGCACGATTTCCCCAGTGACATCATGCCAGGGCCAGGGCCAGGGCCAGGACCAGGACTAGTGGTCATAGCGTTCAAGGGCAATGGGCCCTGGCATCGCAATGGATGGGGTACCTGTATCCGGACAGAGGCACGACCTGTGGCTCAAACCCGCCACGCAATGCGCCATATTGATTGGAAATCACGCCCCGGCAGCACTGGGAGTAATGTTACTATGAGACAAGGGACTACGGAGTCCCGGGAACAAAAAGGGAGGGAGGACGCGACGCGACTTTCCTCGTTTTGTTTCTTTCTGTTCTACTAATAGTAATGGAGGTATGGAGACCAGTTCAACTAGCGTGGAACTTGATACACCAACGCACGTCTCAGCCACATCCATGTGGGAACCGCCCTGTGATGGATTAGCCAATGAGGAGCGTGGTGATCGCCCTCTTGCGTTGATGATGAAGTGAAGGGCTGCGAGATTTTGAATTTCGCGTTGCGGATTGGATCATTGGGGGTGTACTTGGGGAAATTATTTGATGGATCGTTGGCTAGACAGGTGGCTGGCAGTTTGAGACATGGATTTCGGTATTCGGAAAGGAGGGTCGGCAGTACGCGGGAGATGTAGTTAGTGACATAATATTGTACTGTACTGTAGATGGCTTTCAGGGCTTTCGGCGGGCCTCGGATAGAATGTCTCCAGTCTCCGTGACTCGCCGTTCATCCGGAGGAGGGAAGCCGTATCTCCCGAGAAAAGATGGGAGTGTGGTCACAATGGGTGATCGACGGGATGCTGGTCAGGGGATGGGGATGTCGGGATGTCTTAAAGAACTAGAAGGAAGATCACGACTACGAGCCAAGAAGCAGGGACAACTACTGTCGGACGGCAAGGCTGATCCAATCGAACAAGCACCAGAAACTTGGAAATTCTCCTGCCCAACCAACTCTACCTTCCGTATAGGTACGGCTTGCTTCTCGTTCTCGTGTCTCCCCTGATTTTCTCGCCTTGGGAACCAACCATAACGACCTGTGGCTTGTTCGGGTATATACCGGATTCTTTCCTGGCGAGAGTTGGGCATCAGGTCGTAGAGCCATTTGCAGTACGTACCGGACTGCACTGTTCAGGAAAGAAGCCACGAAAGGGATAGGGCGCAAGTGCACAGCCTCGGACCGGGTCCTGATAATGCATGCATCTGAGCCGTCCAAACCAGCCAGGTCTGTAGTGTACAGTATCACCAACGACCTTCAAAACCAGGTCAGCCCGGAGGAAAGTACTCGGACCTCCGGCGCACCGTCCAATTCCAGGATGATGCGCAAACGGGCAACTTGTTTTTTTTTTTTTTTTTTTTTAATTTCGGCGGCTTCGACGGGTCTTCGAAACTCCTTCTGGAAGGCGACCAGAAGGTCAGGAGAAGGCTTGGCGTGGGCCGTTCTGCCAATCCTGAGAGGTCATTTTCCGTGCCGTGTGGCAGAGTGGAGAGCAATGGAGAGGCTGAACGGCGGCTTTTCTTAGCGTGGAAAGGGGAGAGGGAAAAAAAAGGGGGTTATGATGGATCATGGGGAGCGATGTAATTACCGACGCTTAGGGTGGGCTCCACTCGATTTCTTATGTTTTTTTTTTCTTTGGGGGGCAGATCGTCACGGATAACAGGGATTATTGTTTAAAAAAGGGGAGGGAGAAGAAGAAGACACTGTACAGACGTATAATGAACGAGTATTCCATAGCAGGTGGTATGCCCATCTAACCTTTTCAGCAAGTGGAAGCCGATGTCGAGATGAAACTTGAGGTTGCCCGATCATGGATCATGGATCAATTGACATGTGCCGTGGTGTCAGTAACGAGCCACCTCGCGTCCTGTGTTTGGATAGGAGGGGCTCAGAGAACTTTGGAGACCTTCTAGAAGGTGAATTAGCCTTTCACCGTCCGTGTTCAGGTCAATAATTGACTAGTGGGAACTCTGGGAACGGACTATCGAGATGGTGAAGCACATCCCCCCCCCTCTTTTCCTCCGCTTTATTCGGAAGGTTGGTTGTCTTGGTCTGCAGGGCTACCGTTTAGATTGATTCATTTCTTAGGAGCCTAGGGACCAAGCTCTACGGATCACTCTCGCTGTGTATCCTTCCTAGTTGTAGGTAGCGCCTAGGATCCAGGACCTATGACGTGCACCTCACCCTGTAATCATAATCATATAGTCATGGGGTTACTCCCTTTGCCCTCGTGTCGCACCATCTCCTCCGTGTAAGTCCGTATCAACATGCAAGTCATCATACCTTGGTAACCTGAAAGTCAAATGGCCTAGTATTGCCTCCCTCGTTCCTTTTGACCATGACATAGGGGAGGGTTCCATGGTTGTTATAGAAGTCGTGCTTTATACGATCTTCTGTCAACGAATATACAACCCCCGAGAGCAAAGACCATTCAACGACCATGTGGTCACCACATGTCGTGGTTTGACAGCCCAAGGGCCCCCTTTCCTGCAAGTTCGAATTTAGGGGAGCCGGGACGAGGCGCGTCAAGGGGGTCCCACATCCGATCACATCTTTCCTTTATGGTAATGGTCAGTCGCGGTAGTATAACTAGTCTACATGCACTCCGTACGGAGTGCATTAGTGAGTTACATGATATGAGGTCAGTTTGGTATCCTCCTTGTTCTGCTTGGCTCTGGTATATAGGAGTATACCTAGCATACTACTATCCGGAGTACGTGCGTCATGATGTATGCCCGTTTCTCCCATGGGAAAGTCTACTTTGCGCTCGTTTCACACGAGGCTAGTACTAGTAGCGTATTATCTACCAGATCATGTCACATTTCCCTCGCGAACTCGAGACAATCCAATCAATAAATTGCATGAACTCACAGAGCAGAGAACCTAGTTCCCCCTAACACGTACATATAGGAGACAAAGAGAATAATGACCTCTACAGCTTTAAAAAGACCAATAAAAGAGTTCTTTACCCTCACTAGCCTCCAAGTCTAGGCCGGGAACCATCTCCCTTGGAGCCGTACGGACGAATCTGGGATTCAGATCTGCGTCGCCATCTCGTATCCACACCGGTCGTGCGGCCGCAGGGACGGGGGAAGACGCACGTTGTGGAGCCGGGATTGCTGACGGTCCTTCTGGTGCGGCCTGGTTTCCTTCTAGCGCTTCTTCGCTGGAGCAGCTGGAGTCCACTAGGGGAGAAACTAGAACGAGTCGGGAACTTGGGAAGTCTTGCAATGCAGGGATGAACGAAGTCTGAGGATTTAGTGTGACCGATCTTTTGTTTATTATTATTTATTTTGATCCCATTATTTTCTTGGGGGGGTTTATTGTGACGGCACTGCTAGGAAAAGGGAGGGGAAAAATAGGAGGCATTAGTGTCAGCCCCCAAGCTGTTCCTCCTCAGAAGTTGATGTTGGACATAGTCATCAATCAATGTACATCGTGGGCAGTGTATTCACAATGTTTCTGCTAAATTTACTTCTTTTTTTTTTTTAGGGGGACATGGGGGCCTATACAACGGAGCAGTCGGGTAGGGTAGTCAGGGCGGTTGTTGGCAATTAGGCAGACAGGAAGCCTAAGGCAATCATGAAGGGAAATAATAATAATCACGAGCAAAAATGGCTAGGAGCGTCTAATTTTAAAGAGAAAAGAATTAGTAAACCGCCCAGATCGTCATGGGGAATCAATTTCCAGAACAACTTCCGAAGGTCTCAAAGTGGAGCTCAGTACAGTAGTCTCGTAGTTAGTACGGTAGTACGGAGTGTACAGGAGCAAGAAAAAACGATGTAAATAATGATGTATGCGCTTTGCCAGTGGCACCTACCACACCTAATTCTCCTAATTCTTCATTCTTCATTTCTTCGTTCTGGCCCTTTCCCCTGTTCCTGAAATTGTCTTTGAAATCCGTCATCCTAAACCTTTTTCCTCGTTCCCTCTTTTCTGGTCCTCTATCTAATCCTCCTCCTCCTCCTCCTCCAACCCCAAATTTCCCCTACATTCTCGACTCCGACACGACTTACTTTCCGCTTGCTCCAACTGGACAACCAACTTCCCTCCCCACCAACTTTGTTTTCGCGTTTCCCTCCTTCATCCTCCCAACCAACGACGCGCGCCTCTTACCGGCAGGCCGTTTAACTCGATCCTGCCCTTTCGGCTTCCTTGAAAGGTTGGTTCCCTATTGGTCTCTGCGACCATTTCACCCAACGCCGCGGTTCTTTCCGAGTTACCCATGACATTGCTGCCCGGCCGACGACACTTTTTTTTCCCCCTTCTCCTCTCGACGCCCGACTGGCTCGCCCTATCGAACGGAACGTGCTAGACTCGAAGATTCGGACTCTCGGACAGACGGGCTGCTTGTCTTTCATCTGCACGGATCCCTCGTGCGTCCTGCGTCCGCGCCTACATCATCTGGCTGGCTGCGAACCACCCGAGAACAAAGACGGCGGGCCTGCGCTCCAGTTTCGAAGGGACTGCCGGGGTCGAGCGCGAGGGAGAAATCGCTCAATCTTTTTCCTCTCAGATTTCTCACTTCCAGGCCTTGAGCTAATTTGCCATTTTTCGTAATAGCCACCTTGCCCCCTTCCTCGCTCCTGCATCGCGACAACCTCGACCACCGACTACACTCCCCTCGACGGTACTCGGTTGGGTCTCGCCTGGAACTCTCGACTTTTGAATATTGTCTCTGTCACGATCTACGGACCTCTGTTGTCTGATCAGACATCTGCCGGAAGCCCGGAGATCTCCACCGATTAGACGCGTCCGACTTCCGAAACACGCTACCCGAAGGCGAAGACAAAATCTCGGACAGGTTTTCAATCCAGAACGAGAGACAAGGGGACTTTCCAAGGCGTGTGCAGAACTCTCCTCTCTGGCCTAGGGTTGCTTCCTTCTCCCCAAGAGTCAGTTTCCGCCGTCAAAGACTCGTACTTTGTGCGCAACCTTGCATTCCAGTGCATGGGAATTGAATACCTGCTCCATTCTTCGCCGCAGAGTCAGCTAATCAGGCGTTGATCCGGTACGGTTCAGGCAGGACAGGAGGCTTTTATTGGAGCTTTCCTTGGCTCCGGTTCTTTCAGCATCCTTCATCCGGGTCGTGTCCATGGACTTCACGACCATTCTGAACCGAAAGAACTCTGCCGCCGCCGCAGCCGCTGCCGCAGAAGCACAACTGCACCAACAGTATCTGCAAAACGCACAGTTGAATCAACCACCCATGAAGGCGGAGCCTGGTGCTTCGGATAACCCCGTTAACGCATACCCGCCTCATCCTCCCCCCGGTGTCCCCATGGATCAAGGACTCGCCGAGTCTTTCTACTACGGGCAACCCCCGGCTGCGACCCCTCGGAACATGGGTTATGTCCCTGGTGGATATGCCGGTGAACCGCAGATGCAGCAACCACCTATGCCCTCTGGAAGGACTAGTGGTGATGCGCCCCCGAAGACTTTCCACTGCGGAACTTGTAACAAGGGATTCGCTCGACGCAGCGATCTCGCACGTCATGGTATGTACACACTGCGATAGGGTGGTTTCCGGGTGATCCAGTTTGCTAATCTATTCTCGCAGAGCGCATCCATACTGGAATTCGGCCTCATGCCTGTGACTGGCCGGGCTGCGGGAAACAGTTCATTCAACGCTCGGCTTTGACAGTACACTCGCGAGTACACACTGGCGAGAAACCTCACATGTGCGAGCGATGTGGCAAGGTATGTCTGCCGAGGACGCAATCTCCCCGGATTCGGGATGTTTAATTCTAACCTCATTTTGTCCATCTGTTTAGCCCTTCAGCGATTCATCATCACTCGCTCGCCACCGTCGAATTCACTCTGGAAAGCGGCCCTACAAGTGTCCATACGCCAACTGCCAAAAGACGTTCACGCGCCGTACAACCCTCACCCGCCACCAAAATCATCATACTGGGACTATCGAGGAGGCAGCGGCTGAGACGGAGGCCAATCTGCGCCAGAACAAGGAGCGAGGTCGTGGGCCGGAGGGAATGTTTCCCGATCATACCTCCATCCACTCTACACCATCTCCTGCCCAGCACGCGTCCATGTCACCTGGCGGTGATCTTCCGCCGCTGACGATGCCTCGCTCGGCCGGCGATTATTACATGGGTAGCGGGCCCATTCCTCCTCACCTTCGAGGCGATTTCTCCCAGGGTAGTCCCCGTGCTTCCCCCACAGCCACCTCCCCTTCGCTTTCGAGCTTTGGAAGTGCACCTCATGCGCGACCATCGATGACTTCCAATCCGTACGGTCCTCCGCAGCCGCTTGAGCCCCCAGCGAACAGCGACCACCGGCCCAACAGCGTCAGTGGCAGCCCACATATGACCAGCCTGGGTTGGGCCTCGCCTTCTCACGGGAGCATGCCTTCGCCTGGATCGGCCAACGATTTTGCTTATCCTGAACCTACAGGCCCGGCGTACCCAAGCTCTATGCCTCCTCACATGTACTTCCCCAACTCCACCATCCGTCGACCCACCAGCACTGAGCCCGAAAACTACGAGACCAAGTCTCGCATGGGTGATCATACTTGGTCGACCCCGGTATGATGTCGGCTGCCGCTGTCGGGAGGTTTGATCCCAAACTTTTTTCCTTTTGTTTGAAAGATATCCCACCATCCACCTCTACACTCTCTATTTTCTTTTGTCGAATTGCTTCATCTGCATTATCCCTCGATTCCCATGGAAAACAAACTAATTTTCCACCGCTCTTCGTTTCATCCCACTATGTGTTTGTGCTGCGCGATTGCATCTTATTTTGTGGATAATTTTTTGTATCTCTACCGAGGTGGGCAGTCATACCGTCTCTCACCCTTCTCCCTCTGGAGTTTGATCGTGTGTGTCTGCGCATCACTTTTTTCATTATTTGCTTTTCATTTTTGTTGATCAGGTCGTCATCCTCACTGCCCTCACAACAATGAACCCCTATCCATCATCTCTTTTGTTTTGATTGCTTGCGTGCGGATGACATGGCTTTACCGAGACACGACCAGACGAGGAAACAGCATAGATAGAGCGCAGGACTGGGGAATTCTTATGGGCTACATTGTACTGGATTTGGGAAACAGGGAAATCGGGGTTCTTTGGATGATTTGGCAGAGGGTCCCCATTTGTGGTGCGGTGTCTGGTTTGGTATTTGGGTTATTCATCTGCTATTTGTTGGTCTTTTTGTGCTACTGTTGCGTCTGTCTTTTCCGTCTTTTGCTCTCGTTGCTTGCGTTGCATATCTCCTTGTATCCCCCTTGTCTTTGTTCTATCTCTTTTCCTTCTTGTGTTCTATATATATCTTCCTACTTAATATCTTTGTTTTGGGGTCGATGCATCTTCATGCTAACCCTTCGTGTTGTTTGTGGTTTCTTTCATTTTTCCTATCCACTGCTTTCTTGCTTTTTTTTTTTTTTTTTTTTTTTTGCTCTCGCATCGAATACCATTTTGTGAGTGCGGTCTCGACCTTTTGGCGAATCCGATTTTGTACGATTAGTGTGTTAATAGACCAACTGCTATCCTCCATATTGCCATCAGACACTCCTACGACCTGGTAGAAGTAGATCTGCCTTGTAGAGAGGAATAGACTAGGCTGTCGAAGAAAGTGTTGGAGATGAGTAATTCGATCAGAGCAGCCGACAAGAATGAGGAATTTACAAGATCCATCAGCCAGCCATATGCAAATAAAGAATAAGGCACACTGGAGCAAAGGTGCTACTGCTACTATAAAGCAGGGCGGCAGTATAGCGCGCTGCTCTATTTGATGGCCTGATTCTGCCCTTCCTATTGAGGTACCTGGCTATAGAAAAGAAGAGTATGCAGACAAAAGATGGACCGTAATTCATTGGAAGACAAACAACGGAGCCAAGAGTGTGCACTGGTATAGAACGACCCCGAAGCTTATGAGGGCGATAGAGTTGATAGACCAATGACCCAAGCACCCTTACCAGTCAAGTCATCCTTGACCAGTCAATTCCTCAAAGAGAATCAAGCGCATCGAATACACAGGTATCATACTCCAGCCTACTGCCCTATTCCATCCCATAAGCCCCCCAGCCCCCTTTCCACAAGGCACGCAACATGAAACAAACGGTAGGGTTGATCCTCCTACTCTATTCGTCCCTGGATACCCGGACTAATCCCTGAATCTAAATTTGAGCCCAAGAATATCCTACAGGTTACAACACCATGTCCAAGCTCCCTCGATCCGGTATCTATTTATGGGTACAGCACCTAGACCTACCGTACCCATACTAGAAATAACTACGGTACGTACCAGGCTTAGACTAGGCTAGACTAGGACCGTTACGGGAGACAAATGGGTTCTCCGTAGGGCGCTAAGCCACGGCGGGAACGGTAGCCAGCATAGCCAGTATCGCCGCAGGTTTCTTTGTTCCGAAAGATTTTCGGGGGGCTTCGTGGATCAGGCTGGATGAGTTTGATTCGTAATATAATACGTATTGTAACTAATTATGTCAGCTTTATTGTGAGAGATGGGAATGGGGCTGAATCGTTGGGTGGTGGTGGTGGTGGTGGTGCTTGTTGGATTAGGCGCCCGGGGTTTCCCGTTGAAACATCAGCCTCAGCCCTGGGATTCTTATTCAAGATTCCCGGATTCCTGGGCTTGATGGGCAGAGTCTGGTATTAGCGCTGGGCTGTTTGTGGGATATTGCTTCTTCCTTGGTTAGGGTAACTATATGTTACCTGTTTTGTGGAAAGGACATGGCATTTACAGACTGAGGTCTTTGCACGAAACGCTTTGGCCCGACAGCATCCTTTCAATCGATATGTGTAGCTTCCTGTTTAGATACATAGATCTGTATCTTTTATCTTGCTTGGAGCAGCACACCAGGAAACCCAACCTCGAGGAGATATAATCACATTCCTCTACTTCTCTCCGCTTAATCCTGAGCACGCCAAGGGTCTCAGCCCACTCTACCCCAGAGAACTCAACCATTGATAATGACAGACGCCGAGACTTTCATAACCGAAATGTCTCAACGCCATACCAATTGTAATTCAGCACGTTCGGCGGTGGGAACAGACTCCATATTAACTTTCTCGTATTTCAAGTGGCGGGGAGCATTCTCGACCGCGGATTGGATTTCCCCGCGAACGAAAACCCCCGGAATTTGGGTTACCTAATTGCTTAAAATTGACCGGTTGAGAGTGATATCGAGCTTCGTATTGTAAGTCATGAATGTCTTGGATCACGATAGACAATATCAAATGACTTCAATCGTATGACTTGCCCTTGTCTTGGATATGGGAGGGTGGAAAAATTGCGGGGATTATAAAGATGGTGGGTTGAGGAGGGGGGAAGATGTCGTACAAGGGACGAGGGATCTATCTACTTTGTTAAGAGACTCGAGAATCATATCTGCACACATTCAATATCAATCATGTATTTGTCGAAAGCCCTAGTCATCCTCGCTTCTCACCTCGCGCTGTCTTGTATGCTTTTCATCTCCTCAGTAAACCTTTCTATCACAGATATACTTGCTGACTAGGCCTTCCCTTCCAATCTATACAGCTGCAACAGGATGCGGCACCGCCGATGCCTGTGTTGGAACAGATATCTGTACCACGGTCACATTCACGAGTCCCACTTCCACGACAGTGACTAGCTGCGTGCCCACACCCACCTGTCTAGGTGTCTACGGTAAGCCTTGATCCCAGCCCTATAGCCTAGGGGAGGGTGTCCGCACCGACTGATTAAAGTGACAATTGACCAGCCGACTGCTACTTGCCGGACAATACGATCGGTAATTGCTGCTCGGGCTATTGTGCTGCGAGTAAATGTAGGTCGACGGATGAGAAGTGGCCGAGTTGCCAGGAAGATAACGGGCCTTGTCTGTCGGATGAGAATTGTTGTTATTCGTATCGGAATAAGTGTGTGAATGGAATTTGTACTCGGCCAGCAACGTGTAGTAAGTCATGATGGCGATGCACAGGTATGGTTGGGAGATGGACTGGAGATTAAATTGCAGGCTGTGGATTTGATGTATTCCAGCAGATATATGCCATGATTTCATGAATGTTAATTGTTATTTGATGATATATCTCTTGCACCGCACAGCAGTTTCTTCTTCTACTTTAGTTGGTAAACATTGGAAGGTAGCTACACCCCTATCCATACTCTACCAAAGTATATATACACTAACTATACCTCAACCCTATATACCTACTTCAACAACAACTCAGCCTGCTCCTTCACAGCCTTCATCGCACACTTCCACAACTCCGGCCCCAAACTAACCCGCGCAACCCCCAACTCCCTAATCTCCTCGACCCCCAAAAAGCCCTCCCTCAAATTCATCTTCACATTCACCCTGCCCTGCAACTCCCTCACCAAAACCTGCACCTCCTCCCTCGACACCCCGCGCCCACCAGGACCCCCCCAAACAAACACCGTCCAAGCCCCAGCCTCCAAAAACGCCCTTCCCCGTTCAAGGGCATCCTCCAACGTCTTTCCGACCTGGAAGAGCACATCTGTCCGCGCATTTAATGCGAAATCAGGACACCCGGCTTCCCTTGCCGCCTCGACGACCGTCCGTACCCGCGCAACGGCTTCATCTAGCGGGCGCAGTGTACCGGCCGCATTATCCATATCCTCGATGTTACAGCCCACGGCGCCGAGTGCGATAGCGTCCTTGATAGTAGCCGCTAGCGCGGGGAGATCATTGCCGTAACCGTCTTGGAGGTCGACCGTGACGGGGAGGGTAGGGTTAATGCGGCGCACGGTCGAGACGATGGTTTTCAGGGCGGAAAGGTTCTGGGCTTTTGTTAGGTCTTCGTCGTCTACGCCGAGGGTGGCTGCGACGGCGAAGGAGGCCGTTGCTATGGCGCGGGTTGTGGGGAGGGAGGCTATGACGGAGGCGGAGCTGGCGTCGTATATGTTTGTGAGGATTAGGGGGTCTTGGGGGCTGTGGAGGGTGCGGAAGTGTTTTGCGATGTCATTTTGAGTGGTCATTTTTGTTGGTGGTTGTTTTTCTGGAAAGATTGATGTTTGTTGTAGATGGGTTTTGTATGGTGGGGGGTTTGGGTTGATCTTGAGCTGGCAAGAAAATAGGAAATTGTAAATGCCTAGAGATCGGTTCCTGGATTCAATTAAAGCCGAGTCATTGCAGACCGGTCTTATACTTTCAATTCGCATCTCTGAATCTCAATGGGTCCCGTATAGTTCGTGACTGAGTCATGGGTCAACACGAGAACTTTGCTGTCAAAGTGACCAATCCGAGTGCTTCGACGGTTTCGGGTCCCCGTCGGAGACGGGGCTCGGTGGAGAGTAAGGTTATAAACTCTTTATGCGATCATGAATCATGGATTAATCTGGGGAAATCGTGGTCCCTCTAACAATTCCATTCTATGCAGTATTGACCGTGCTGGGTAATACTACCTCGCTGACTACCTCGCTGACCCTGGAAAAACCCTGGAGATGTACGGGCGCTTGATTAGTACAAGGTTGTAGGTATTTCTGGAAACTCGGGACTTGGTGGTCAGCCAAGAGACCATGGCAGGCCCAGAACTGGTTATTAATCATTCTTCAACCCTGTCTTACAACCCCACTCGGAGTCACTACTGTTGTCACTACGGTAGCTAGCTCAATACAGTATGCCAATAATTACCTACTGTAGTAAGATCAGTTTCCAAGGCTACACAGCCAGGCGCGTGTGGCAGGTGCGTGTGGCAGGCTGAATCCACTGAGGCGGACTCTGCAGCAAGGGGATCCACGTCTAGCATGCCCCCCTCTCGGCCGGAGTGCTGAGGATTGCTTCATCGGTAGACTGGTTAGATGAAGAGCTAGGAAAGAAACAGAGGCTATGTTAGAGAGATAGGAATCACGGTAGTCCTGATTATTCCCGTACACGTTCATCATCAACAATGCTCTATCGTAGGGGACCACTACTTACTATATACCACGGTATGGCCTTCTACGGGACTTCTAACCCTTCTCACGGTCAGATCAGATCCTGATCTGCATCCGATCCGATTTCCCCGTGCACCACCCTACGTCCTACAGGATATGTACGTGCTCCGTACAAAGCCAGACTACATATGGCGCAGGACAAAACCCCGTACTGGAGGTAAGACTGATGGAACCTCGTCTCGACGCAAACATCAACTAGACGCATGCACTCTTACATCAACGAGTCGGCACCGTGATCGGATCTAGCTGATCGACTCGCACGACGGAAACCCAGCCGAACAAGTAGCCTTGTCCTGTCAGGGAACGCCCGCCCGGAACCCGGCTTATTGGGCGGTCGCATTAGATTCAATGGATTCATTGGAGGGAGGCGCATGAACGGAGCCCATGCGGCCGTGCAACGGAGAAATCCCCAATCAGAGTCCGGCGAATGCCTGATCGAGGGGGGCGCTGGCCGGTTCGCTTCTGGTTGGCTGAGAATGACTGAGAAACGAAATCTTGCCCGTGCCTGTCGCTGAAGTTGGATTTGTTCATCCACCCTGGTTTAATTTGCCGTCGAGGGTTATGGGAGGGGGGATTGATTTATAATTTTTCGAAGGAGGGGGGGGGGGAGGGTTTGTTTAAGTTGGGTACATTTGCTAGCCAACTAAATAGATTACCGCAGTACATACATTCTGGAGTAATGTAGATTACCCTTGTAATCGGTACAGTACCTGGTTATGCCTAGGGGAGTTACCGGAGTGATGATGGATTTACGAGTAGTTCGCTCGGTACATGTACGGAGGACCTCCCTGCTGGAGGAGTGGGCACTACTGGATTCTGTACGCCGTACTAGATGAGACTATGTGCGACCTACTCCGCAGTCCTTCCTATTGTATGCATTCCACAATGTCCCGAATATATGATGAGGAACCGGGCACTGCGTGATAGTATTTGATCAGGTCTGTAATTCCTCCCCCTCACGGTCACTGACTCACTAGTAATTACCATTCACATTTGGCCCCCCCAGTGGACCATGGGCTACTCCGGAGGAGAGGGCCAACTCAATAATCGGCCTTATCAAGCCTAGTCTCTTCGTTAAACGCCCGTCAGTCCGTCACCGGTGGAGTGGACAGAGGAGGGCCCGACCGGAACAGCTTAAACTGGTTCAACTGGGCTGGGCACCAGTACTCCGTACTCTGTAGATACATCAGCAACCGCAACCGGGCAATTTGCCTCTGTTATCTACGGTGACTCGTTAGCCCCTCGGAGAGTGTCTACTCGTCGTGCGCAATTCAAATTCATTCACGGTACAATTGATCTCAGGGTTTACGACAGAGTCGGAATAGAAAAGGCGTTCTAGTAAGCAGAAATTTAACCCAGTATCTACTGTAGAAATACATTTATTTGCCGTCGTTCTTGGCAAAGGCACTTGTACTCTTCACGAGCACAATCCGTGTTACCGACACAGTATCACCTCTTAGCCCAAACGGGGGCCCCGGTACAGTACTATGAATGCGTTTGTAGTTAACACTGAACCTACTTAACCCAGGTAACGAGTACCCAGGGTGATCCCTCACCAAATCACCACGGGCCGGCCCCGCTGTAATCGCTGCCTGAATCCGTGCCTGCGTGCATGAACGAGGGGCAAAAAAGCCACCTGTGTACTGACATTCCTCGGGGATCGAGGGTGGTTGGAAGGCGGATGATCGACCGTCATCGAGGCACGATTAGTAAATGATCCCCCCGTTGGCCCTGGCACCTGGCCCTGGCCCTGGTATGTCCCATACCAGGATTAGGAGGGACCACCAGGGTTGATGGAACGACCGTAGTCTTACCTTGTCTCGTGCGTCTTGTTTTTTTTTTTTTTTTTTTTTTTTTGTTCTCTTTACCTTGCCCGACGGAAGCTTGCGGTTAAGACTGATTTGCATCGTAGAAGCGTGTTATACACTCGTACCGTCGTTCAAAACCATGGAATAATCTACCGACGATTTAGTTGTTAGCTATTAGTTCTTCGTGAGCACGAGAGGGGAAAAAAAAACTGGAGAAAGGACCCGAGCCACCAAACCACCCGGAGACACCCGTTTTTGTTTTTCTTTTAACCTTTGGGAGTTTCTGAGGGGTTGTGGTTACTGGGTGGATTGGGCTGGACTCGGCAAGCCCCATTTTTTTTTTTTTTGGGTCCGCGGATGGAGACAGGTTCTCCTCACACGACTTCGCCGTACCACTTCCGAGGGTAGCGCGGATGATGAGGAGGAACTGGTAGAGTCACGGGCAACTCTATCATTCTTTTGTCTTTCTTTGAAAGGACTCTCCGTTGTAGTGTACATTGTTATGGACGGTATGGAATACATGCGATATGTCTATACAGCAGGGTAGAGGCTATTCAAGGCTCGCAATTGGACCGTACTCTGAGCCTGACGACCATCGAGAGAAAGAATCCGTCAGCAATTTGGTCCCGGACCTCCAATGTTCTTAAGTAGTTTATTCGTATTGCCTGTCTACCCTCCTCTGGCGGCATGGCGTTAGGTCAGGTCGGCTGCGCTTAGTTCGTATCGTCTCGGTTGGACAGGGTCGGCCAAGGTGTACGGAGTACAGCGTTACAATCTGCCCGGACTACGTTCGGGGCAAAGGGACAAAGTAACGAGGGACAGGGGGCCGGGGGTTGGATGATGTGCATGATAATAGACAAGAATGAAAGAATCTTGTTATCATTGCAGTTCGTCCAGTTACAGATTGTAGACCAGATCAAACACGTCAGTCAAAGGGTAATCAGGGCTCGAGACAAAAGGAATGTCAGAATGGAATAGAAGAGACAATTTGAATGAAAGAATCAAGAGAACCATCGTTCGTTTCGGATCTCTTTCTTCCTTTTCTTTTGCTCCTCGGAGAGATAGAGAGAAAGAGGGGGGGGGGAGCGCGGGTTTCGATTTATTCTTTTTTTTTCCCGACATCAATTATGGATCTGACCATATTAAAGGAAGGGAAATTTATGGAGCCAGGGATGATGAGACAGAACGGATCGCGCTTTCCGCCTTTTCACAATGCGCCAGTTGCCACGGTGTTGGAGCTTGGAACTGGGGACTGGGGGGAAACGAAAATAGATTGTAGGCAAATTAAGGCCCTGAAATTGTCCTGATTAGAACAATTTAATATTAACAATGGGGGAGTAAAGTAAGAAGACGAGTAGGTACGGAGTAGTAGGAAACTAATTAGACTAAGAAGATGAGTACGGAGAGGGCTGTGGAACGAGTCGAGAAATAAAGGCTCTCCCCCCCCTACAAGACTACTTCATTTGCACTGATACCGATCGTACTGAGTCTCTTTAAAATTCCTCCTATTATACTCTATAGTTAACTTCATTTAACTTTCCGTCAATAATTAACCAACAACCAAGACGAGACTCCGACAACGCCCTATTCCAGTACCCGAAAAAAAAGTAACGAGGCGTAATTTACTCATACCGGAGGACCGTACAGGATACACCTCGTTCTGTATCTCCCGTACCTCCCGTACCTCTTCTTTTCGTACGGAATTACCCTACGGGCCCAGGGCCTCCCCCCGTCAGCTCCTCCCCACTCTCCGCTTCGCCTTGCTCGCCCTCTCCTCATTCCTCCCTCTCACTCTTTCCCTTTCTCTTCCCGATCAACTTTTCCACTCCATCCCCGCGCTCTCTCCTCCTCTCCAGACCTCTCTCGTCTCCTTACACACTCCCCAAATCACCCTTCACCTCCAATCTCTCTCGCCACTCTCCGGCACTCTCTCCTCGGCTACTCGATCTGATGCCGGTGGTGCCTCACTTCCCCGTGCAGTTGGCCGCCTGACCTGCAGCTCTTACGCTGCCATCCGACCCTCTTCACTCGATCGATTCCTCTCGAATTTCCTCCCAATCTCCCTCTTCCGATCTTTTGGCTGGTGAACTTCTCTCACCTCTTCACCATGACGGGCCTCGAGATCCCCGAGACTGGGCTGTCTCTCCGCCCCGGAGATCAGCCGGGTGACGCAGCCGCCAAACCGGCCCAGTTTATGCGGCTGAACCTCGCGCAAAACACACTCGACGAACTCATCTCCAGCCTCCGAACGGATGATTCTACTGTCAAAGTCCGCCTGGGAAAACACCCTACCCTCCATTACGGCACCAAGACCCAATCCTTCCACGCATACCCTGAAACTCACCGCTCCGAGATCTACCACACCTCCGATGACAAGCAAAACCTCTACTTTACTGGTGTTTTGAGCCACCGTCTCGAAGTCGAAAAGGCCAGGGAAGCGACTGCGGCCACCGATCAGGCCCTGGCTAATTTGGAGGAAAGCCTCAATGCCTTCGAGCGAGGCAAGGCCTCCAAGTCAACACACATGATTCAAACCCCCGATGAATTGAAGGCTCTCCGTGCGGCAAACTCTGGAAGCACCATGCATCGAGGCTCACGAATCAAGTCGGTCTTGGAAAAAGATCGATTGATCCGGAATGCCGGCAACCGGTCTCTGACTTCGAGTCCGACCTTGGGCACACCCAGGTCTCCTCTGCCGGGGATGACCCCAACCTCTGCACCGTCCTCGCAGCCCAAGGACAATGCTCGCCTGCAGGCCCTGAAGACCCCCCTCATCCACCTCCTCGCGATCCGTCCCGTGTCGACCAAGTTCCTTGCCCGTCAGACCCGATCCACGATCGAGGACTGCATCGCCCTCGTCCAGAAATACGGCACCGAGAATCGCATTGACCGCGAGAAGTACGATTTGAAGGACAAATTCTACAAGGACCTGGACGTGTGGAAATTCCCCTACCCGAACCAAGATGACCGACAGGCTGCTATTGACAAGGCGATCTCTGCCTTTGATCGCATGCGCCTCTCGCGAACGGACAAGCTGTGGCAGGGTTTGCTGCCAAAGGAGGAACGGGGCAAAGGGAAATGTTTGTCGAAGCTCAATCTCCAGAGCAACCTCCAGAGTGGACTTGCGGGTAAGAAGCCCGCCACGCCACGGCTGGGCATGGATGGTGCCGACGATCGGAAAGACGGTGACACTACTGGCAATGAAACCGATCGCCCCAAGGGTACCTCTGCTGCGGCTGTCAAGAAGTCGAGTACCCCGGCAGCCAAGGCACGAGCAGAAAAGGAACCCGCCAAGCGAACTCCCAAGAACAAGAATACCAACAGTACTTTGACCGGCCGAATCACCAAGAAGACCGGTGGAAAACCCGCAGCAAAGGCGGCTGCGGTCGAGACCAAGTACAAATCTGCCGAATTCGTTCACGATTCGGACGATTCTGACGATGAAATGCCGGATGCCTCGCCCCCTCCTGCACCAGCGCCTGCACCCGCACGAGCTTCCTCGCCAGCTCCGGCTCCTACTCCAGCCGACCGCCCGAAGCCAGCCAAGAAGATGACGCAGCCCCCAGCGAAGAAGCCCGCACAAGCCCCGACCAAGCCTCGAGCGAAGGAAGATACACCTGCAGCCCCGATACCCAAGGTCTCCAAGGTCTCCAAGGTCGAGGCACCCACTCCCAAACTCGAATCTACAAAGGCAGCGGCCAAACGACTTCCCTCCGCCCGACCCTCTACTTCCCCTCGGAAGCCGTCTCCCCTCTCATCTCCACCGGCCAGTGCCTCCAATGCGACCGGTCGCAGCCGCTCCGACAGCCAGAACCAGTCTTCCAGCTCTTCATCATCCTCCCCACTTATCTCCCAACTTGGCCGGGCCAAGGCCTCAGGAGCAGTATCTGGCCTTTCGAGCTCCACGCGGCCAGCCAATGGCACCGGCAAAGGAGGACCCGCTTCCGTCAACCCCTTGAAGCGCAAGGCGGAACCCGAGCGACCGGCAGCCCCGACTCCCATGGCCGCCCGCGCGACGACTGGCAGCAATGATCCCAAGCGGCGCCGAGCGGTCAGTACCTCCAGCGGGGGCAGCACGGGCAGCGCATCTCCACCCATGAGCCACAAAGTCGCGCAGCGGCGACTGTGGGACAAGTCTCAGCGGTTCAAGAAAGCTTATGCCAAGTACCACTCCTTGCATGACTCCCTGGCGGGCCAGGCCAACCCTCGACCGGAAATGATTACGAAACTGGAAGGTTGGCACGAGCAGCTGACGCAGATGAAGAATGAGATCTGGCAGGAAGATCGAAAACTCCGTGACGGGTCTTATTCGTGAGGCTGATTGATTTTTTGCATCTCGGGTTTCCCCCCCCCTCCCCTTCCGCACTATTGCATGGCGATGACGATGATCATTCTCACACCCAATCTCCTGGCAAAAATCGTTCCAATATCTGGTTCCCATCTACTCATTGTTCTCATGGAGCTACGACGATCTCGGTGAGCCTACTGAAGCACTCGACGGATCGACAATTCGGCGTTTTAATGGTTGTTTTTTTTTTCTAATTTCCTATCTATTATTCCCTCTCCGTTTGAACTTATCTATTGCATCGTTTTCCCTGACAACCTCTTTACTTCCTGTGCCATATATAGAATTTTGCATTTCTGCTCTGAATAGCACGAGAGCAACTAGTACCTCGACATCGAGTATCGATAACACATTCTAAATGAATTATGCCTATCAAGCCATGTAAATCCAGATTAAAATGTCCTATTAGCTCACTTAAAACGCATTAATCGCATTGAACGTAGCAAGTCCGTGAAGTCTAGACGATCTGCTATAGCAAGCTTACCCCGGATCCGCGAATCTGCGAATCCTTGGTTCCGCGGCGCCGATGACCGGCCGAAACAATGTGATTGGATCGTAAAACACGTGGCACATCACGGGACCCATTACTGAAAGATTTCCGTCTCGATACACCCGCAGTACAAAGTTACGTCATCAACGTTGACCCGGTTCTTCCGCAATGAGACTAGCGCCAGTTGGAATTTGGGACAAGCTGGGCGGAGAGGAAGCTGGAAAGAAGCAAGTCCAGAGATTCCCGAATTCCTTACAATACGATATCGCTCTCCACAACCCCCTGTTCTAGCAAAGATTGTTCGGGAATTGGCACACGCAATTTGACGCAGTCTCAGAAGGAGTACCACAATGACGCCCCCTCCTCGTGGACGGGGTACCAGCCAGCGCAGCCCGACCGTCCTGGTAAGCTACAAGCTCTATACCCAGCCGCCATCCCCCCTCCCGAAGACCAGGAAAGAAAAAAAAAAAGCAAAATTCAAATGGCAGCAGCAGCAGCAGGAATCTACTGCATTGCATGCGAGACAAGCACCACCGTGTCATTCCAATGCAAAATATACTGATGCGCTGCCAACTTCCTAGGTCACCGATTCCCGCGACCAACAACCCGCCGCAGCCCCCCGGCGCCGCCGATCCCCTTCCACCCGCTTCATCACCGTTGATAACGTACTCCAATATGCCTCGGACGTGCCGTCCATGCAGCAGCGGCACCCACCGCCAATATCACGCTCTCGCCGCCTTGCATCCGCCGCGGGAGGGCTAATCGCCAGTGCCAGCGGTAGCAGCAGTGCCAGCGCCGCAGCCACTGCTGCCAGCAAGGGTGGTCGACTCGCCGCGCAGCCACGCCTTCCTCCGCGAACGACCAAGGTCAGCGAGAAACTAGTGTTACTCCCCGATACCGGCGGTGTCGGCGAGCCGGATGAGGACGAGGAGGAAGATGAGGCTGACGTGCGGGACGAGCTGGATCTTGTGGATGAGGAGCTTGTGCAGCGGTTGGCGCGGGACAAACATATCGATCCCGAGGCTATTCGGCAGCAATTGCTTGCGCAGAAGAGGCTTGGTGGAGATTTTGGAATTGACAACGAGATTGCGCCGCTGTTGGCGGAGGAGGAGACGTTGAGGAAGAGACGTGTTGGACCTGAGAGGGCGAAGAGTTATGCGGAGCGATTGCCCAAGGCGCGGCGGACGGAGAAGCTTGCGCGGGTGACGGCTTATTGTACGGCGCAGGCGTACAAGATGGGGTCTGTGGCGGCGTTCGTTAAGGAGGCGCACCATGCGAGGACGAAACTTTATGATGACTGCCTGTACACGGCTTATCATTTGCCGTTGTTACCGGGCCATGACGGGTATCGGCTGCGGAGTAGCCCGGTGTTGAAGTTCCCCGGTGGCAGGTCTTTGCTTGATGAGGAAATTGAGCGGAATGAGCTGCGCGATCATCATGAAGATTATATGGGGGAGGTTGAGGAGCATTCGGTTGTTGGGCATGGCCGTCATGAGGATGATCATAATGCCGAGGCTTCGCCAGGTGATGAGAATGGTCATGGGGCGGGACAGGAGCATCGAGAAGGCTACCTTGCTCGGATATCTGAGGAGGATGGTCGGATCCAGGACAATCATGAGAACGTTACAGGTGCCGCTGACAATGGCACAATGCAAAGCGCGACTCATCCGAACATTGAACGGCCTCAAGATATTCCCGAGCCACAGCCTCGGCGCCGTCGTCACAGCTCTGATGATGGGCATACCCGCATCAGGGACCGCCCATCCCCTCCATTACACGCTACATCGGCTCCTAGACTCGAAACCCCAGCCCGTACTCTGTACAACGTTGCCGAGATGTTTGTCTTCAGCTACGGCGTGGTCGTCTTCTGGAACTTTACCGAGCGACAGGAGAAAGATCTGCTGGCGGATCTAGCATTTGCCACGTCCTCGGCTACAGGCACGCCTATCCCGTTGACGACTATGCCTCTCCATGAAGAAGACTTTGAGACCGAGGAGTTCCATTTCGAGTACTCGACTGAAATCTCTCGACCTCGTGTGTACAATGATATGATCACGCTGCGCAGCGGTGACCATATGATCAAGCTGGCTATCAGCCACGGCATTTCTCAAAGTACGAAACTGTGCTTCTTCGAAGAGGTAATGGCTCGCCAAATGGCCGATGCAAAGGACGTTCCGCGCCGACTAGCAATGACGGGAAAGTTGGGCATGAAGCGTGAAGAAGTCTTCCGTATTCTGGGCCGGCTTTTCAAGAGTAGAGTCGAGGTCAATCTTTGTAAGTACCGTTTTCTCGGGGTTACTCCCTCGAAGAGTGAGATTTGCTAACTTTTGTATCCCTTAGCATCGAATATGCTCGACGTCCCCAACTTCTTCTGGGAGAGCGAGCCCAACTTGTACCCGCTTTACATCGCGGTGCGCGAGTACCTCGAGATCAAGCCTCGCATCCAAGTCCTCAACGAGCGCTGCCGCGTATTCCTCGACCTGGCAGAAATCCTATCAGACTCAGTTGCCGACAGTCGCACTTCCCGTACGTCTCTTGCATTGAACCCCCATACTTCTGCTCATACTAATCTATACCCCACAGACCAAACGTGGATCATCATCGTCCTAATCATCATCTCCATCCTCGTCACAATCTCCGAAGTCTTCTTGCGTTTCGGCCTCCTGCACGCCCGGGAAGGCGCCGAAGCCACCCCTGCAGCCATCATTGCGCGTGCCATGGGCCGCTCTCCTCGCGCTGCACCCTCGGGTTTACCCTACAGCACTGCTAATCCTCCACCGGGTTGCATTTGTCCGTCTATTCCGTCCGCAGATGGGTCGGATATGGGGATGAGTGGGATAATGGGGCTGGAAATTTGATCGAAAGGGTTGAGGGTTAATAGTGTACATTCAATACCTCGGTAATAGTCATCTGGTGCGATTGGTGTTTAGGTTGGGATATGGGGATTGCAAAGGACAAAATTTGGATCTTTCTTATCGCATATTTTTACCACGGGTTCAAGCCTCCATATCAATGTCAATATCACCCAATTTGATCTCTACCAAATCGCATTGCTTCAAAACCCCAAGTCAACGATCTAAACGTCCACCTCCAACCCACGAACTGCCTCCTCAATCCTCTCCCAGGCCCCTGCCCTCGCTAGAATCTGCACCCACCAATTCCCAACCCCATCCCTGCCCGTCACAGTAACCAGATTCCTCGCAACATGCGGCCCCAACGGCGTCGGCCCCGCGGTATTAATATACGACGGCCTACAAGCCCCTATACACGCTCGATCAACCCTCGCGGACGAAAAATCCAGGTCAAAGAACCGTGCCCGGTGCCAATTCGTACACGTAATCGAGATTTGGTGCGGAACACCTACGATGGGGAGGAATCCCGTTTCACGGAGCGTTTTCTTGCGCAGGGAAGACATGGCGTGGACCTGTGAAGGAATGCGTTGCTCGTTCAGGGCGTTGCGGAGGTGTAGAGCTGTGTTACTGGTAGGACTTTGTTGAAGGGATTGTGCTGTGAATGTTGTGCAGGATGGGATTGTGGCGTTGCCGGTATACGCGCCTGCTTGTGAGATATTCAAGACAGCGCGGGTGTCGAAGACGTTTGATATTTGGACCGGGGTCTGGGGGGACGGGTTTAGAGCGTTGATGAGTGTTTTGGAAAGCCATGCCAGGAGGATATCTCCCTCGCTGACGAAGATATCTTCGGACAAAGAACGTGATGATTGTGATGACTGTGCTCTAAGCTCTTGTAGAGCCCTTTCTCGCATCCTTTGCACGTGAGTACCCGGGATCGTGATGACTTTGTCCAGGACATCCGGATACCGGTAATTCTCCCACCAGCGCGAGAGTACCAGCACCGCCAATTGGAATCTGGTAAATGTCTTCCTGGCAAGGACGTGTTGTTCTGCGGGGACGTATTCGGTTTTCGCCTCGACGATGTCCCCATCGAAGCCTAGGAATGCGGGGATGCGGTCTTCTTGGTCGGAGAGAATCGCGGTCCATGCTTGGAGGAAGTAGGATAGACCCATTGCGTCGAAAAGGGTATGTGGGAATGTCACTGTTATCAGCGTTGTGTCTGTGAAGGTCACGATGTGGATGAAGAGTTGGGGGATGTCGGAGGAGAGATAGTCTTCAATTTTGTTTGGAGCGTCGTCGTGTTTGGTTATGGAATTGAAGCTGGACATGCACCCCAGGACGGAGATTTGGCTTGTTTCTTGGGTTGACGGGATTTGTGAGGCAAGTGGATGCGAAGAGATTGGGTTTGGCTGATTGGCAGTGGTGAATATGATGCCTGGTCGGTTGTTGGTAAACTTTGATGGGAGGTGGTATTCTAGTTTTCCAGCTTCCTGGTGATGGATTAGTAGTGGGACTTGACTGTCAGGGTGGATGTTGATTTTCACATTCTGGTGGAGACGAGCTCCTAACTTCCTCCAGTCGCCTGTTTCTAAGAGGCGCTCTATGGATCTCTGAAGTTTTGCAGTATCCAGAACTTCCTCGAAGCGCAGGGTCACGTTAAGGCATATTCCACGAGTATAAGGGACATCGTCCCAAAAGTGGAATGGGATGATCGTATCATTTGGGTTCGTTTGGGCTGTTCCTTGGGACGTCATTGTGTTGAGAAAAGAATGTAAAAGAGTACGTTTTCTGTATGGTTCAATGTCAGACCCCAATATTAAAATTACCAAGATCTCACTTGAAAAAAGGACCTTAATCAGAACCTACAGGCGACGGCATAGAGACCGGTGCTAATTGCTTACTCCGAATGATAAGGAACTTAAGCCTAGATTTCTCAAATCATTCAGGCAGACCTGGGGCGGAATGTCATCCTTGTGACTAGTGTCGAATAGAAGACGGGGCTTACATCGTACATGCGAGTAAGAAGCCGATAAGCCCTAGTACAGAGTCGACGATTTTCCTATTTAGCCGTCCTACACCTTTCCGCGCGCCCAAACGGGAAGTCAAGCCAAGGGTTCAAACAGCGAGGTGAATTCGCTGAAGAAAATCAAAGCATACTTTGTCGTCGAAAGACCACGATGAGATGGTGGATATAACCAACCAAGAAAACACGACTCTGCAAGGGTATTTCCAAAGACCATTCTCCCTACAAGGTAATGCGAGAAGCCTGACAGACTGATAGAGATGATTCCATCAATTGTCCTACCCAAGATTCAACGACGGTAGAGCTGGAAAAAGATATCGAGCCTGGTAATCCTGCACATACAGCTGATAATCAACCAAAGGGGGAACAAGCAGAGACTCGACCTGATGAAGAAGCCTCTGGAGAGTCATCGAACTACCTCAATGGCTCCCGATTATACATTCTCTCCGCTGCATTTACGATGGCCGGTATCATGCTGGCCATCGATGGAAGCATCCTCTGTGAGTCTTTAACGCATATGCTCAATGCCATTTCGTTCCTCATCACTGACCGTTCCTGAAAGCTACGGCAATTCCACGAATAACCAGCGAGTTCAATTCAATCGACGACATCGGCTGGTATGCTAGTGCCTATCTCCTCGCCCAGATGTGCCTCCAGCCTACCTTCGGCCGCGTATACATCTATTTCGAAGCAAAAATAATGTTCTTGCTATCATTGCTCACTTTCGAAGTGGGCTCGGTTATCTGTGCCGTGGCACCCAGTTCTCCCATCCTCATTCTTGGCCGCGCCATTGCAGGAGCAGCGGCGGCGGGAATGTTGACGGGGAACTTGGCAATCTTCGGACAGGTCGTTCCACTGCGGAATCGACCTCGAGGAATGGCTATCATGACCGGGTTATACTCGATTGCAACACTCGCGGGACCCACTGTCGGTGGACTGCTTACGGATTCGAGATTGACTTGGCGCTTTTGCTTTTGGATCAATCTGCGTAAGTGATATGCAAACCAAGAGAGAGGAAAAGATGTCACAGAAGACTAATTTGGATACAGCTTTCGGCTTTATTGCTGCAGTGATTGTCATCTTTATTCTGCACCGAAAGCCAGGCAAACTTTCCGCCTTGCCATTGAGAGAGAAAATCGCGCGCCTTGATTTTGCAAGTGCAGCAATTCTCACTGCGAGTCTAGTGTGTCTTTTCCTTGGGCTGCAATGGGGTGGCTCGACGGACCCCTGGTCTGCGCCTCGTGTCTGGGGCTGCTTAATTGGGTTTGCAGTACTATGTGTTATTTTCATTGGGCTCCAGGCTCACCGAAAAGAAAGGTAGGTCATGCCCCGAAACTGAACTTTATGTCATTCTGAGTTTGAAATTGGACAGAGCAACTATTCCGCTTCGGCTGTTGCAACAACGAACGGTGGCCATCTGTTGCATATTCTCCGGCTTGTATGGGGTTGCGATTGTAACGCATAGCTATCTCCTGCCAATCTGGTTCCAGGGCGTGAAAGGTACCGATGCGACCCTGTCTGGTGTATACATGTTGCCGTTCACCGTAGCCAGTACGCTGGCTATTCTGGTGGCTGGGTTTTCGATGACAGCATCTGGCCACTATGTACCCTTCATGTGGGCCGGCTCCTTGGTCTACGTTGCAGGTAGCGCCTTGTATGCGACCTTGCAAACTGACAGCAATGCTGGATGGTACTTGGGAAGCCAAGTCCTCGCCGGTGCGGGATTCGGTACTGCGATTCAAGTCACCTTCATTGGGGTCCAAGTAGTCACCCCCGCAATTGACATGCCCACTGTCTGTGCTCTCGAGGTATTCTTTCGCCAGCTTGGTGGGTCCGTTGGGATTAGTGTGGCGCAGAGTATCTTCTTGAACACATTGACAAGTCATCTTGGGAGCGTTTCTGGGATTGATCCCGAAACCATCATTCACGCTGGGGTTATCGAAGGATCATGGTCAAACGAACTAATGAATCCTTCGACAATCAGCTTGGTCAAGGACGCATTGAACACGGCAATCACAAAAGCATTTTTGCTCCCAATTGGGGCAACGGCTGTTGCAGCTGTGATTAGCTTGGGGATGGAGAGACGCCAAATTGAGGATGACAGGGTTCCTTCACCGGAGAAAGGGACTGGCGCTAGTGAGAATGAGGGCATTTCGTCGGATGAGCGGCCCGCCGTGGCGTTGGCTGATTGTCAGCCAATGAAGGAACATACCGTGTGCGAAAACGAGATGAAAAAGGGAGAAGGAGAAGAAGTAAGCGCTACGCGGTAAGCACAAGCCTAGAGGGCTGGGCCAGAGAGGACAGCGAGTTCAATCCGGGTACATGGGTCCGGATCTACAGAGGTTTAGGGGTTTATGCAGCTTGATCCTGGCACCTCAAGGCAATTCATTCTCTTAGACTCGATGAGAGTCTACCGATTAGTATCCAGTTCAAGTACTACGCGGGAATCACATCTTCGATTTCTTCCTAGTGCTTTTCCAAATTAGATGTGATTCCCCCGTAATGATTTGCTTCTGCTTCACACTGAAATGGAATATGATTAATCTAAGAGTAAATGGAACTTTTGCTCTTGGTTGAGACAAAATATGTCTTGCACTTTCAGAAGCACTAATACTTTCTGGCATAGGATACAGCTTTGCTCAGCCCATAACCGGCAGCCAATATGATTAACCATATTGCAGCACCTCTCCACCAGTAGGGCGCCCAGCTAGATTTCATCGAGGCTCGATCGTGTACTTGAGGAAATGGCTTCTCGGGCACTGGGACGCCTAGGAATTGACAAAGCGGTTCCCAGCCGTCTTTCATGTTGAAGAAAAACAGTCGATCCTCTGGCACAACTCGCTTCAGATAGTCGGAGTGAATTTCCATAAAATCTAGTCGGATAGTCAATTAGCAGAGGACTTTCAGAGATTAGACTCAGGTACTGACGAGGACCCAACGGCTCGAATTCTGCGGGATAGATCTTTCTCCTTCGCTTCAATATTGCCAATTTCCATGCCAGAGAGTACCTCAATGTGGGCTGAACCAGCTGCAACAGGATAAAGAGTGGATTGTCGAGTGTGTTGATGAGCTCCTGATAGCTATCCCACCATCGGTTGGGCTCTCGAACTGTACAAACAACTTTTGCGTCTGGGTACAGCCGAACTAGTTCTTCGACAAAGAATATCGCTGGGGCATCGGTAGTCGCGACGTAACCGGCTAGCAATTCCTTCAAAGTGTGGTCGACTTCCTCCTGTGACACACCTTTCCCCGGGTCCAAGACTTTTGTCCACCCTTTGATGATATCTAAAAAGGGCTTCAGCACTGAGTCATGAAGTTTGTTAGAAGTTTTGCGTACGCTCTTTCCCTCTCAGACAAGCTGAACCCCCATGGCAAACATCGCCGTGGAGAGCCCACGACAGAGCGAGCGTGAGGGAAATCGTCCCAGTGCGAGGTAATCCAGCTCCTATTACCTGTAGAGTACGGGTTGGGTCATTAGGCGGCTCCCCAGCGAACGGATCCCTCCACCGTTTCTGTTCTGTAGACCCTTCCATGTGTAGAATATGGTGTTCTTCCACAGAGAAAGGAAAATGTCAAGGGCTTGATCGAAGGATAGCAAAGGGGATTTACCACCCCCAGCAAGGATTGTACACAACGAACTATTCTGCCACGGACTCTGATTCGATATGATCTCCTAATCCGTACAGAAAAAACCTTTGCTTAGGATTGGTGAATGCAAGCATATCTCTGCTTCTCAGGCAAAGCCTCGACTCGAGGCTTGAAACTCCGCGTTCAGCCCGAGAACTCCACGGGAATTCGAGCCAATATCCGGACCCTAGCTTATGCTTACATGCATTAGTCTCATGGGTCATAAAAGGGTTTCGCCAAGGTGTCAAGTGTGGAGGTACCCAAGATCGGGAATGTCCCGGTCAGCCCGTGATAGATTCGGGATCCCTGCCGCCACCAATGGGGGCCGTTTATCGAACAGCAAGTCCCCACGAGCTTAGCGCATGAGAGCCTGCCATCGGAGCTATCTACCCATAATCTGGCTAGACATGGGGTAATTTAGCCGGGGAGCGTCAAAGGTTGGAGGAGAAATCCATTGCATGGGTATTCTTGTTCTTTGTTCGAAGGGGTAGAGGTTCATCCTCACTATTCTCTAAAGCAAGACCCTTGTCCTTGACACTGGACTGCGGTGTTTAATACTACTCTCCAGGAACCTATTTGCAGAGATCAAACTGTGAAGTCTCCATTTCCAACTACCCCTATTATCCTACGCAAAAATCATCGCAATGGCTGTTCCGCTCATATGCACTCTGAAAACATGCCCCATCGAATGGGGCTACGTACACTATCAGCCCTCCATCGGGGGGAATGCTGTCATGCTAGCGGCCTTTGGCTTGCTCACTGCCCCAGCCCTCTACCTGGGAATCACCCACAAAGTCAAGCTATTCACATTCTGCTTCGTGATGGGACTGCTGGGTGAAATTATCGGGTATATTGGGCGGCTTCTTCTACACAACGATCCATTCAGTAAAGACTATTTTCTCATATACTTGATATGCACGACTATCGCGCCCACATTTACTGCTGCCGCTGTTTACTTGACGCTAGCTCGGATTGTGGTTGTTTACGGAGAGGGGATCAGTCGAATCCGCCCCCGAACGTATACCCTGCTTTTCAGTGGTCTGGATCTCATCGCTCTGGTGGTTATAGCAGTGGGAGGAGGCATGGCAGCCGTTGTAGTTTTGCAATGGAAGGTTGGTAGATCTCTGAATGCTTCTGACTGGCAGATTCGCCTCTACTAACATGTTGGTTATCTCTAGATTGATCGTGGAACGCACATCATGGTAGCAGGTCTTGCGGTCCAGGTCGTCAGCCTTGTCATTTTCCTTGCTCTGTGCTTCGAGTATTCTTTACGAGTACGCAAGTATCGAGGAGATCTGAATCCTAAATACGCAGTTCTTCGCCAGTCTCCTCGTTTCAAGCGATTCCTGTATGCGCTCGCCGCGGCAACTATCTTTTTGTTCATTCGGGCTGTGTACCGAGTGGCAGAGCTTTCGGGTGGGTTCAGAGGCAAGCTTGCTCAGGACCAGGTGTTGTTCATGGTTCTTGACGGAGCAATGGTTCTACTGGCATGTATCATTTTGACGGTCTTTCACCCCGGATCAGCCTTCGGGGGTGCATGGAAGGACGCATCGTTCCGTTGGGGTTCGAAGAAATCGAGTAATGAGTCGTCGATGCAGGATATTCCGGCAGAGTCTGTGGCCTACAACGGAAAGCATTGATCTTGGCATGGATGGAATTGGATGATTTAGATATCAAGGATGAGTCGTGCGTGTCTAGCAGCAATCGCTCTCGCATTTACCCAAAAGAGAGCTAGAAAACTACAGTAGTCAGAATGCATTTGAACGAATTCCGGATAACATGCCTATATGTGATTCGGTGTGCTAGTGGATAAATTCCCCGTACTTCAATTTTTTCAACCTCTATATTGTGTACTTGCTTCAGAGATACTCCACTCTTCTTGGACATGTGCAACGTGGTGTTATGCCGGATAGCGTACCTGAGCCTGAACTCCCTCTCATCATTAGTCCGACGCCACCATGCAGAACCCAGTTATGAGGATTTCCTAGTCCTTTACCGTCCTAGTTCTTATGTCAACATCTCACTTTCTCGCAGATAAGCAGAAATCCGAAATAGCAATCACGAGGCTGACTCTCAAAATATAGCACGATTTCCTTAAATTTCTACGGACTGTCCTCCGCTGGGTCATTGCCGATGCAACGCTGATGGGTCTACAGATCTATATCCTCTCCCTTGCCGAACGCGAACACGGCATGAGTGCCGACAGTCATTCTTACTAAAGTTCAAAGGATTGAGGCGCAGAGCTAGAGCGCCTTTCATCACGGAAAGATAGGAGTTTGGGTCAGCAATGGTTAGATGGCCGAGTTTGCAGTCATCTTGTCTGACTAGTCTGATTGCCTTGTGAATCTCCAGCGTGAGATTAGAACAGACTAGGAAAACTACAGATAGCGATATATTTTGGCCCCCAATATAGCTCTTAAGAGCTTGATGGCGGTGCCGGCCATTATATAGAATGCTGCGAGTAGCAGGCAAATCCGTGAATTTATCACGACATTCTTCAATGATCTGTCGAAAGAATTCGATCTGAGCTAAAATTTTACCTATCTCTTCACATTATCCTATCATGTCTGAGCACACTCCAATTGCCGTCATTGGCATGGGGTGTCGACTTCCCGGAGGTGCTAGCAGCCCCGAGAAGCTCTGGGAGATGCTCGCTGAAGGCCGGAGTGGATGGGGTGAAGTTCCTGCAGAACGTTGGAACTGGAAGTCATTCTACCACCCGCACAATGAAGCCAAAGAGTCACTCAATTCAAAGAGTGGCTATTTTCTGGATCAAGACATTGGGGCATTTGATGCCAAGTTCTTCAACATTGCTTCATATGAAGCCCATGCAATGGATCCGCAACAGCGAATCCTGTTGGAGACAACATACGAAGCGCTTGAGAACGCCGGAGTATCTTTGGACAGTATCAAGGGCTCCAATACGTGTGTCTACGTGGGGCTGTATGCCCGAGACTATGATCGCATGGGATTTAAGGATCTCCCCCAAATTACGAAGCTTCACATTACTGGAACAGGCGAAGCTGTCGTCTCAAATCGAATCTCGTACCTCTTTGACCTTAAGGGCGCGTCTGTCACGGTTGACACAGGCTGTGTAAGCAAATATTATTTTGCGTTCAAGGAAATCTTCTCCAAAGTTACTGACTTCGAGCTTTGTGTAGTCTGGAAGTATGGTTGCCCTACATCAAGCTTGCCAGAATCTCAGGACCCGGGAGTCAAACATGGCCATTGTTGGAGGAACACAGCTCCTTCTTCATCCGGATCAGGCTATCGCGATGAGCACGGTTGGGTAAGGCTGCCTTTTCAAATGAAGCACCACTTCAGGATACTAACTATTCAATAGCATGGTGAATCCACACGGTCGATGCTTTGTCTTCGATAGCCGTGGTTCTGGTTATGCCCGAGGCGAAGGTGTCGGCACAATTATTCTCAAGCGCCTAGAGGACGCCATAGCAGCTGGTGACCCTATTCATGCGGTTATTCGGAATTCTGGATTGAACCAGGACGGTAAAACAGCAGGAATTTCACTCCCTAATCCAGATGCGCAGGCAGCTCTCATGAAATGGGTCTACTCTTCTGCTGGCGTGGATCCTCGCAACACAGTATATGTGGAAGCTCATGGAACCGTCAGTCAAATTTTACATCCAACTTAGATATTACCATATCAAAGCTAACTATTCTTCACAGGGCACACAAGCAGGTACGCAGAAAAGATAATTTCTCAATTCTACTTCAATGAGCTAATACAGTCAAAACAGGTGACAATGCCGAGATTTCTTCTATTAACCAAGTCTTCTGTGAGGAGGCTGGACGGAAGTCAGATATCTACGTTGGATCAGTCAAATCCAATATTGGACATCTAGAAGCTTCCAGCGGTATCGCGGGCCTAATCAAAGGTATCATGATTGTGAAAAAGGGTTTCATTCCGCCAAACTTGGATCTTGAAACACCCAAGCCGAGCCTCAAGCTTGATGAGCGGAAAATCAAGGTGAGGATGATATGTCATGTAAACGAAGACTCAACATCTAATATATAATTTTTAGATCCCGGTCCAGCTTACTCCTTTGCCTCAGCCAGAGCAACCTGGGCCTAGCCGAGTGTCTTTAAACAGCTTCGGCTACGGCGGAACTAATGCACATGTCATTCTCGAACCAGCTCCAGCCTTGGACCTTTATGGGTCTGGCGTGAATGGTGACTCAAACCAAGAAGACTCAAACGGAGTTCAAGATGATCGTGAAACCAAGGACACTTCGAATGGTGATGCAGATGCTGACCATCGACCAAACAGTGATGAGAGCCATGCTAGCCTCGAGGAGACGGCTGAAGCCAATCCTCAGCTATTTGTCCTCAGCGCTACTTCGGAAAAGTCTCTTCTTGAAGCCGCCAAAAACGTGCAGAGCTGGATCTCTACCAGGGCCTCAGAGCAAGATTACCTGTCCGATCTTGCATACACGTTGAACGTTCGACGATCACTTCTGCCACTCAGGCTGAGTGTTGTTGCTTCTACCCCAGATGAACTCATTTCTGCTTTAGAGCCAAAGAGTCTCCGTATCACAAAGCTTCCACACTCCGTCTCAGTGGCTTTTATTTTTACTGGGCAGGGAGCGCAATGGTTTGCCATGGGACGAGAGCTATTGGCCCTAAACTCTGCCTTCAAAGATTCGATTCTTCAGTCAGACCAATTGATCCAAAGCTTTGGTTCTCAGTGGAGTCTCGTGGAGGAGCTCTCAAAGGACGAGCAATCCTCTAGGGTGAGTGATAGCGAGCTATCTCAACCTTTGACAACAGCTGTCCAAGTCGCTTTGGTCGATTTGCTTGCCACATTTGGCGTTACTCCGCAATATGTCTGCGGTCACAGCTCGGGAGAAATTGGTGCGGCCTATGCGGCCGGGGCCTTGACGCAAGATGCTGCGATTGAAATGTGAGTTTCTTATTATCTACCTCGCCAAGATAAACTTTGACCTAATGACTATTGAGCTAGTGCTTACCGACGAGGTTTATGCTCAACTGCTGCCAAAAAGGCAAACTCGACCAAGGGTTCCATGCTGGCCGTGGGAGTTGGCGAGACCGAGATGTTGCCATACATCCAGCAGGTGAAGAATGGCCTGGTGACAGTGGCTTGTTCCAACAGCCCAGACAGCGCTACGATATCTGGAGATGAAGCTGGTATTGACGAACTGAGCACCATTCTGAATAATCAATCCATCTTCAACAGGAAGCTCAAGGTGGACACAGCCTATCACTCTCACCACATGGAGAAGATCGCGGGCCAGTACCTCGAGTCCTTGAAACATGTCCATACTGGTACACCACGAGGCAATGTTACTTTCTATTCCTCCGTGACAGGGGGGAAGAAAGTTTCCGACTTCGGACCTCAATACTGGACAGACAATCTGGTGTCAAAGGTCCGATTCAGCGATGCCCTTCAACTTTTGGCCGAGAATATGGCACGTTCAAAACAGTCTAGCAATGTTGCCAACTTCTTTGCCGAAATTGGCCCGCATGGTGCATTGTCTGGACCCATCAGGCAGATCATGGCCAAACTCAGTAACGGAGCTTTCAAGTTTTCATACGCATCTGCACTTACCCGAAATAAACATGCGCTTCACTCAGTTCTGGAGCTGACTGGCAAGCTGTTCGAATCTGGATACGGTATCCAGTTTGAGCAGGTCCTTGCCTTGCATAAGGCCAAGCGTTGGACTACAATCGGCGATTTGAGTCCTTACCCCTGGGATCACTCACTATCCTACTGGTACGAATCTCGACTCAGCCGGGATCATCGTCTGCGCCAATTCCCGTACCACGACCTTCTGGGATTATGGGATGTGGGGAGCACTATACATGAGCCGAGATGGCGGTATCATCTCAATGTCGATGCTCTTCCTTGGCTGAAACATCACGTTGTCGATGGCTTCATGATTTTCCCAGGAACGGGATACATTTGCATGGCCATCGAAGCGATGAAACAGATCGTCCAACTTCGGAAGACACCTGGGGAGATATCCAATTTCCACGTCAAGAATGTGGTTCTTTCCAAGCCTATCATTGTTCCAGATCAACGACCGGACAGCTTCATCCCAGACGTGGAAGTTCAACTTACCCTGACTCGTATGAAGAGCAACGATGGCAGTCGATGGGAAACATTCAGAGTATTTTCATATTCGCCCGAGGGGTCTGGGTCATGGAATGAGCATTGTTCCGGAATCATCACTGTCGACATGAGTTCCAAGGTTGACGAGGTTGAAGGCACTCGAGAAGAAGAATATCTGGTTTCATCCCACAAGCGCAAATTTGAACAGATTCAGCAGGCATGTCACTTCGATACCACGGTCAATCCAGAGAAATTCTACAGTGACCTTCGTGAATCTGGAAATGATTTTGGCTCAACTTTCACTTGCATGACCGAGATGCAACTAGGTCGCCATCAGGGTTGGGCCAAGGTTGAGGTCCCCGATGTTCCAGCCTGCATGCCTCGCCAGTTCTTGCAGCCACATGTGATACACCCGTCACTTTTGGACTCGTTGAATCACCTTGCAGTTGTCTTATTCAAGAAAGAATGCAGCAATGCACCACTAATGGCGACGTTCTTTGGAGAAATCATCATTTCTGCGGATATAACGTCTACCCCTGCCGATGAACTGGTCGTTGCTCTCGAGATGAATCCCGAAGGAATGCGTTCAGCATCAGGTAACACATACGCATTCCAACAGAAAGAAGATGGAGAACGATCTCTTGTTCTGCATGTGAGAAATTGGCAGCTGAAAGCTGTTGGAGAATCTCAGACAAAGAACGAAGAGACTCCATTCCATCGTAAGATGAGCTATCGGATGCAGTGGCAGCCAGATGCGTCTTTCTTGAACGCAAAACAGCTTCGGGATGCAGTCGATAAAACAACGAGCCCTAGTGCGACGGAGCAATATCTTACTGCCGCGACAGTTGCCTCTGAAGACATTATGATTACCGAAAAACTGACGTTTGAGCAAATCATTGCTTTGAATGAGCGCGCGGCGGCAATCTATATTCGAGAGGCCCTGTCCCAGGTATCCTTGGAGGCACCATCGATGACTACCCATCATTTTGCAAAGCTTCTCGAGTGGATGAAGTCTTCTAGTGAGTCTGAGGTCTGCAAGTCGATGCTGAAAGGGTTGACCTCTTCCGAGGAGGAACTCGTCCTTCAAAGGTCTCTGATCTCCGGTCTTGAAGGACTGATGCTATCACATATTGGTCTCAACCTGGCCTCGCTTCTCAATGGAGAGACAGACGCCGGGGAGCTGATGCGGCAAGACAACCTTTTGTCGAGATTCTGCATCGATGATCTTTTCTCACGAAGCCATCAATTCATGGTCAGGTATCTCGAGTCAGCTGTGTATAAGAGGCCACACATGAGAATTCTTGCAATTGGCGCTAGTATGGAAGATGGAATTGCCACTCTTATGCGCGCGATCGATCGTCCAGAGGGACTGATGGTTGACCACTTCGACCTCGCTGATAGCTCTTTGGCGGCCCTGGAACGCGCGAAACCTCTTTTCCAAAACTGGGCCCACTCCATGGACTTCAAAATTTTGGATCTTGATGAGAATCTTAAAGATCAGGGTTTTGAGATTGAAGGATACGACATGATCATCGCAGCCAACACCCTGTATTCTGTGAAGAACGTCACCGCCTCGTTGAATCAAATTCGTCGATTGATGAAGCCGGGTGGAAAACTGGTCATGGTTGAACTAATTCGGCCACCGACATTGGCTATCGAGACTATTTTTGGAGTCTTGCCAGGGTACGTACTGACTTGCATGCTTATCAGCAATTTGTTAACACGTCACAGATGGTGGGCTTCTGAGGGCGATCGCCAGAATTCTCCCTTGCTTTCTGAGTCCCAATGGCACGATCTGCTGCTAGAGAGCTCATTCAGTGGCACGGATATTGTGATGAATGAAAATGATGGGCCAAAGTCAAGATCTGCCCTGATCGTTTCAACTGCATTGAACCAGTCTAAGGTGGCCAACCCCGAACCTTCGCAACGTGTGAAGGTCCTCTCATTTGGCAAATGGTCTCCAGCGTTCGCAAAGCTCGCCGAGGATATTTCATCGGCTCTCAGTCAAAGAGGCCTTGATTGTTCAATCAGCATTTTAGATCCTCAAGCCATCCAGCAAGACGTTACCTACATCGTTCCGGACGACATGGAGAATGCTCTTCTGTCAAGTCCATCTGCTGAGGAATTTGAAGCGCTGAAGACTATCTTTGTCACTAGCAAGTCTTTACTTTGGATTAGCGGACAAGAAAAGGTCACTCAAAATGGCAACGCTGCGAAGGGTCTCATCAATGGTATGGCGCGCGTGGCCCGACGCGAAAACGAGGGGATTAAGCTCGTTACCATCGACATACAACAAGATATTGCAAACTCTTGGTCTGAGATCTCCAAGCAAATTTTGGACATTGCTGAGAGCTCGTTCTGGCCAGCTTCTGAAGCCGAGCATTCCAATGAACATGAGTTTGCGGTTCAGAACGGCACCGTCATGATTCCCCGAGTTCAGCCCGACACCAAGTTCAATGACTGGATCGACCGAGCCGTGGGAGATGATAGACTGGACACTCTGCCTTATCACCAGTCCAACCGTAGCCTGAAGCTTCACGTGGAAACGCCCGGTCTTTTGAGCAGTCTCCGCTTTGTGGAAGACGAGGCTTTGATCTCGCCTCTGCGTGCAGATGAGATTGAGATTGAAGCCAAGGCATATGGTGTCAACTTCAAGGATGTCTTTATTGCCCTCGGTCAAATGCTTCCTGGAGTCAACATGATCGGAGAGGTCGCCGGTGTTGTTACAGCCGTGGGATCAGCTATGCAGGGCCGATTCAATGTGGGAGACCGAGTTGCCGGCGTTGGTGCCCAGCCCTTTACCAGCAAAGCCAGAGTCAAGGGATTGATGTCTTGTCGACTCCCTAAATCAATCACCTTCACCGTTGGTGCATCGATTCCCATCATTTACATGACAGCTTATCATTGCATCGTTGAAGTGGCTCGTCTCCGAAAAGGTCAAACCATCCTGATCCATGCAGCATCTGGCGGTGTTGGTCAAGCTGCAATCCAATTCGCGCAACACATTGGAGCTGAAATATTCGCAACCGTCGGCAGTGCAGTCAAGCGGCAGCTACTAGTTGACAGGTACAACATTCCCGAGGATCATATATTCTCAACAAGATCGAGAACATTCAAACATGGGATTATGCGCCTTACAGCCGACAAGGGAGTGGACGTCGTACTCAACTCCCTCTCTGGAGAATGGCTCAATGACTCTTGGGAATGCTTGGCTCGTCTTGGTACGTTTGTTGAGATCGGTAAAACGGATATCTATAAGCGAAGCCACCTCAGCATGGCACCATTCGATCGAAGCATTACCTTCGCAGCCGTCGATCTGGTAGTCCTGTTTGAGAGTCAAATCGAACGGATGAACGATGAGTTCAAAACAGTCATTTCGATGTTCGAGTCTGGCATTCTTACACCCGTGGCTCCTGTTACCGCGATTCCCATCTCAAATATTGAGGAAGCGTTCCGCTTGATTGCCTCTCGAAAGCACACAGGAAAGGTTGTTGTCGAAGCTGAGGCAGACGCTCTCGTGAAAGCAGTGATTGCCAAACCCGATCCATTGCAACTGGACCCTTCGGGATCCTACGTTGTAGCTGGAGGGCTCGGTGACCTGGGGAAGAGGATCTGCCGACTTCTAGCGATTCATGGTGCAAAGCACATTGTGACTCTGTCTCGTCGATCTCTCTCCGACGATGATCGAAAGACATTTGAGGCCGATATTTCTCAACTTGGCGCAGTGCTTCACATTGTCAAGTGTGATATTGTTGACGAGACCTCTATGATGGAGGCTGCAGTTATCTGTCAAGAAACTCTCCCACCCGTCAAGGGTGTGATCCACGCCGGCATGGTTCTGCGGGTGAGTATAGTATCTTCCCTCTTATCGAGTTCACACACTAATCGCCTCTCAGGATCATCCTCTGGAGCTCATGACACCGGACGACTATCTAACCGCTACCAAGCCCAAGACCCAAGGCACCTTAAACTTGCATTCAAGCTTCCAAGGTCCTGCACTTGACTTCTTCATTACACTTTCCTCCATCACATGTATCGTCGGCAAGACTGGCCAAGCCAATTATTCCGCGGGAAATGCCTTCCAGGACGCTTTCGCTCATGCGCATGCTGGAAAGTCTCATACCCGCTACATCTCTCTCAACCTCGGTGCAATTGATGGCTCCGATGCTATCACGTCACTGCCTGTTCGCCAACAGGAGCTGATGCGTCAAGGTGCGATTCTGGTCAAATTCGAAGAACTCTTCAAGGTCCTCGAGTATGCCATGGGACCTCAAGCAGTGGTTGACGACTGTGTCCAATCCATTATGGGCTTTGATCGACAGTCTATGGAGACGGTGCAAGACACATTTGGATTGAGTAACCCAATGTTCAGTCAAGTGCCTTATCTTTTGGATCAGAATAGCTCTGGCGATGGCGCGTCCGATAAGGTAGATACGGAGAAGGCTATTCGGAATGCCACTTCCATTGCCGAAGCTGAGGAGATCATCACCCAGGCAATTGCAGAGAAATTCGCTCTATTTATGGACCGAGCGATTGAAGACGTGAATCTTGACCAGTCACTTGCTGCTTTCGGACTTGACTCGCTGGTCTCGATCGAGTTAAAGAACTGGATGGTTCGAACATTCCAAGTCACTTTGCAGACATCAGAGATTGCAGATGCGCTTAGCGTGGTTGCTCTGGCAAAGACGATTACGTCGCGTTCGAAGCTAGTGAGCGATGAGATGCGTGGATCTCCTTCTAGCCCAGACGAGCCTGAAGAAACACCCGTTCAGCAGCCAGTGGCCGAAGTACCCTCCGGTCCAAACCACGGCTTTGAATGCTGTCGATACGCAAAGGATCTCCCCAAGCAGCCACTGATGGATCTAGATGAGGCATTGAGTTCGATTTTAAAGAGTACTCGCCATTTCGCAACAGAAGAAGAATACACAGCTCTTTGCCAAGCAATCGAGAAATTCGGACAGCTAGGAAGCACAGGACGTCAATTGTACGAGAAACTCGTCAACATGGCGAATGATCCAAAGGTGGACAACTGGATGGTCGACTTCTTGACAGATGCGTCATTCCTCAAGAAGCGGTTCCCCCTGGTGCCTCTCTCCAGTTTCTTCGCTACACATCACGACGCTGTAATTCCCCATCCTCAAGCAGAAAGGGCGGCTCTCATCGCGACAACCGCTTTCCGGTTCAAGGAGGCCGTGGATGCTGGGGCTCTAGAGCCTCACTGGTATTTCCATATCCCATCTTGTATGGATTCTTGGCAATGGCTTTTCAACACCACCCGTGAGCCCCATCTTGAAGTTGATCGTATGAGAAAGTACCCCGGAAATGACTACTGCGTCGTCCTCCGTCGGGGTCACGTCTTCAAAGTGGCGCTGAAGAATGGTTCAGAAGCTGTCTCCTACTCCAACATCAAGGCACACTTCGATATGATATTGGAGAGCGTTCAAGATGAAGGCTTCTGGACAAGCATACTGACCAACGATAACCGAGACTCCTGGGCCACGGTAAGTTGACAGCCCTATTCCCGAAACAACCTGTATTCTAACAACCATTCAGATCCGCGAAAAGCTCATGACCATGAACGACGCAAACGCAGCATGCATCCAAGTCATCGAACAAGCAGCCTTTGCCATCTGCCTCGACGACGGCGCACCAACAACTAGCTCTGAGCGAATCCGAAAGGCTTACCTAGGCGACGGCTTCAACAGGTGGAACGACAAGGGCCTCCAATTCATAGTCTTCGAGAACGGTTCATCAGGCTACCAAGTAGAACACACCATGATCGACGGTCTGACCGTGCACCGCATGAACGAGTGGATCCACGAAGCCATCCACTCACACATCCCCAAACAAGAAACCAACGGCCACACAAACGGCACATCCAACGGATTCCACCCAGTCCTCGAAGAATACACCCTCACCACAACGCCCGACATTGACGAACACATTCTCGTCGTGCGAGGCGAGCACTTGAAGACCACCTCCAGCCGCGAATACGGCTACCTTACACTCTCACACTTCGGCAAAGACTTCCTCGCCGAACATGGCTGTCCCATCAAATCCGTCTTCGATGTCACAATCCAACTAGCCAGCAAACTCTACTTCGGCCATAACCCGGCCTCGTGGGAACCAATGTCAATGGCGCATTTCCACAAGGGCCGCACGGAGATCTTCCAAGGTGTCCTCCCATCCGTAGCGCAGTTCTGCGACTCGGCAACGAACACAGACGTTCCCGCCGGACAGCGGCGCGAGATGCTCATCCGCGCTGCGAATGAGTATACCGCTGGCCTGCAGAATTCTGGGAAGGGAAACAATTATTTCAGACTGATGACTGTTTTGGAGGGTATGTGGCCAGGTGGTGAAGAGTTGGCGCCGTTGTTTACGGATCCAGTCTGGTTGAGGACGTATCCGCGGTTTATCATGTCTGGGTTGACGGATGGTGGGTCGTTGGATTCGGCGTTTGCGTTGATCGACCCCGAGGGTGTTTGGATTTGTTACTCAATTGGGGAGAAAGAGTGAGTTTCATTGATCCGGAGATGAGGAGAAGCTTGAGCTAACCTTTATTCTTTAGGGCACGCTTTTCTATTGTTGGCCCAACGGGCGAAGTTTCTAGGTTCGAGGAAGTGCTAGACGAGGCTACGGCCCTTGTTAAGACACTGGTTGAGTCGAGTTAGCTTCTTGCGTTCTAAAATAGGCGTACGAGTAATTTAAAGCCTGTCTGAAACACTTAAGAATGTCATTTACGAGCACGATTGTAACTCCCATTCGCATCACCTCTCCTATCACATACGCTACGCAATTACAACAGTAACCAAATAAATGACCAATCCAAAATCTCAGTTGAGATGGACTAAAGCCGAACCATGCTAAATATAAAACACAGAGACATTAGATATCAGTACATGGGCGCGCCCAAGAGAAGAAGCCATCCAAAGAAGCTTCTTCCCATCTACACAAACCCGTTCTCGTTTCGTCGCACATTTTTGCCTCGCCTCTTTATGCGATTGGAATCTCCCCTCTTCGGATTCATTTTTACCCGTTTAACCAGTGACCTTGAAGATGGACTCGGCCAGGCGCTTGACGTTGCCGGTGGTGATACCAGCGACGGAGATACGGCCGTCCTTAGTGGCGTAGACGGAGTGCTGAAGACAATATTAGTATACGAGCAATAGGCTGAAGAAATGCGATGCGATACGTACCTCCTTGGCGAGAACGTCCATCTGCTCGGGCTTCAGACCGGTGTAGGCGAACATGCCGATCTGGCTAGTGATGTGGGACCAGTCGTGCTTGCTGCCGAGCTCCTCCAGGTTCTTGCGGAGCAGGGAGCGCATCTCAATGATGCGATCAGCCATGCCCTTGACCTCACCGAGCCACTGCTCGTTCAGCTTGGGGTCGTTCATGATGGTGGAGGCGACACGGGCACCGTGGATGGGGGGGTTAGAGTAGAAGGGGCGGATCAGAATCTTGATCTGAGACTCGACGCGCTTCTTCTCCTCGGTGTTCTCACAGACGAGCGAGAAAGCACCAACACGCTCACCGTAGAGACCCTGATTGAATAATCATATTAGCAAAAATGAAACACACAATCCCCAGTCGTCTAGCGCATTCGGATAATTTCTCACCATGTTCTTGGCGAAACTCTGGCACAGAGCGATGTTGTGGCCCTCCTTGACGAAGTGGCGAGGTGCGAAAGCGTCCTGGTCAGCGTTGCCGCTGGCGAAGCCCTGGTAGGCCATGTCGAAGAAGGCAAAGTGGCCCTTCTCCTTGACGACATCGCTGATCTGACGCCACTGCTCCTGGGTAGGGTCAACACCGGTAGGGTTATGAGCGCAAGCGTGCAGCAGGATGATGCTGTTGTTGGGAGCGGCCTTGATATCGGCGATCAGGCCCTCAAAGTCCAGACCGATGGTGTCCTTGTTATAGTAGCGGTACTTCTCAACCTCGAGGCCCGAGTCCTTGAAGACGGCGTTGTGGTTGGCCCAGCTGGGGTTGGGGAGGTAGATCTTCTTTGCGTGAGGGTAGAAGCGCTTCAGGAACGCACCACCGATGCGCAGAGCACCGGTACCGGAGATGGTCTGGGTGATGACGAGACGGTCCTCGGTCAGGGCGGAGGAGTCCTTGCCGTAGGCGAGCTCGGCAGCGGCAGTGGTGAAGGCAGGGACACCGGTGATGCCGGCATATTCCTTGTCGAAGCGCGAAGCAACGACCTTGTCCTCGGCCTCGCGGACGGAGGGCAGGACGTAAGGCTTGCCCTTGTCGTCACCTAATCAATGATAAAATCCAGGCACCAATTAGCAATCCATGCAATTCTCCCACTGTTTTGTTTTTCAAATTTTTGTAATCGTTGGTGGAGGACTCACGGTAAGCACCGACGCCCAGGTTGATCTTCTCCTTGAAGGAGTCGGCCTTGAAGGCCTCGGTGATACCGAGAATGGCATCCTAAATCACACGAGCTGCGCATTAGCATTGGTCCCATAAGAATCGTATTGAATCCCATTGAATCGCATTTCCAATGTTTTCCACTCCAAGTCATAGAGTTCATCGATTGACACTTACTGGAGGGCCCTGGGGCACGTTAGACCAGGCCGAGGCATGTCTAGCACCGATGACCACGGTGCGCATGTTCGCATCGCGAGCAACAGCCGAGCGGCTGGCAACACGCAGAGTGGAGAGCATTGTGTGAATGACAGAGAACGGATGAAGACTGGGGAAGGAAGAGACAAGAAGCAGGACTAGAAAAGCTGGGGGAGGAAGGGAAAAAGCCGGAGGAGAAATCGGAGATGCTGCGTGTTATGGGCCTGACTCATGTGATACTGGGAAAGGAAAGTATCGGGTACTTCTCGTCAAGTGTGGGGTTCACCCATTTCGAAGTAACGTCTACTTCACCGCCCGGCGACAACTACAAGGCCGAACCCGCCGGATTGGCTGCATCCTCCGCAGGGCGTAGGATTTCGAATTCCCACAACAGTAGTATTCCGTGCGGATTGTACGGAGTAGATCATACGGTAATTGTTGGAGCTACCGGTTGAATAGAATTCAAAATAAAATATCCATTAGTCTTAAGCATTCCCAATTGAATTATGAGCTCTGAATCCCACACGTATTCAAAACATTATACAATCTAGGATCATCACCACCCCTTCGACTATGTATTTCAATAAACAATCTCAGTCCGACACGTCGACCTCGCCCTATTTTCCCCGACGTCGTCATTGCACCATGTCGGGATGTCAAGCCCCGGTGAGCTGAATAAGGGCTAAGAGCTCCACCTAACAAATTTCCCCTCACGCACAGAGTTGGGGTAGATCCCGTCGTGCGGGCAGGCAATGAATGCGAGCATCTCGGGAAGCAATTTACCCAGAGGAGATAGTATGACGTTTCAAGGTTTCTAACCCCCTACATGGCCTCTTGAGAATAATCAATACAAGCTGGCTATCCAAATAGTGTCCAGGAAACTGGAGGGCCCCGTATCCGGGCTTAGAACCCCGGTTAAATAGGGTGACGAAAATGTAAATAGCCGGGGATCACGCGAATGTACGGAGTCCTAGGTACAGTACACACTCTCTATGTCTCCCGTATACTGTGTCTGTGTCTTGTGCCGGGTGGGCTTTCCTTTCCGAGCTGCCGGCACTTTAATGAGGGCGCTCAGGGTTTGGCTCACTGAGTAGACTTCAGTCTCACCGATCGGCTCAGTGTGGTCACGTGACTGACCAGTGAGTGTGATGGGGTGCTGACTAAGTACTCAGAGACTCATCAGAGGCATCTATTGAGCACAGACTCAGCCCGCGTTTAGTCTACGCCCGAAATAGCATGCCCCACGTGGTTATTTGCTACCGAAAGGCGCGTGCAGAGCGCGCTACAGCCCTGAAACGATGTAGTGAGAGGGATTAAATGATAGGCCCGGTCCTATTTGTGAGTAGGAATGAGCCGTGTCGTAATGTAATTCGGTTAAAGTAACCTCATTAGACTCCATATGTAGTGTGCTTTATTCTACCTAAACCTACACGGAAGTACACTATTTATATGAATATCAGGGCTCTCCAGATCAACGACGTAATTGTACCAAGTTGTGCCGAATGAGTTCCACATCCTCCGAAGTCAACCCGCAGTGTTCTTCAGCGTAGCGATTAACACCGCCAAATTCAATTTCCACCAGCTCAAGAGTGCGAAGCATCACCGCCTTACTAGAAGAAATGTTAGCGTTTACCAGTATATTCGTAGCTCAAAATTTACCTTGTTTGTATCGCTTCTTTGGCAATCCGATGGCAATCGGTTTCACTAGTACCGCATGGAGCCATCTGCTGCGCGAGAGCAAAAACTTTTGGGAGAAGCGGTTCCAAAGCCGCTCCGCTAAGGCAATACTCCTCCGAGACAGTCTCTTTCGAAACACCAGCTAAGATCAATAGAACCGCAAGCACGACTCCTGTGCGATCTTTGCCCATCGAGCAATGGATAATGAAAACTTCGTTGGGGTAGTCGCGGATCTGAAGTAGTATTTTTCGAATCACAGCGGGTCCTTCTCGAAGAAGGGATACATAATCTTGAGCAATGCCCTGCAGTTATATTAGAAACACACATCTGTGAGAGGGGAGAGTACAAACAGACATCATAACCCTCAGAGACATATCCACAATATTTAGTGAAAAGGCTTGTCTTGTCGAACTCTTTTTGGTTTAAGGGAAGGTGAAGCAATTTGAAGCCCTTGGTCCTCTCCGAACGTTGAGCGTCATTAGCGTATAGTGCGTTCGCTTCGTCCATGTCCGTCAGGTTGACTATAGTTGATATATGAAGCTCCCGTATCTTTTCCCAGCCATTGTTCGTGATGCTCGAAAGATTTCCAGAGCGATAAATGAACCCTTCCCGTGTCACTGCATCCTGAGAGACATTGCTTGAATATCCCCCGAAACTTCGGAAATTCAAGGCCCCTTCAATATTGGCTTCCGAAGCTTCGGGGCTTTTAAGATAGGAATCAGTAGAGGACAGCTTGGTCATTCTTGAATAATCGCGTGTTGTGTCGTGTTTGAGGCGATAAAATAAGAGAGTTTGGGGTGCAAGTACAATCACGAAGCTACAGCTTCCTCGTAATTTAAACTTTCTGATAAGTGGAGCGAGCTTGCGGTGAGAAGGATACACGTCAACAACGACGAAAATGAGCTATCTATTCATGACCCGCTCTGCCTTTGCGTCGTCATAGTACGATCGATTGCATACTCAGTACGATCGATCTCATACTCAGTAGGTAATGATCTGCAAAAAGTCGGGAAGCGAGATCATTTAAGAAGATAACCTTTTTCGTCTCGCCGCGTATAAATGTCAGATCAGGTAGCGTACTTCTAGCTCATTCTGCAAGATCTTTTTTCGAGGTCATCCGTCCCCCATGACTATCCCAACTCCAGAGTCTCCAAAACGTCCTGGCTAAAGTCAGTCGGGAGGTTGCGGGGCATTTATCTTCTATGGGGCTTGGACCTGAAGCAGTAGAAAGGATTTACCAGGTAAGAAGCGTACAGAATATGGCAGTCTAAGCATTTCTTATCAATTAATACAATTCAAGTGTCTCGTTCTCAACACCAAAGGGGGGAATCAATTGCGAGGTCGAACACTCGTTGACGCTGGATTCGTACTCAATGGCCATGATCTTTTGCCTGCCCAAAGAGAGGATCTCGCAGTGCTCGGATGTCTAATTGAATTCTTCAACGCGGCATATCTAATGTGGGATGATATCATGGATGGATCCACAACCAGACGTGGTCAGCCATGCTGGTACCTCCGAGAGGACGTTGGCATGACAGCTATCAATGATGCCTGCCTCCTGAAGTCTGCAATCTACGTTATTCTGAAGAAACGCTTCCGGAATCATCCACGTTATCTAGAACTTCACGAATTGTTCGAAGAGGCTTCTCTCCGGACTGAACTTGGACAACATTACGATCTAATGGCTACGGCAAAACTGCTGAAATTGGACCAGTTTTCTTGGGGCCAATATGAGTTCATCACTGCCCATAAGACAGCTTTCTATACTGTCTATCTCCCTATGGCCATTCCTCTGGTATATTTTGACCTCGCCACCCCCGAGAAGCTAAGTGAGCTATACGAGACATCAATGCTGTTGGGCCACGTCTTTCAGGCACGGGATGACTTTCTGGATGTCTATGGTGATTCGTTGGTTACGGGGAAGATTGGGACCGACATTCAGGAGAATAAATGCAGCTGGTTGTCTGTTTCTGCCTTGGAACACTGCAACGAAAAGCAAAAGAAGGAACTTCTGAACTGCTACGGATCCAAGAATGAGGATGATGTTGCTAAGGTAAAAGGCCTCTTCCATGACCTTAAATTGTCCAAAACCTTCAACGACTGGAACCAGGAGATGTTAAAGAAGATTGATATCACGGTTGAGGGAATTACAGATGCGGCTTCAAAGGAGGTGGTCGTCGCTTTTCTGTCCAAATACAATCGAGATCCTCGAAGAGGCTTGCCACCGTCTGTCGAAAAGCATACATGTACTAGTTAATTTACTCATTATTTGGCTTGCCCAGGGAAAAAGTGCAATTGCATAGATGAATGGCATTGGTAGGCTTTTATTGGTACAAAGGACCTCTTCGCATGTAAGCTGCAGAACAGATCGAGATGGAAGAAAAAAGCTACGTGGTGCGATAATGCATGAAATTAGGTGCATATAGGAAATTTAAGTCGGAGATTTTCCTCGCCGCTCCATATGGGAATGAGTCTGATGCAAATAAGACCGGGTTGCGCCTGTGTTTACTGATTTTATCGCGTATATGCATAAGATATGAAAATAATGACCGGGCATTAGGAAAATTATGTCGAGTCATTAGATTGCCATTCAGCAAGAGTGCTCGGCTCCGGCGCCTGCAGTCTCTGCATCTCACTGAGTAACTGAGGATCTAGGGCGTGGTGTAGGTCATTCATTACAATTTGATATAGGAGATGAAGACCAGCCAATAATGGCTGGCGGGCCCTATGCACGTAAGTTGAGTAGAATCTGCTCTGTGGGCGTCCTGCCCTCGAAAATTTTGATAATTCTTCAGATCTAGTATAGCGGATGCGAGAGTCGTGCATCGGTCTGCGTAGAGGATCTGATGCGGGTGTGGAGTGCGGGGGATGTTAAAATCCTTCGAGGTCTTAACTGGGCAAGGCGCTCGATCTGGAAACGATTTATCATATAACGGAGCGAGTTTAACTCAACGACTGCCGTCGTGGCATAAAGACAAATATCTTCGAGAGTAATTATGGCTTTTGAGTTCAACGCCAGAATATCATCATGTATAAGTGTGGCAGTCCTCGCGTGAGTCAGTATGTTCTGATATGTAAGTCCTCCGCCTGGCGCATCTGCTCGTGGAGGATAACGACTTGTTCGATTACTCAATAGTCGAGTTATCCCCCTTTAAGCAAGGTCAAGGCCAATCTCAATTGAGGATAAGCCACACAACCTGCGTCACCAAGGCAAGAGCAGCCCATCGGCCTGTGTCCGCGAGGGAACACACCCTCCCCGCTGCACCCGTAAATCCGATGTTTTGCGAATTGTTATTGAAGCCAACCGTACGCAACCAGGTCGGGGTGGCTGTGTCATTGACCAAGACGTCCGAGTGGTAGGTATCTATTTTGCCCGTGAATCGCAGAGTGAATTGCCCTTCTGCAGGGACTCCGCCGAATCTGTCATTATTTTCGCCATATGCTCGATAGGCCTTGAAGTAACCCTGGATGGTATAGTTCGCCGCCGCGCGGTCGAACTCCAGGTTAGCTGCCATACCTGGCCATCCGGAATCCCCGGCAGAGGTGCCATTCGCTAGGGTACCGGAATTCAAAAAAACCCACCACGGAACAGCTTCCGTGTTAGTACAGTTCGTCATGTTGACTAAAAAACTATCTTCGCCGCCATAGTAGTCGCTGGTGATGGTGCTCGAGAGTCGGTATGGATCGCTAGCTTTGAGTGCCCAGTTGAAGTAGTTCTCAGGATATAACCAATCAAGCCACATAGGTCTTAGTCCCTAAAAGTCAGCTTCTGTAGCTACAGATTCAGTGTCATAGGGAAAGAGAGACTCACGCAGAAGAGCAAATACTCGATTTCAAAGACGGGAGATCAATAAGAAAATTACTAAAAGTGGTAATAGAGGAAAAATCGAAGCCGGTGTCCCAGAGAAGGAGAAAAGCATTCACTGGGTCGCTGGCACCGTTCAGGAAGGAGCTCGGCTCGGTGAGGGCGAGAATAGTGTCATATTGCACGGTAGTGGTGGTATTGGCAAGTGACGGACACTGAGAGCTATTCTCCGCGACGAGGCTCGTAAAAGACATCAACTCTAATTCCGCAGTCCCATTGTAGTAAGACCCAACCCAGTAGTACGGGTCATGAAGAGATGACACATTATTGGGTCGAAAGGGCAGGGAAGCGTTGTAACTCGGATCATCAGCAGCGCTTGTGAGGAATGGCAAAGCAAGGCTGATGAGTACAGCGTAAAATGGTGCAAAGACACGCATCCTGTCTCCCTTCTGGGGATTGCTAGGGACTTGAGGGCCCAAGGTCAATCATATATGAGCCGTCTGTTTTCATTCTCCCAGAAAGGAATAGGCCGGTGGATCCTGATCCCTTGGTCGAAGCTTAGTCTCGGCTATGGCCCGGTCCTAATGGCACAGCAGATTGAGTGAGAAACAGGCTCCGTCGCTTCGTGACATTGAAATCTGGTATTAGCACTATTCAGACAGACTAGTAACTCGTTACTACTACAAACCCCATCCAGACCTTCTCACACAAGGACAGCCCTAGCTCGGCCGCGAACAAGTCCGAAAATACAAATTAAAGCCCATATCGGGTGAACCGAACACCCCACCGTGAAATCCTGCCAATCCGCGAGATCACAACTTTGGCAACTCTATTTACGCTATTTGACATTAGCCGTCTGCATGACCTTTAGTCTACCCTTAGTCTAAATTGGCTCGGCATCGCAGAGAACTACTCGATCTTGATCCACTTTTGAGCCCCTGGGCTAGTACATTAGCAAAGTTGGATGACGCGGCCTGTTGTCCCTCCTCCTTCCTTAGCCTATGTACCCTGGAATTACAGTACCTCCAAGGTCTTCAAGTCTGGTACATTTCCGGGTTACCGCGCCGTCAAAATCAGACGCCTAACGGCAATCTCCGTGATGCAAAGTGCCAGACTTTTTCCGCACTGCAGAAAGTCCACCCTTCTTTACGCAACGCACCGAGGAATGGAGACGCACGCTTAGCGACCGGACACCTGCCGGGCCTACAAAGTCTCGGTGTAAGCCCAGCGTCGATCCAAGTGTTCCCGTGAAATGTGCCCAACAGCAGCGGGGATGTCGCTTCCCAGACCAGATATCCTCAAACTCGAAGAAGCCGCGCACTCGACCCATGGCAGTCAGTCGCGAGCCCCAATCTTTTACAGTCCAATTTGGTGTTGAATATGGAAACCACTTGTCTGGCATCATCGCTACCAATCAGACCCGGCAGACCATTGCAGCAGACGCAAAATATTGCGGCGGTGCGCTAGCCAAATTGCTCAAAAACACATTTCCTCTTGAGGCATATTAGGAAAAAATAAAGGTCAACAGCTCATCGAGTTAGTGCTAGATGATCGTCGGCTCGTCAAAAAGCCAAAAGATCATACTTCATTGGATTACCTCGCACACTTGAAATACGCTCTATTTAGGGGCACAAAAGCAAAGGTTAACCAAATAGAGTACACTTGAAAAATCGCCAGTTCTTTGTCCAGCAATCGACCCGAACGCTGATCCATATAGTCATTTATACGGCCAACTAAGAAGCAATAACCTCAGGGGAAGTCATACTTTGGGGGCAGACTTAGCTCAATTTATGGTAGGAGAACTTCTTCCCAACCAACTTCTCACCTGGTCGCCGTGATCTTTTGACCTCAAAGCTGCTGGTAGCCCATGGTAAGACCGTGTCCACGAGAGGATCAGAACCTGACCCCGTTATTAGTCTGTCTTTTCTCACTCAGTCCGTTTTCCCCCAGCCAACTGCCATCAGATGGGCGAAGAGAAAGAGTAACTAAGTCGAAGCTATAGTCATGGAACTGGCATAATCTCACAGATATGACAAGTTTTCAGATAAATTAAAATAACCCAGGTACTGTACCGATTTCGAATGATATTTGTTCAATGACATACGATCGTAGGTGATTTTTCCTATCCCTTCCTCACCGTTCCATCTCTTGGCTAGAATCTGTGATCCACGGGCGAATCGCCGCCAATGCTGTAAGTGGGTGGCCTTCATACACCAACTGCTGGGATACTAGTTGGATGTGTTACAATCAGTGGCCATGCTACTTACAGGGCGAATCGTCGCCAATATTGAAAGTTGCTAATGTGATTGGCACCTTTTTAATCCGTGAAGGGGTGCCGTAGAATCATCGTAAAACTAATAAGAGTATGTTTATTCGGGTCTAGATCATGCCGGTCGCATGTCTTGCTGCCTAATCAGCCGCTTCCCCTGTTCTTTTGATACCTAATCAACATCCTTACTTCATCAAGGTATTCACCCCAACAGTCTGCATGTTTCTTCGACATTTCTAATTTCATTTTGTCACCTTCGTAAGATGAATCCACGTTTGCCCTTCGATGACGCTGCGTGGGAAAAAAGCGACCAGATTGGAGATTCCTGGATAGATTATCTCTTCGATGCAGAAATCTACAATGAAATTGGAATATTTCTTGCTGAACATCATTGCCCTCGCCAATGGGCCGATTTCAAATTTTTCAAAAGCGGCGGTTTCAACGCTTGCTTCCTCATGACATTCACCGATAACGATACTGGCGGTGTTCCAAGACTTCCACTGCCTGGCGTTCATATGTTCCCTGAGGAAAAAGTTCGTAATGAGGCCTCTATCATGCAATTCATCGCGGAAAGAACTTCACAAACAATGCCGATTCCAGTTCCTATAATCTCCCGCTGGGGGGAGAGAAACGAGAGCCCCTCAAATTTGGGTCCCTTTATGATCATGGGCTATATTGACCACGAGAGAAGCATGTCTGATCTTCTCGAGACGCCGGGACGCCAATCACAACAACGTCCGGAACTAAATCCGGACATCAGCACAATAAAGCTAAAATCTCTTTATAGAGAACTAGCTTATACTGTCTTTTCTCTATCTACACTATCTGCGGACCGGATTGGTTCTCTGAAACAGACCAGTAAATCAACGTGGGAAGTGGCATTCCGACCATTAACCATTTCTATGAACGAAATTGTGCGTCTAGGGACGCTCCCTCGATCGGAACTCCCTACCGCGATATACGAAAGAGCATCTTTGTACTTTGAAGCCCTCGCAGAGCTGCACATTTCACACCTCAAACACCAAAGAAACAATGCTATAGACTCGGCCGAGGATTGCCGGCGCAAGTTTGTCGCTAGATTTTTATTTCGGAAACTTGTTCGAGATCGGGAGCTTAAGGACAAATGGATGTCTTATGAGCATGGCCCATTTCCAGTTTGGTGTGACGACCTTCGACCAGAGAATATCATGGTCGATAAAGCAGAGAAAGTCGTTGGGGTGGTGGATTGGGAGTTTACTTATACCGCCCCAGTTGAATATACTCATGCTCCACCCTGGTGGCTTCTTCTCGAAAAGCCGGAATATTGGACCAAAGGCCTTGATGACTGGTGTGTACAGTATGAGAGACGGCTTCAGATTTTCCTTCAGGCAATGATGGATTGTGAAGAGGACGCGTACCAGACTCAGAACGAACGACTCGAAGAAAGCCAGCGACTCTCTAGTCGGATGCGACATAGCTGGGAGAGCGGAGACTTTTGGATCATGTATGCGGCAAGGAACAATTTTGCCTTTGATGCAATCTATTGGAACAAGATCGATCAGCGATTTTTCGGGTCCAATAAATCTCACGACAATATATGGGATGTATGGAAACAAAGGCTTCATCTTTTGGAACCTGAAGAAAAGGAAATCATGGAAAAATATGTGGATTTGAAGCTTCAAGAGAATGAGACAAAGCTTCTCTCTTGGGATCCAGATCAGTATACCCTAGATTATATGGCAAAGATGGAAGCATGATCGCTCTTGTTGGATGATCCGGGAAGTAGATATACTAATTTGCCTCCTGAATATAGATAGAGTGGATGCTCTTGTATCCGATGCTTCGCATTCAATTCAATTATTGTCGCTTACTGAGACTGGTTACCCGGTTTGAAAGAAATAGCCGTGCCCTCAGATTGAACTCGCTGGCCCTTTTTTTCTCTTTTTTTTTCATTTGCAGGTTTCCTTGAACTGCTGGTTTCAAAGCCTTGGCCCGGTAATTTCTACAAGCTATAGTCGCGCTGCCTAACTTCTTACGACTGAGCATAAGCCTCGACGCAATCGTGTGGCGGATAATATGGAGATGGCTCGTCAAATCAATACTTTTGGTTCCATTCGGCAAGCTGGGGAAAACTAAGCTGGTCCGATTGGACTGATCGGTAAGACAAACCTGGGCAGGACTAGGAGAGAATACGGATGGGGTACGGTTAAAGTAACCAGGACGGGGGGCATATGTACTATGTATATCCCGAATGTAGTATTTTGTATAATTACCTAGGACTAGCCTCATTATGCAATGAAATTTTTTGTCGTAACGTAATGTCACCACGCTATGGACATGCCTACTTGGAAATACGATGTATATATAGGACTACTTAGGCGGTAGCGCGACTCGACTATATACACTTTAAATTCACATTATATCGCAAGGGAGGCCTATTAAAGTAATGCTACTACACTCTTTCAAACTAACTACCTCTAATATCAACCGCTTTATCATACTTTTCAAGGGTGAGTCTGTTGGCACTACATGGGGCCTGAATTTAGCCTGAATTACCGCATTTCTACCTGATTTCTGCCAAGCCCGTCATGGCTGTTAATTACAATTCTCAACACCTCCTTCTCATACCCACGCATCCTTTCGGATTCAATTCAATTCAACTAAGCCTACCATCTACTATACGCATGTCCGCCGCCTTCCCCCAGTCACCGGTCCCCGGTCCCCGAGGGCCATAGAGCAATCAGTCCATGATTAGTAGTTGTCCTCAACTAAGCTCACACGGGGTTCTCGGCCGAGTATATCGCGGCCTACGTATTACTGTATGTTCCTATTGACGAGTACCCTGCGTGGTCTGTGGAAGCACAACTAAGCTCAATTAAAGGAATTGATAGTCAGTTACAGACTTACATTAACACGCCTCATCGGGTGCGGCCGCCGGTTCAGGGGGCAACTGCCCTGCAGCACCTCTCCGCGGGGACTTGAGTATTCCGCACGATTGAGATCGGTGAAAATCTCTCTACGAAATCGATGCTACTCCAAGAGCGCGGTGGATGGTCCGGGAGCGAGATTGCTATTTAGTAAGCCACGGCGGCCAGCTAGGTGCTTAGTCGCGGGTACAAAGTTCGCAAGCCGCCCCTCACTTCCAGCTCCCTGCTCTGGTTCTTGCGGACGCGAGGTCGAGAGTCTCAGAACCCTGCATGATGCCATGTGCCGACTCATCCGTTACTAACAGTATGCGACAATGATATACCTTTCCCAACTGCCAAATGAATTGCTCCTTTTGGTTGTCGAATCTCTTTCCGACCAGAAAGACATTGCTGCTTTGTTACGCGTCAACTGGATGTTATATCGTCGCTTGCACACATGTCTGTGCCAGTGCAATATTCGACAACATCAAAGCATTGGACTTCTATCAGCAGCCAGAAACGGACAATCGTCTCTGGTCCAAGATTTTCTTGATCTTGGTGCTTCTATTGCATCGTTTGAGTCATAGTCCGACGATGCTATTCATTGTTACGAGACATGGTGCAACCCGCTTCTCCTAGCTGCCCAAAAATGTGGAGACCCTACAGATTTTGCTGTCTGAAGATCGACCAAGTCGTATGTGTGTACCGTCGCAGCTGCGCACTGTGCTAGATTGGGCCATTGGCGCTGGCAAGCAAGCTATCGTTGAGTTGATGATTGCACACAAAGCCCCATTGGGCCCTTTAGACGACAAGCACAATTCTACGCCCCTGAGCATAGCAGTAAAAATGGGTTGCGAAGCTATTGTTGAATGTCTTCTACAAGCGGGCGCGAAGCCACCAAGCGCATATTGCTTGGACGACCCTCTTACTATGGCTACTCACGAAAAGAGTGATATCCTGTTACGACTCCTCAAGCATGGGCTTCGGCCGAAATCTGAGGATGTCATGTGTCACATGGCTGAACGAAACGATATTGCCTCCCTTCAGACATTGATTCAATTCGGTGTGGAGATAGCCGTGTATGGCCATGCTGCACTTTTTACAGCTATATTATGGGGGCATCAAGCCATGGTAGAGTTTCTGATTCAGCAAGGGGCAAATCCACACCTGTGCTTGGCTCAAAGCAATGGCATTTATTACTCTGCAATCGGTCATGCAATTCTATGTCACCAATCAAATATCGTAAAGCTCCTGCTCGCTCATGGAGTCCGCCCTGATCATCAAGACCTCCAGCTTGCGATTGAGATGAAGGTCTTGGAAGTCGTCAGTGCTCTGGAGCATCTATCTTATGAGGATGTTCCGGAGAAATTGACTTTGGAAGACTGTGTCCGACAGCGAGAGGACAAACGGCTTGTGGATCCTGACTTCCAACCGATAGAATGGGGTCAGTATGTTGGCCTAGGTAGTCCGACTCTCGAGGAGTATGAAAATTATCATGAGCTAACTGTGTTTTGTGTGGATGATGGCTGTGATGAGGACGTGCCACGCCTCGGTGGTTTTCAATGGAACGAGGACTTGTATGATTCGGACCCCCCTGTGTCTTCCGAGTAACAATGCAAACCCAGAGACAATATCATTTTGCCTTTTGCTGAATTGGGGATCGTCCAATTGCAAGTTTCGACAAGAGACTCACCAGTGAATGAAGACTACTGACCATGGCTTGAACCCAACAGGGTACTTGAAGGGCTTCGACATTAGCGGAATGGCGCCATACGTGGACTACTTTAATTTCATGTCCCATGATATTCACGGGACGTGGGACGGTAATAGTCAATGGACAAGCTCTGTCGTCGATCCCCACTCAAACCTGACGGAGATCTCTGAAGGACTAAGCCTGCTATGGCGCAACATTGTTGATCCTGTCAAAGTTCTGCTCGGCCTGGGATTCTATGGTCGCTCTTTCACGTTGGCTGACAACTCATGTGCTACTCCGGGATATAACTTCAATGCCGAGGGTGGCAACGTCGGCGGTGGTGTATATCAAACCCACACGCATGGGTGCATCTTCCCGATGGCTTGAAGAACATCTTCGAAATCCTACGGAAAGCGCGGCAGCAAGGCTTAAGGGGATATATTTGACAGAAGGGTATAATTTAAGTGTCTTTTGAGGACTCTGCCGTGTCGACAGCTTGGCAAGGTTACATGGACGATTCCAGTACCATGATACTATCGACTAACCGGCCTCAAAAATACTATTTTTACAAGGGGCCGGGTAGGAGATACTGTAGTGTATAAACAATGGAAGCGACGTGAACAGCGCTATAGCCCTATACAGCGCCAACATAATTGGATAAGTCTGTGGCGCGGAGCGCGGAAGGAGACGGTACCAAGCCGCTGTTGTGCCTCTTTTCAGGTCGGCCGATCACTCTAGTTACATCGTCAGGTGCGGTGGCATCTCGAAGTCGAAGGGACGTTTATCGCGAGACTTCTGCTGGATCTCGCGTGTGATCGGGATGCGCAACTCGGCATAGTCCTGCAAAGCGACTGGGAATTGATCGGTTGTGGCACCGCTCAAGCAGTCACCAAGAATCTGTGCATCTTGGATCGCCATGTTCGCACCCTGCCCTTCGGTGGGCAACATCGGATGTGCGGCGTCACCCAGGAGCGTGATCCGATTCTTGGTCCACACAGGGATCGGATCACGGTCGTACATGCTGAAGGCAAGTACCCCATCCTGGTCAAAGCGGCGCACGATCTCCTGCACGCGCGGCTCGAACCCAGCTAGGCGCCTGATGAGTTCATCCCGGGTGGTCGTGTTGCGCCACGATTCAGAGACCGCCTCCTGGGCGGGCAGGACAGCATCGAACGCAATGTGTTCGCCGCCGGCATAGGGCAGGACGATGAATAGCGACAGAACACCGTCGGGGTTCATCAGCAACCAGTTACAAGGCAGATTCTCGGGCAGCATGTCCTTGACTTTCTCGAAGGGCAATGTACCGCGATGTCCTTGCAGACCGGAGAACACAGCTTCGGTTTGCATAATAACTGGGCGGATCCGCGAATGGATACCATCGGCACCCACAACCGCCGCAGCGGTCGTAGTTGTCCCGTCAGAAAAGGCGAGTTCGACGTGGTCACCCAGGTCAGTGACGCGGATGCACTTATGCGATAGGTGGATGCGCTCGTGCGGGATTTCGGAGCTCAGCAGGCTGTGCAGGTCGGCACGGTGGATAATGTCGGACCAGTTCTCATCCGGATCGTCAGTCTCGCTGGGGATGACGATTTCGCCGATTGGCGCGCCAGTGCGGCCGTCAAGCGAGAAGATGTTACCGACCCGGCTGGTGCAAGGAAGATAACGATCCTTCAGACCCCAGCTCTCAAGGATCTTCACGGTTCGCGGACGCAGGCCGACAGCGGCCCCTAGTTCGCGCAGTTCCGATGCCTGTTCATAAACATCTACATCGAATCCTTCTCGCCGCAGCCGTACGGCTGCGGCGAGACCCCCGATCCCGGCACCGACAATCGCAATATTCTTATATCGGGACATCGCGGTACTCTTCCCCGAGCTTTCTGGCACAGAATCGTGCACAATTGGAGGGGCGACCTTGTTGATACTGCTCCAGTGCTCTGCAAGCTTTCCATCTTCGATACGAAAGGCGTCAAAAACGTAGTAGTCGTAGGTCTCACCCGGGTGCTCGGCGTCGGGTTGAGGAAAATAGGCTGAGACGACCACCATATCACCTTCCGCAATCATGAGGGTGGGAGGGTTGCGCATCTCCTTAGGTTCCGGTACGGGACCATCGGGGAAGATCATACGTACGAAGCCTTCCAGCCCAGCGCGACCCGGCGGCACATGGGCACCGTGCTGGATATAGCCCTCGGTCACGAAATCCTTGACTGCACTGGCATTCTGTCCATCGAATACCCGCCGGTAAAAATCCTTCACGAGTTGCTTGTTTCGCTCGAGTGCGTTTTGGTCAATCATTTCAGTCCTAATACTGGGATCACAGTCCGACACCGATGTCTCAAGCCGCTTCTCGATGCCGTCCAGATGCATTGTGAGTTTCTGACCAGTTACTCAGGGTGTAAATCAAGCATTTTCGTAAGAATAATGCAGTCACAGGATTATATATTTCCTTCTTTCCTGGGAATCATTCCCTATAAGGATGAGTAATAAGGAAAGCAGCGGGAACTTCCCGATGTTTCCACGGTAGTTCCCCGGTATGAGCGGTCTGAGATGCTGATATTTTCACCGTACGGCGTTCCTGAACTGTACAATAATCTAAATAGCGACCAACTGATCGTAAGTTTGCCAGGTTGAACTGTAAGGCAGTTCTTAGCCTCGAGCTCGATATCCGCTTCCGGCGAAAAGCAACCGGGTGAGACAAGTATAAGCAATCTTCGCATGACAAGATTGATTGATTGAAGATTGAAGCAAGCCGAACACCATAGGGCATATCAAAATACGCCCGTTTAGGTGGTAAATTTTAGTCCACGTGTCGATATTCGATCATAATGTGACATACACGTAGCCTATTTGACCTTAGGACCGTGACACACAAGAGGGTATCTTGTTGAGTCGCACCAAGCCGGCATCGTATACTAGATAGATAGATGGAAACAGTGATGTTGCGGGCTGAAAGTGGAGTGTGAGCGTGACGCTGGGTGGAGTATGCGTACTTCCCCGGTTGCGGGCCGAAGTGCAAATCCGGGGAAAGAGCGGAGATCCTTGGCCAAGGGGCTAGCGTTTGTTCAAATCCACGCCAGGCTCGATTCTCTACATAGGCCTAATCAGTGGAATTTGACGAATATGGGCACGTAACCACCATGCAGGAGAAGATTCTCGTAGAGATGATTTAGTTTCGGTAGTCTAAAGGACCAATCAAGTGACTGTCCTCCGTACAGTTCTTCTGGATGCAAAGGCGCTAGACTTGATGCAGTATTAGCCCTGCCCACTTAGATAGGCTTCTAGCTTACGATATAAATTTAATTGAGAGAGCGGGGATATCTGTCATCTTGACGCGTCACCCATTTCCACCAGCTCCCACGGGGTCGAGCCTGTTTCGGAAAAACGTGCGCGCTAACTTGGTGGAGAAGTTATGACCATGGCTGCGGGACAATCCAAAAGTCTATATTACTATGAGTGGAGAGGTTGAGATTGCCACTTCTTTCCACCTGAAAGGATACAGGATGAACATGCGAATAATCCTCTTGGCGTACTGTTTCCGTGTGAAGGAACAACCCATTAGCCGCGTATTAGGGGACCAAACCCGTCCCTTCGGACATGAAATTTTCCAGCCAGGAGACTTTGGGCATCACTCATACCAATTTGAAATAGCAATCTGATGCTCTAGGTGATTCGCGTTGTACCAGAAATCATACCCCGTTGCCGAGTGAATTACTGGTGAGTGTGGCAGGCATCGCCGTGACGTAGTGCGTCTGCTAAATGTCGTACCAGTGTTTTTCGCGGGGTTTAGGTCTTCGTATGATCTTACGCTTCCCTTTTAGGGCAAGGCGAAGTTGGGGGTTGGCGAGGTGCTTTACTTTGTCAGAATCGGAATTGCATCCGCATATCCCTTGAAATAATTATTGGGCGGGCATAGGTCGGATCGATCGTGAAGTCCGGGGTATAAGTGGCCGTTTAATAGTTTGACATTCATGGGAGATGTATTTCTGTCTCGACTAACTGCTGGACCTCCATCTGCAAATCGTTCCTTACTTGTTATCCACTACCTTGTCCTAAAAACATCCATCAAGTGAAACGTTGCAGTATTGGCAATGCCTTGGGGAATTATCGATGTTGAGGTGGAAACCCATCTCCCCGGAACCGCTGTCCTTGTCGATAGCATTGGCAGTGGAGATATTTCCCACCTTAAGCATAGGGTTGTCAAGGTACCTTCCTCGCTTTCTGAGCCAGCGATGCATCATATCAAACAAGTAGTAAACAAGAACAGGGCGAAAATCTAGTTCTCATTCCACAGCCTTCAGACGATCCCAATGATCCCTTGGTAAGTAACAGGTTTCGAATGTACGAAGTTGCAGAAAACCCCTTGACACAGAGACAGAATTGGCCGCAATGGAAGAAAGAGACCGTCTTCGCTGTCGTCTTCATCAACACCATCATTATGGCAGCCGTTCCTGCGCCTCTTCTTGCCTCCTCGCTCACTGTACTGGCGCAAGTCTTCCAACGACCTCTAACGCAAATCACTCAACTATCGGGATATCAGGTTCTGATTACGGCTGTCTTGGGGTAGGGCTTTGATGCCGGCTAATCATACCGTCCGACGCTGACTGAATCTCCAAGACCAGTAGTTTCCGCACTTGCCCACAAGTTTGGCAAGCGCCCGCAGTTTCTTTTCGCGTCTACGATGGGGATTATCGGTGCCATTGTCTGCATTGTGTGTGGTGACAGCTATAATGGCTTACTTGCCGGACGTTTGATTCAAGGTCTTGGGACCACAGCATATGAAAGCCTTTCATTGTCTGTCCTGGGTGACATGTTCGTCTGTCCGGAAATTTACCTCGACCTGCTCTAAGCCGCGTATCGCTAATTTATAGAGCATAGATATTTCGTCCATGAGCGTGCCACTCGGGCTGGTCTAGTCGTCCTGACACTGACATGCATGTCTGCTTTCGTGTCTATTGTTAGTGGGCCCATCACGAACAATCTGGGATGGAAGTACATGTTTATCATCAACCTCCCCTTCGTTCTTGTCGGTGCCATCGGAGTATTTTTCTGGCTCCCAGAAACACAGTTCAAATCCGCGATTCCGGAACAACCGACAGTCCAAGAGTTTTCAGAGGCCCACATAAAGGAAATATCATTAGAGCACGTTGAGGCATCAGAGACGACAGAAAGGCAACCTGCATACGTGATGAGACCGTACGTACAAAGCTTGGCATTAACAAGTGGTGTATACCCAGGCTCCTTTTTCAAGTCTCTGGTTGCCCCTTTTGTGACAGCAGTAAACCCGGCGGTTATCTGGGTAACATTCAACTTCTGAAGTTGGCTCGGGCTATACTGATCTTGTGACAGGCAATTCTCGTTGGCGGCATCCCGGTGGTAAGTGTCCTTCACTGTAACCTACGGACTCGTTGAGCTTACGAAAGGATAGGGATTCTTCGGGAGTCTAGCGTACATTCTGGCTCAGATCTGGGGGGCACCTCCTTACAATTATAACGCATCACAAATCGGGTACTTCTATGTCGGAGGTAGGCAGATCCACTCGCGCTAAGTAGAAATGATATTGACCCTCAGTAGCACTCCTCGGCGGTCTTTTTGGAGGGGTCGCTGGCGCCAAGCTTTGCGATGCATCTTCGCATGCCATGGTAAAACGCAATAATGGAGTTTTTGAGGCTGAATTTCGTATCATCATCCAAGCCATGGGTGCAGTACTCGTGGCGATTGGATATTTCGTCTTCATGTGGGCCTTGAGCACTGATCAGGCGGAAGCGTACTACATTGGATCGGCTTGTCATGGCCTCATTTGTGCCGGCGTGACGATTACTTCGACATCTTCATCCCTATACATCATGTGAGTTTGATGAGCTCGCCTTGGGTTCATTAATTTTAACGATGGGTTCCGTGGTTTAGTGACGCGCATCACGGACATGAGACTGAAATTTTCATCCTTCTGATGTGCATTAAGAATTTCATGTTCTACTCGTTCTCGTACTTCATGAACGATTGGGCAACCAAGTCCGGCCCAGCAACAATCTTCGAAGTCTGGGGGATCGCCACCCTGAGCCTCCTATTTACAAATTTCCCAATGTGTGAGTGCTGTCAATTCTGCCCAGCGAAGAAGCGCTTGCTGACATGTGCCACTGCAGATATATTTGGTAAAGTGAACCGCCAGTTCGTATCGAAGGTACAGCTCTTGCAGAATTTTGCAGGAGTCTTTTCCTAAGGAGACGGCTTCATCCTAACAACGAGTGCGGTGCAGGGTGGGAGAAGTGGTTAACGCCGATTCTCCTCTATCCGGCGCTTGAGAAACACAAACCTGGAGGGGGATTGAAGAGAACTCCTTCTCCTTCTAACGTAATAAACACTTTTCCACAAGACGAGCCCAATTCAGAATGAGTTCGCGGTGCAGCTACCTACAACTACCATAGTTTCCTATTGCTTACCCATGAACTGTTTTCCTCGTTTTTTTACATTAATCTTAATCAGTTTGCATGAATGACACGAAGGAACCAGCGTGCGCTCATAAGGGCATGGGTGATACGTTGAAGTAGAAAAATCTGTGCAGCAGTTCAAGGGGGAATATCATTGGTCATCTCGCTGCTCTATACAATACAAATCAAGCAACACCGAGGCAGAAAAGCCCTGTCTCTATCCATCCCGTTCTCAGCCCTCATCCCAGTCGAACCCCAGCCTGCCGATTCTTACGGGCCTGCTGGCCCATGGCATTATTCATACCAGTATGCTGGCTACTATCGAGCGCAGACATCGCCTCGCGCTTCTTCTCCTCTTCAATCTTCTTCAACCTCTTCTCCGTCTTCATCTTGCCGCTACCCTTGCCGTGGAACTGGTGACTGAGATGCTTGAACGCTTCCTTCTGGTTCATAGAGCGTCCGTATTCATCCGTATACTTGAGCTGCACATCGGGCTTATACTCGCGGCTGAAGATCTCCGCCATCTGTCGGGCTTCTTGCTGATCACGCTGTTTGTTCTCCCAGCGTGCGTGTTCTTCACGCTCGCGAGCGGACATGCGATCTAACTTGCCGGAGGCACGGTCACGCTCACGTTGTAAGCGGGCGCGGCGCTCGGCCTCGGCTTCGCGGTTGAGCTTCTCCTGCAAGAAGCGCTGGCGATCACGGAGTAGGGCGTTGGAGCTGCTGCTGTCGGTCTCCTTGACTAGACCACGTTGCCGCAGCATTGAGAGCGTAGCACCGAGACCCTGGTCCAATGTAGATTCTTCTTCCAGACCAGTTCTGGTAAGCTCCTGCGCGGCCTGATTGGATTCCTCGCGCTTAAGACGTTCTTTGAGATCTTCTTCATCTTCAATATCGTTGTAGCTCCGCTCCATGTCCACGTCTTGGTGTTCTTCTTCGTCTTCTTGTTTGGCAGCTGCCTCGGCAGCGGGTGTTGCAGTTCGGCGTTCTTCCCGGTCGGGGAGAGTAGGCTTTTGTAGATTAGAGACAAACTCTGAGGTCTCGTCAATCACAAGACCGGGTTCCTCCGCACCGTCCTCCGGCGTGTCCGTCTCCATAGGCGTTTGAGAATCCTCCTCACGAAGTTGGCGAGCAAGGTCCTCGGGGCGCATCTTCTTCCGCTTCTTGAAAGCAGCACGTCGTTGGAGTGCAAGTAAAGCTTGAAGGTCATCATCATCTGCAAAAGAAACATCTTCGTTGATGGGCTTCCGGGCAGCTGCGACTGGTGCTCCGTTCAAAGAATCGATTTCCATAGATGATCCGTTCGTTGATTCGGTAGCAGGTAAAAGGCCCTCGTCGTCTATCGCGGCTCGCTTTGTGGTCTTGTTCTTCTTCTTTTTGGGCTTCTTGATCTTGACTTCACTAATGTCCATATAATCGGATGTCTGGATTTCTGGCTCCAACTCAAGAGTGAGAGCGCTCTTCTTCAAGCCCGCCGAAACCTCTTGTCGCTTGGCCTGCCTTTCCTCCTCGGTCGAGCCCTTTGCATCAAGAGTAAATCTCTTCCGCTTCTTGCCGTCGATTTCTTCGTCGTATTGGGCAAGAATTCCTTGGTTCTCGGCCGTAGGGTCATATACGGGTTTCCGCTTTTTGAGTTCAAGTTTCTCTGTTGTCTTGTCCTTCTCAACAAGGTTGATATCCTCGAGTTCATCACCCTCTTCGTCGTCATCCACGGCCGCATCCTTCAACGTCAGAATGTGATCTTCCCCACCCTCGAAATCGCCGATCGCATGCCCGACCTTGATACCGGCCAGGTCTTCGGCAGTGTACTCGGCGGCCGCAGCACGCTCGCGCTCCTCTAATTCCTCGGCAAGTTTGCGCGCCCGCTCCTTCTCGATCTTCTTGGAGCGTTTCTTGGACTGCATCAGCCATGCCTTGGTATCCAGATCTGCGTCATCGGCTTCTCCGAGGGTGGCGCCCTGTAGCTTCAAATTTCTCTGAGCAATGTCACGCGCCCTCTTAATGGCAGCATTCTTTTCCTCTCGTTTCTTCTTGGCTTCGGCTTCATCCTGAAGTTTCTTCCAATTATCGTAGCCCTGCGCTTGTCGGGTGTCGATCGTACTCGCGGGTTCATCGTCGGAGTCGTCTGCGCTCGCGTCGTCCTTGAATTGCGGACCGGTGGCGTCGTCGGCTACAGCTCCAGGCACGGGGAGTGGTTTGAGTCCCAAAGCGACTCGGATTTTGTTGTTCTGTTCGATGGAAAGAGCGTCCGCCATCTTGACAGAACAGATGTGCGAGCGCGGTAAACACAGGAGGAGAAAGTGAAAGTTGACGATCGGAGCTGTCTCAAACGAAAGGTGCTTGCTTGATCCCGTGAATCCTTGATAACGCCGCCTGAGATATCATCATGTGACCTGGACCTTTCCATGACGCTATGCCAAAAGCAGACTAGTTCCAGAAATTTCTCACGGCAATAAATAGCAGGCCAGCCGCACTTCACTTTCTCTTTTTTTTCTTACAACCATGATCTGTGTCCAGCACTCCCGTTGACGGAGTACCAGTCTGACTGGCATCTCTGTGTTTCGGTTGAGAGCTGGGCAGATCGACGACCTTGGAGCCATTCATCTTCCAACATGTATGGCACCCTTACGGTGTCCTGTCGACAGATCTCAGATTAAGTGTTTGCGCCGGGTGTCCCTTAGGTCTTGAGCTCCCGCCTTGGTGAGCTCGGCTTGAGGCCCTGGATGCGGACGGCGTCATATTCCACCCCTCTTTACCGATTGGCCGTTGGCCCGTGAGGTTAGGGATAAACCATGACCAGCCAACATTTCTTTCCGTAGCCTACGCATTAGTAGATTTGAATTTGTGTAGATGCGCTTAGTGTCGTTCGGCATCCGCCATGCTCTCAAATGGGCATGGTATTGCTGCAAAAATCTTCTCGCATGTATGCTATTGCTATCAGCATAAGCTCTATGCAAATTGCAAACTGCAAAAACTTTCTGGGTCAATGATCTCCATCGGCAACCCGAGAGCTACAGCAAAAGTTCTAGCTCGTCGCCCGAGGAACTGATCTACGGCTGCGAGCAGTATTCATCAAGATCATAATCATCATGTTCTAAATACACAAAGGGTTGTGTGTCATGTCTCATTCGTAGTTTACAACAACTTCAAGTGCCCCGTCACCCCATCGACAACGCTCTTAGGTCCCAAAACACCCAGCACAGTGCGACTGCCACTGGCAATCTGCGTGCGTCCAGCATCCTGAATCACGCGCGCGCAGAGTCCCAGGCTCATCGCCTGCGCCTGAAGCAGCAGCAGCTCATCCTCCGACTTGATCTGCAGCGCGATCTTGGCCTGGCCGCCGTGCTCCCAGCGGCGCAAGATGGGGGAATCGGGTTGGTGGGTGATGAAGTATTTGTAGCAGGCGAGGGTAGCATGGGAAGCTTGCGCGGCGATTTTACCTGTAGAAACGCAAGCGAAAACAGAGTCAGTTGATGTTGCTTGTCTCGCGATGAGGCTTAAAATCTCGTTTTCACTCGTAGAATTCGACGTACCCTTGGTCATGCCCAGATCTGTCCGCACGACCAGCACAAGTTTCACTTCCTCCTCGTTCTCCTTGAAGGTCGCCAATTCTTCACCATTGCCCTCGTCCTCCTCGTCGCTCGCCTCGTCCTCGGAGTCTTCTTCCTCAAATTCCTCGTCGGATGAGTCCTTGTGGACCTTCACATCGTAGCCGTTGGGCCAGCCCTGTTTCTCTCTGAAAAGGCCCAGCGAAGCGCCTTGGCCGATGAAGTATCCTGTGACGCCGGCGACAATGGCCGTGGCAATCACGCAAGCAGCTGTTGTCGGGGACGTGCGATCTAACGGAGCCGCCATTTTTGTGTGTGAGGATGTGAGAGCGTGGGTATTTTCCGGAGAATTGTCGAGGTTGAGGTGGTGTTGCGCCAAGTTCCAGTAATCGGGTGCTCTGCTCCGCGCGCTTGGCCGCCTCCCGCGGCCTCTATCAGCAGAAGCTCCGACTAGAGTGCAATATGTCCATATAGTTGATCTTCATTGACCTGATTTCAGAAACTCTGTAGTCCCTGTTATTGAAAAAAAAAATCTTTCAAGATCTGTAATTGATTTAGATTTGCGATCTTAGTTAAACGTACTACGAACTGTGGTCAACGTTCACCAATGTACCGCGCTCACAGATATACATTGAGTGCCAGCCCCGTCAATATTTCCTGAACCGGGGCACTACCTCCTAGGTATACCTGCTAGATCGAGAAAACTTTACAAATATCATAGACTTCATGCTAATACTGACGTTATCCACAAGTAGCCCGGGCCCATACAACCGACCCTTCCAATTGACGGCGAATCACCTGATATACACGCGATGACTGCGTTGCAATTATCTTTTTACGTGTCTCACACTTCAACTTCGACCGAATTGATTAAATTACCTATGGGAGCCAGAGCCAGAAAGCCACAAACCAAAAGCAAACCGCGGAAACACGGGGACAAGATCACCCAATGCATTGGACCCATCAATAGCCACTATTTACAACCCAAAAGTAAGGAAGCATGGTATAATTGAGAAAGAAAAGTGACACCCTCTAGTTCGCACTTCCGGCGGGAGCAGGACGACGAGGTTGCGTGCCAACGTTACCCATACGGCGGCCCCTAGATTGCGAGAGTTAGCAGAGGTCCAATGCGATTGCGTGGCGCGACGCGACGCGTCGGTGCGACAATAATCAAGAACGTAGCACTTACATGACGGTACGGCTGAAGAAACTGATGGCAATCATGAAGGTCCAGCTGGGGATGGCACCGATCGCCCAGATGGCGTAGCCGAGGGGAACGTTCAGCTGGTACTGGGCGAGCCAGCCGTCGGTGGGGTGCATGGCACCCTCGTAGGCCTCGACCTTCTCGTAGGTCTTCTTGGAGTGAACCTGGTACAGCTCCTCGGGGGTGACGGTGGTGGTGTTCACGTAGACAATGTGGAGAGGAGTGGGGAGACGCTCTTGACCCTCGGGCTGGGCCTGGGGCAGTTCGAAGTAGAAGATGGAGGGGGCACCGGCGGACCAGGTGGCGCAGAGAACGCGCTCTTCCTCACAGTTCAGCAGACCAAGGTTGGGGGAAGTCGGGTCGGCAGAGAAGAGAAGGACGGATTCCTAGTCGCGATGGAGGGTTAGCTTACGTGCTCCGTCGATGCTATGGAGCTCAACGGCGCGGTATTTCTAGAGACGCGCGCGCAATGGGAGACTTCTTACATTGAAGGCCTTCTCGGCGACATCACAGCGACCGAAGCAAGTCTTGTTACCACCGGTCACGAAGATGTACCAGTCCTGAGCGTCCTCGGCAGGAGCCAGGATGGACTGCCAGTTCTGCATGGTCACAGGGGTGACGCGCTTCTCCGAGACCTTCTCGGCCATCTTCTGGATAGGATCGACTGGAACAGCCGTGGGAACAAGGTTCTTAGCCTTGTTGAACCAGCCCTGGACGCGGTCGGCGAGGGGCACCTGCTCCTGTGCCAGAGCCAGGGCAGGGAGGAGAGTGATGAACGAGGTGAAACGCATCTTGATGGCTGTGGGCAGGCGAATTAGCTGGGATGGATAGAGACAAGCCGGAACAAATTATGGGGATAGATGGCCGGAGGTATTGCTTGATGGACTCACCAATTATGTTGACACAGTCGATCAATTGAAAGCAACGGCACCCGAGGGATTAAGGAGGAGAAAGCAGTCGGGTCAGCTTGAGCCTTGACGACAGCTGGCCTGAGCGCCCGGGCCACCCGAGCCAACCACACCAGTCAGACTAACCAACCAACGCCGCGGAAGGGCGGGGAATCTGGCCGATCCACTCAGCGGCCGTCATGTTAGCCTTGTGTATGCTATTGGCACTTGTACAAAGTAGTGCTATGAGAATAGTATTGCATTATGAAGAAGTTAAACCTCACAGTTTATGCCGACATGAAATCTACTTCTGAAAGCTTCACAATTGTATTCCGAGGCATTATAGTGCCCCGAATCTACACGAAGCTGTACCCATTCATAGTTCCCACGATTGTCCCCACCCAAAACTATGAATTATGATATGCAGATTTCTAGAAAACGGCTGGAAAACCTCCGTTATTTTGATATACTGGCAGGCAATACATACAATCACCTTATAGTATGTATCGAGAGGCTACAATATGGTCTCATAAGTGCATCTTTCTACTATCACTGATAGTTTGAAGAGAATACCATCGATGCCTATACCAAGACAATTTCGATCAGCATACGAAGCCTACATAGGCTGCACCTTGTTGACGACTCATGGATAGTAAGAGTAGACAGCGATTGATGCCACAATCCACAAAAACCCGTAGCCTGTCAGCAAGAACATGGTCACCATAACATGCAGAAGGCACCGCCATACTCGAGGTAGGAGTGACCGCCAGGCATCGAACGTTTGCCTCCTTAACCTAGTGAGATATCCGCGGCGATGTCATCGCTGAGTCGTCCAGGATATAAGACTGCTGGAAACGATTCGTTTCGTCCTTTCTCGTCGCTTTTCTCCAATCTTCCCATCAAGAACGACAGTGCTGAACCACCACTGCCACCATCTCAAGCCATCTCAGAAATGGCGTTCATCAATCAGCGCGCTCTCCATCTCGCAGCTATCATCATGCTCGTTGATGTGCTGCTCACCATCACCACCTCTCCCGCCTTTGCCCTCGCATTGCCCGTGGCCACTCGGGCGTGCTTGGAGATTGACCCCTTCGTTTTCGGTAAGTGACAATCAACAGTCAGATAAACGAAGATTGGACAGTATCTGATAATATGATATTATAGGCCACTCTTGCTTTGCTCCGACCCGTCTCCAAGCCCGCCAGGTGAGCCCCTATGGTAAGTGTTGAAAAGATCCTGATACACCAACAGACATTCAAACTAATTTGTTCAGGCGGCTCCGATGATCCGCAGTCAAAAGCGGCACGAAATCACGCCTCGTTAATCGTCATCGTCGTGTTCGCTGTCTTTTTGGCTGTTGTCTTATTCTACCTCGTGTCCAAGAGACTAGGACTGGTGGAGGTATATGGTGCGTGGTGCCGAGGCTGGCGAGACAATCTCCGGCAACTGAATCCCATGAACATTTGGGATAAATGGTGCGCGTTCTGGAAAGGCCGCACCTCCCAACGCCGACGCCGCCGGGTGGGCTTTGAACTGCAGCCCTACCCAGGCCCACCACCAAGCGCACCCTATCAGCGCCTACCCTCTCCTGCCCGTCCTGCCCCCGCCCTGATACGAATTGGACGTTTCCAAGAAGGTTGAAGGGTACCGGGGGCCGGGCAGTGAAGGACGAGAAGAAGAGACGTGGGGAGGAGGAAGGGGGAAGGAGGATACCCGGTTGTTGTGTCGGCGGTCTTTGGAACAAGACCCGGGGTAGTTAGAACTCAGCACAGGCTGAGACCACCTGCGATCAGCGGTGGCTGAATACATTGCTTTTGCTGAGACTTTCAACTGTCACCCAAGGGGATTGGTCTCTCCAGATTGTAGGATAAAATTCCCAGAAACGTGTGAATTGCGCAAGTGTCTCAAGGTAGGTCTAAGATTGCGGGCCATCGGAAAGCTGTTTGCGACGGAAACCCGCGCTTCTCCACTTTACATAGATGTGCCTCTGATCTCTGGGGCGGTCTGGGGAAGCCAAAGGACGCTGGTTTGAGGCTTTCAAATGATCGAATGTTCCTCCATATGAAGCCCGAATTTTTGGGGAGAGGGCCATGTATTTGCAAGTTCTGCCATCGAGAACCAATTTCGTCCAGCAGGCTTTCGTACGGAAGGGCGGGACAGGATAACGTATTAACGATCTTTAGACCCAGGCTTATGTCTCCTCCCTCGACGACTCCAGTCACTCGCCTGAACTTGAGGACTGAACGTAGTCGATTTTGACTACCTATTAGGCAATAATTGTGATAACCTCAAAAGTGGAACTGCGGAGGAGATTCAAATGGGGGTCTGCGAACGAGGTATATAATGCAGAATGTTGTTACATGCTTCCAATCCTATTCGGAGGCGATGGGAGGAGATGGGAGAAGACGACGCCGAGTCTTTATGTTGTTAAGTTTACATCGTTCTGATTCTCAAACCGGGCCTCTATACCAGCTAACCAAGAGCTCTAAATATGCTTCAAGTCATTGGTAAGGGTAGGGCTCAAGATCTTTCTACCTTTTTGGGATCAATGTTGACACCAATAGAAAATCCATCTCTTCCACATGAGACATACCGGAGGCTACGAGTTCATAGATACAGTGGGAGTTGTGAGTGGCTCATCACACGAGATGATATGGTACTCTATGCCTCTCTATGACGGTAAAGTCCTCTGCCGATACATCAATCTGCTCCCTTGAAAACATCCCAGCTTCTGGTTCAGGCATTATTGGTATGATGATTACAATATCCGGGCGATTGCTGCTCAATCTCCTGGCTTTGTTGACTTTTAGACGGCCACAGTTTAATCAAACTAGCCCGCTTACTTAAATTCATTCTTTGAATCAAGAAACCGATCAATGGGGCACTGATGTTGACTCGACACCCACAACTATGCCTGCCATCACGAAGATGAAGATTAACGCGAGGCTCTTTACCCAGGTTTTGTTTCCCACCGGGATGTCTGGCTGTATGTACATCAGATATAGAACTTTAATTTGTATAAATGGCTCTTCCTCGTTTAGTTTCCTAATAAAAAAATTGGTCGCGCGGAATATAGTGGCGAGTACACTGGCTTGGGGCCGTCCGGTCCCAGTCCAATGTTCTGGTTGAAACTACGGAGAAAAATAGCTAAAACGATATCACTAATACATTGATTCATACATTTTCCCAGTGTTTAAATTGCCACGAGGCTTGAAAATGACTGGCTTCGTGTTTTTGTTCTCGGTGAGATTTGCGCTGTAGAAGTGCTCTGCTTGCCAACAGTAAGTGGCATGGTCCAAAACCAAGGGCATCATATATGAATGGAACCAATGGCTGATCTCATCATCCGCAGTAACAGACTTCAGTCGCTGTTTCGAAAGGCAAGGGGAAGACAAGGGGAATGTTGAGAAATGATGAAGTAGAGTCCGTGGCCGAAGTACCGCACTAAGGCTAAGTGGACGGGGAGCCCTGTACCCCACAATTTGTAGTCGAAATGCACTGGTAGGGCGGATTGGCCGCGACAGACGCCGGGTGAGTGAATAAGGGTGTCCTATCGATTTACTCACGGCTAGGGGGCTTTTACTCTTTCCTAATTCCCAGTGCTGTAGATGCGTATTTAAAGCATACAAGCTGGAGCATCTGAAAGCAGGATGGTGCTTTCCATGGAAATTAAATTGGGACCTGATTTTCCGAGATCTTTTTCTTGCGCAATATATATGCCAAGTCAAAAAGCTCGACCAATTGAATCAAGTATGTAACCCGGCGCCGAGAGTTGGCAACTTTCCGTGCATATACTCGGTAGTTGGAAATATGACGAAGGTTAAAAGTCCAGCGGGGCAGGAATTGCTATGACGACAACGACCATCTGGTCCAGCAAAGGCTCAAGTCGGCGGCATCTTATCGATAGGCAGAAATGACTAGGAATTAATTGAGTGATGGGTATTAAAAAGATTATCAATCGGGCGAGTCTAGAGTGTGTCAAGTCCTTCCCCCGGTGAGGTCCGCTGCTGAGGCATCCGCATCCTGCCCTCCCGATGTCGGGTCCGGCCTCAAATGATGAGAAGTACCAGCATGACATCCTGCTATCAATTATCCCTTGACTTTCGGGAACAGTTGGATGTAAATGAAAAAGCACAATCCCACGCCCTATGCACTATGAAAATGCAGAATCACATTGAGTAGCAACCAAAAAGGTAATGATCGGATTGAGTCAGTCATCTTCGAGCGCCTTTGAGTACTTCGGGCGAGGGCGGCCAGTGAGCGACTCCGGCGACGTCCCCACCCCCAGCGAAAGGCGAAATTTTTCGTTTTTTTTTTGCCGCCGAGCGAGGGAGCGACGATTACTACGCAGAAAGGAAGCACACCGCCCACTCCACTCTTTATGACTCTTACTCCCTCTTCCTTCCAGAGTTTCAAGACTTAAATATCATCTCTGACCGTAGACTTCGTTGTGTCGGTCCATTTGTCTTTGTCTTTTGCATTTGAACAGTCCCGAG